TTTTAAATTATCAGTTAAGAAATGACCAGTACGTCTCTTATAGGCTGCAAGTCCTAAGTCATCTTTTAAAATACGCGACATGGTTCTAGGTGCTATCTTCATCTCCCGAGATAAAATGTTTTGCTTTCGGACAGGATTTCTTCGAATTCTTTCCCTTACTGCTTTGACCACCTATTTCGTACGAACACTACGTGGACGGCCAGGTCTTTTTCTGTCACAAACAGAGGAGCTCTCATTGCACCTATTAATAGCCCGGTACACAAACTTTTTACTAATACCAAGAGTATGGAGAGTTTTAAAAATTGCATTTGGCTCCATACCTACTTTGTGTAATGCAATCACAGCGATTCGGTTCTCTTTATCACCCCACTCCATTTTAATATCGCAAAATATTGTACAATGTATTGGCGCCAATATGAGAAAACTCAATGAGCAATCATATAAAAATGACAGATTCCAAATTCAAATGTAATATTTTGTTTATATTTAATTGTAACAGTATTTATGGCCATACTAAGTATATTGAGTGGTGCGACTTGGCTTGTTGAAATCTTGTAAACCAAAAGATACCAAAATTTATTAAGCAAAAAGAACAATAGCATCGTGTAGGAAAATGAAAATATAGTATTTATTGCGTTATTAATGTTGTCAGAAAGCGTATTTAGGGTCGATAAGGATTCCTATCTATACTGCCCACTTTTGTCGCCGAATCATTAATTACATCGAGAATAATATAAATAAATAAAGGCCTTCGCATAGTAGTAATCCATTAATCTCTGGAAGGGCTGGACCGATTTTGACGAGACTTTCACTGATAGATAGCTGATGATATAAGGAGTAACTTAGGTTACTTTATATAGACTAGCCTCGCCCCGCGGCATCACCCGCGGTACAACAATATCCGCGGGTAACATCGCGGGACTCAGTTATCAATAATAAAATTTAAAATTTCCGAAGCGAAGCGAGGGCGGGTTGCTAGTATGATATTATATGGATTAGTTAAGTACATTCGTTAATCGCTTGCTAACAGCCTGACCGACTTGGGTGATTTCTTTTTCACTGGGTTCGTAATTGTCGGGATAAATTGTGAGAATTATCTGTGGACTGTGATCACCTTTCACTAGCAATTCTATTAAATCGCTATTGTTAAACCAAATCAAGTAATCAACATAAGACAAATCAGAATAAAAAAACATATTGGAACGTCTGTTTCATGTTTTTCGTTCTCACGGACAAATGCGCTGACTGCAAAACATCTGGTATCTATCTGTCTATGTTAACCTTTTGATTTAATAGCCAGAAAGTAGATGATGCATGGACTGGCTTAGCACACTAATAGAGCTCTACAACGATTTTCGCAGTAAATTTTACATTCCCACAACATGCAGATCGACATTGATGATAAATTACACGACTGCAAATCCTCTGTTCTCATTGTTTTTTGTTTAATAAATCCTCTGAACCGACGTTTCGACCTTTAATCATCATTTCGATCGGATGATGAATGATGACCGAGGTTACACAACTCAAGGTCATGGATGAGATCAATATGTACTTAGTTAGGTTTGTTTTTACACATATTTATGAAAATATTATTTTTAAATTGCAGTGTAGCGTAATAATTGCGAGTTAGACGCGTGATTTGTGCGTTTTTCTGTCTTCTTGTTTGTGATCATCGATTGAGTGGTGATCGTTTGGAACCTCTGGGTCTGCGGAGGGACTTCGGTTCTGTATTTTGTACCGTATGTTCCACGGGGAGTGCTCTGAGGAATTGTTCGAGATGATACCGACATCTCGTTTTTACCATCACACCGCCCGCCACCGGAGTAGAGTTCATCCATACGACCTGGAGCCACTGCGGTCATCCACAGTGCGTTTCCAGAGGACTTTTTCGCCACGTACCATCCGGCTATGGAATGAGTTCCCCTCTACGGTGTTTCCCGATCGCTATGACATGTCCTTCTTCAAACGAGGCTTGTGGAAAGTATTAAGCGGTAGGCAGCGGCTTGGCTCTGCCCCTGGCATTGCTGAAGTCTATGGGCGACGATAACCACTCACCATCAGGTGGGCCATACGCTCGTCTGCCTACAAGGGCAATAAAAAAAAAAAACTCGGTAAGAACTAAATTACCGATCCTGATCAAACTGTTTTGTCTTTAAGTTTATAACATACTAGCGACCCGGCCTCGCTTCGCTTCGGAAACTGTAATTTATTATTGATTTCTCCAATATTTAATGGATGTTATTATACATATAAACCTTCCTCTTCAATCACTCTATCTATTAAAAAAAACCGCATCAAAATCCGTTGCACAGTTTTAAAGATTTAAGCATACATAGGGATATAGGGACAGAGAAAGCGACTTTGTTTTATACTATGTAGTGATAAGAATTGACTGAGCATTTATCAGTAAGATGAATTACATTTCTTTTAAGTGCTAAACGTACCTATAATTTTGTATTTATTTCAACTAAAAAAATATATCTGTAAATAAGTAATAACCCAATTTTCGTTTTTGTTTACGCGCTAAAACGGGCACACGTCCCGTTTCAGTAGTTACCTGCGTCTTTAGATATCACGATATAAATGGCGTCATTCACCTAAAGATATGTGTTCTAAATCTCCATATACTGCCACCCAATACTTTATGCCAAAACGCATTACTGCTTCACGGCAGAAATAGGTAGGTTGGTAGTACCCATGCCTATAATTCGCCCTACCATTAGTGAATATTGGTTGGAGATCGTAGTAAGTATGCGGGTATAATCATCAGATAGTACTGCTGTCCATTATCCGCTATAAATTCCTTGGTCGCTTTTTTGTACACCCACGGAAAGAAATGGAGTGGTTGGTGCTCTTTTTGGCCGACATCTTACAACTATTGTTAGTGTAGTGTGCAGACAAACTCACGGTCTATCTGATGTTAAGTAATTACTAAAACTGGCAAGTGCGTCACATCGTGGGTGTCGCTACTCTACTTAAGAGACGAGGTCGAAAGATCAATATTGAGGGGTGAAAGGCTTACGGGGCTATTAAGGGGCTTAAGCGACTTTTTTTGCAACTTACAGGAGAGCCATTTAAAGTTTAAAATTCGGAAAAAATATCTTAACGAAAAAACTTCTTTAGCTATTTGAATTTTTTTTTTTTTTTTTTTTTTTTTTATTGCCCTTGTATGGAATTGAATGGAACAAAATTAATTAAAAACATGAAACTGTTGATACTAATACCAAATAAAAGGAATCTTTAATTACAAAGATAAATATCGCGTATTAAGCGAAATGTCGCTTAAACCAAATAGCCTTTCATCCCTCGATATATTATGGAGTAGGAAGGAAGAGTAGACGGTCAACGCTCTCGCGGCCGATCATCCACAAGGTGGACAGACCTGGTTAAGTTATCTACGAAGTGTTCACTTACTGAATGTACACGTACCGCTACAAATAGAGAGAGATGGAGAAGTTTCTCAAAAGCCGCAACCAAACATTAAGACATACGTAACCACGACCACTCCGCCAGGAGTGTACGACTGAGAAGAAATATAATGTAACTTTTTTTTTTATCCTTGCTATGCTGATAGCCTTGAGAGGCTATTTCAGCTTCTCCTTGACGTGTAGGTGAGTTCACGGCACTCAAACCGGGAGTGTTGCTAACACTGGCCCTAGCAAGAGCAGTGCTTTGCAGAATTTACCACCGGATCGGAAATGCGACCCACTGAGAAGATCCGGCGAGAAACTCGGTGGGCTAAATAAATACGAACACGAAAAGGTCTGGCCTTTGAACCCCCTTTATGTTTATGCATAACAATGCCCCAAACAAGGTTCCTTTTGTTTTTTGTTTGGCGCCATATCTGTATTTATGTAACCCTGTGTAAGAATAGTACTTGTATGATGTAGACATTCATAGGTAGATACCACTATTCTACTGTCGTAAAATGGTCATGTGTTCCGATGTGAAGGCTCCGTTAACCAATACATGTATCATAAAATTGTGTCCTCTTCTCATGTCTCCGAGTTCGCAGTGCTTCGCAGAATCTACCACCGGATCGGAAATGTAACAGACCTCGTCAGTCTTCTTGATATAGTATTAGTACTTTCGCATTCTCTGTTCGTAGTAATGGCATTCTCACCTTATACTCTTAATAAACTAACTCTGCTAGGCTAAGGATGGCTTAATATGTAAGGTTTATCAGTCTCTGGTACCAAATGTACACAGGGTTCTATTTTGGGCCAGATGAACATGAGTGACTTATTTTTGATTATTTATTTACCCATTGAAATCTCCCTATTATTTCTTACATGACTTTTTTTGTTTTGCCGTTGAATCCTCACGAGTCATAACCGTCGTCCTGTATTTTTAGCGAGAAGTACTAACGTATTCAGGTTTGAATGGAAGCAAAGTCAATTTAGAATTTGATGTCAAGATTAACGAAGGGCTGACGGATTGACATGAATTCGATTCGACGGCACGTGGAGTCTTCCTACATATACCCATTGGCATAATGAAAATGGTTGACGGTTGGACGAGCTCACAGCCCACCTGTTGTTGAGTGGTTACCGGAGCCCACAGACATCTATTTTTTCTTTTTTTTTTATTGCTTAGATGGGTGGAGGAGCTCACAGCCCACCTGTTGTTGAGTGGTTACCGAAGCCCATAGACATCTACAACGTAAATGCCGCCAACCACCTTGAGATATGAGTTCTAAGGTCTGAGTATAGTTAGTTTTGCTTCTACTTAGTGAATCTACTAATAAAGTCGGATTTGTTTGTGATGGCAAATAATATTCGAAACTGTACAACCTATGGTAGTTAATGATGTTCGCGGGTCGATCGCATTTGTCCTGACAATTGTCCACGCACGTACCTAATCTATGACGCCGTTCGCTCGGTCACCGGCGGCTCCATGGAGAATTGGCCAAGCGTAGCGATGGTATGATTCGCTCACATCGATGCTCTCCCATTGTTGTCCCCCCCTTGATGTGATTTAACTGAATTATGATGCGAAATGGTCACAATTCGGTTGATGCTGTCAAGTTGTGCACCCGTGCTGTGCTCCAGGTGTACCCGGGACTCTTTTGGCGTGAGTGGTGCTACGTCTTGTGAGACCCGTGCTACGATTACCCCTCGTAGAAGCGAGTACCAGTGAAAAGCTCAAGTAAGTGTGTAGCGATTTTAATGAAACAACTTATATGAATCATGAGTTATGTGTCATTGTACCTATTCGTTTTATTATCAGATGTGTTGAATATAGAAAATTACCATATTATAATCCGTTCAAAGCAGAAATCAAATGGATTATGATTAAAATACGTATAAGCTGTAAATATATTTGATTATCAGGCAATCAATGTACGTACTGAATCGAACAGGCTTCTAAGTAAATGTTAACGCTACTGGCGTCGGTGTCAGTTTTGTCGTGTTTCATTATTATGCAACAGTAATCAAATGCACACATCATTTACATAAATTAAGCTTTATTAACTTGAAGTTTAGTTACCCCTCTAAAAGTACTCTAGCTTCAATCGTTGTTTATATACGTATTGAGTTGAAGTGGTTCAAGTACCAAGTACTTCCATTTGATTTCATGTAGAAAACGGTCGTTCGGATTGTCGATAATCCTAATCTCATAGGCACTTTGGAGCTTCTGTGTGTATGGAGGTTCAATGGCGATTAATTTGAGAAATTTTATAGATGACCAATCGTATCAGGCGGTGCAACGGAACCGGCTTTAAAATTACTTGGTCGAGTATTATTTTCTTATAGGAAACTAGCTGAGTCCCGCGATGTTACTCGCGGTTGTTGCCGTACCGCGGGTGACGCCGCGAGGCGAAGATAGTCTAAAAAAAGTAGCCTAAGTTACTCCTTATATCATCAGCTACTTATCAGAGAAAGTCCCGTCAAAATCGGTCCAGCCGTTCCAGAGATTAGCTGGAATAAACAGACAGTCAGACAGCCAGACAAAAACTTGTAAAAAATGTTATTTTGGTGTATGTACCGTATACCTATTCATATGCATGTAGTAAAAAGCGGTTATGTCAATATTACAAACAGACACTCCAATTTTATTTATATGTATAGATTAGTTTTTAATACATGTTCACCATTGACTTCAATGATGAACGAATAATATCAAGCACTTAATAAGCAAAGGAGCAAAAAACATACACTTAGGTAATTATTGGTGGTAAGGCGTATTGTAAGCCCCCACGGGAAGGAACCTTCCCTGCTGGAACCAGCATTTATTTTACTTCTGCCGCGAAGCACTTATGAATTCCTGTTTGAAGGGATGGACAGCCCTTATGCAATACAATTGGAACTTCGAGATTAAGTCTTAAGGTGAATAGTGGCAATTTTGTACATTGTTTTACTAGTAGTTATTACGGGACTACGGGTATAAACGGCTCAGTATCTTCATTAGACATAAGATTATATAAAGGAGATAATAGGAAAGAGCCTTTCGCCTTCTCCATAATCCTGTTCTGACGGCTAGTTGATCTTAGTTAGTGGATTTACAACAGCTCTTTGGTTCTCTCTGTGTTTTGTGTCGTATGATCCATGGAAAATACTCTGAGGATTAGTGTAGATGATTCTTCCATCTCATTTTTGCAATCGCATCGTCCACCACAGGAACAGAGTGTATCCATACTATCTAGAACTGCTGCGTTCATCTGCAAGGCGTTTCTAGAGATGTTTTTTGGACGTACCACAGGTAATTACGTGACACGAACATTTATCTTGGTCAAAATTCACTTAATTTTGATTATTTCTTCAATTCACAGACAAAATCAGAATCTGTTTTGATAATGTGTGGTCAACTCTAATTAATTTTTAAATTAGTTTTCCGCACGTGGCTTAGCCCGCTCTCCTCTCCAAAACTTCAATCACGTTTTTGCAAGTTAGCCGTCGGAGCACCGTGGTTAATGAAGAACGTCGACTCAACGACGATCTGGGTCTTGAACCGATCCGGAAACACCTGAAGTTAGCTTTGGAACGGTACTTCGATAAGGCTATGCGTCATGATAATCGCCTAATCGTTGCCGCCCCTGATTACACCCTAATTCCTGCCCACGCGGCCAGTCACTGTCAATGCTCAAGATACGTTTTTACGGATCCATCAGATCCATTAAACTCGGCTCTAGATGCCTTCAGCTCTAATATAAGGAGCAGGCTTAGGGACCCCGGTAACCATACTCGTTGAACTCTGCAAAAATTTCGACGTGCAACATACCTAAACATAAACCCGTTGCGTTATCGCCGGATCTTCTCAGCGGGTCGCGATTTGAAGTCGTCGTAGCCTAAAGGATAAGACGTCCGGTGCACTGCCTATTTCTGCCGTGTACAGTAATGCGTTTCGGTTTGAAGGGTGGGGCAGCCGTTGTAACTATACTGAAACCTTAGAACTTATATCTCAAGGTGGGCGGCGCATTTACATTGTACATGTCTATAAGCTCCAGTAACCACTTAACAACAGGTGGGCTGTGAGCTAATCCAACCATCTAAGCAATAAATAAATAAAAAGACATTCCAATCCGTTAGTAGATTCAATCACGAAGCACAGCCATTCTTAAGTTGTTAGGTTTTCTTTGGTGGCCCTCGGGCAGCTGTTAGCAAATCCCACTCCTCCTGGCTGAGCTTTTTCTCGCTCACCTGTCCTGGTGAAACTGGAAAGGCCTTCGGGCCATCAGTAATCATTCCTTCATAAAAAAAGCTTCGCCAGCGCGGTCAAAACTTTATATGTAATAAATATATATATAAAAGTAAACTCTATTACTATTTATATGGCGATAGCTTTTAACGTGCGATTGTGGTCTGACATATGAAAACAATATGAGTATCCGTTCAGAGGCTTCAGAGATGGAGGCAAGCAGGCAAGTCAGAAAATAATTATAAAAATCGTGGTTTATGGTCCTTGTTATAATTGCCATAAGCAAAACCAGTATAATAAGGGCTGTGTTCTGTATTGCGATTATATCGGTGGGTATCGGCGAACAGACTAAATCTAACAACACAAACATAAATCTTGCACATGAACACTTTGCATTCATGATTTATTGAAATCTCACTTTTTACGTGAGCATAATCAATGGTCTCAATTGTTAGGGAAAAATGTAAACCACATGCAGGGTGTATTTGTAAATCGTATATGTTATATATAGGATACGCTGGTCTTAGGTAGTTATAAAGTAAGTAGGAATACGAGCTTATGATTTGACTGCTACGGCTGTCAATGCCATAAACATTGTCAAAAGCTAACCTAACCTAACACTACCTATCGCGAACTCTATCGCCTTAACTATGTTCTTATTACAGAAAACCGAAAGAATAGTTTGACACTGATAAACTCGCAAGCGCTCGATTTCCACTAATTTTACTATGAAAAACCATAATCATTTATTTATGTGAGACTCCTTGGTATTAATCGGATATTAGGACATAAGTGTTCTTTGAGTATTGCATGAGATCGCTAGCCCACACATACTGGTGGTAATTTATAGGTGCTTTGACCACCACACCATGGTCACGGAAATGAAACGGTTGCTGATTGGTACTAACGTCCAACTGTGGAGGTGGCCTGATGATGGTGACAATCTCTCAACGGTCCGTATTAAAGTATTCTGGCTCATGAGCTCGTAAAAAATGAATTAATAGGGTGTGCCTGTTTCGATGTCGCAAGTTATATCTGTGTTATTTCCCATGGGCTTTTCCTAGCCCATCCCATTGTCCCACAATAGTCAAACAAACAGTTTTCGCACCGTTTCGTTCCGCGTGATTGGTTACAGTCAAAAGTTCTTTTACCGTTTGATGGATGCTGGATATCCGCATTGCGCTCTTTCACACATGACAAAGTAAAGGTTCGACAAAAGTTATTAACTTTCTCTTATGTGGGCCATTTGATTCATTGCTTTTATTATTCTTGTTTGATTCGAAAACCTTCGCTTTTCAGCCAATGGTTCAATAGTCGAATTGCTTTGAGAGAATCACGACATGTGTAATCTTGATGTAATATTATTTTAACATTGCGTTCCAAATTTAAAACATTTATTTAATTCATTAATATTAAAAACTATGTAGCAGAAGTATTTGATTTTTAAAGTAAAAACTAAATTAACACTATCAGACAGAACAACTTTTAATTTAACCTTAATCATAAAATTTTATTTATTTTCGTGAAAGCGAAGCCAAAGATGCATATAAAAAGAGCTTCTCGTATTGGAGGAATGTGTAATAAAAAAAATTTTTTTTTCTTATCACGTAAAAAAACTTTGATATAAACTTGATCATTCTAATATACCAAAAACAAAAAAAAAACAATTTGCAATCCATCTTTTTGCAAAAAGGATAAATAAAACCAAACAATGATTTCACGGCATAACTGTATCGAAATTTGAATGCCACGTCATTTCGTGGTATCGTTTGGACGAGGACCTCGGTTGTTCACAATACACCGGATACGACCATCCGCTTTCCAACGACACAATTTTCGGAACCGCCAAAATTTTCATAGTACAAGTATTTAGTTTTATTATGTAGATTTCGCTGTTCCAGTCGGTAGGCTAATGATGTCTACGTGGGAATTTTTATTTGCAAAAAAAAGTACTTTTTTTTTTCTTTTTTTTTTATTGCTTAGCTGGATGGACGAGCTCACAGCCCACCTGATGTTAAGTGGTTACTGGAGCCCATAGACATCTACAACGTAAATGCGCCACCCACCTCGAGATATAAGTTCTAAGGTCTCACTCAGTATAGTTACAACGGCTACCCCACCCTTCGAACCGAAACGCATTACTGCTTCACGGCGGAAATAGGCGGGGTGGTGGTACCTACCCGTGCGGACTCACAAGAGGTCCTACCTTTTTCAGAGTACGAGTAGAAAAGGACATCTTTTATACAGTTGATTTTTAATGAATCCAACAGCCTAAAGCATAGATTGTAGCCATATTTTTTTTGATAAAACTAAAGAATCAAAATAGTTGTTATATTTTGTTATCGTACTAGGTATGACAAAGTGTTTAAAACCTTTCTTTGTCGCGTTATGTATTGTTTAATCGGTGATATTTTAAATTGAAATTATGATAAAGGGGTGACCCACCCAAATAAACTATTTGGAAAGTTACTATTCGATTAAAATTCAATTAATTAATACATAATTATCTATGTACATCGATATTTTGTATACCTATTATATTTTTACAATTTTTATTCTTGATGGCAATGCTCTCAGTTAATTTATCTACGTAATTATAGTTGAAAATAATTTATGTTATTTTTGTAGTTTGTTTAGGTATCATAAAGTAACTTATTTACTGTCTATTATCGTATCATCCTGTACCTGTTTTCTAAGACACAAAATCTTTGAAATTGTATCAATCTCCCTAATATTTCATTCATTGTTACACATAATTACATTTAATTTAGTATTCGGAGTCCAAACTAATCCTTAAATACAATAACCAAACAATAGTGCTCTGTGTAGCGCTCTAAATAACTGAAAAAACAGTATTATCAACATGAACAGTCATATCACTTAAAATTGCTTTTTCTATATTATCTGTTGGCAAATATTTGCGACAAAAATTATAATAGCCATAATTTTAATGATATTTTATCTATAGCTCACTGAATTCAATGCAGAATAACGGTTCGGATGTCAATATTGTATTCGATTACAATGATTACAATGGTGTATTTATTTACACGTTTGTTTTCATTTTGAATTATTATAGATACCCTCCTGTATGAATCCGTGACCACGAAAACTGTAAACTACATTTTTTTTTTTATTGCTTAGATGTGTGGACGAGCTCACAGCCCACCTGGTGTTAAGTGGTTACTGGAGCCCATATACATCTACAGCGTAAATGCGCCACACACCTTGAGATATAAGTTCTAAGATCTCAGTATAGTTACAACGGCTGCCCCACCCTTCAAACCGAAACGCATTATTGCTTCACGGCAGAAATAGGCGGGGCGGTGGTACCTATCCGTGCGGACTCACAAGAGGAATGTCAGAAATAATCTAATAACAACAAAAAAAAACCCGAATTAAACTGTATAAGTGGTTTTAAACATATACTGACATGAAATTAAATCAGCGTCAGATGTGTCTGATATTAAATCGTGGACAGTAAAATGCGCTATCTTAACACCTGTAAGTATGTAACGTCAAATGGTAGTCGTCTACCCATTTCCAGGATCGGAATTGAAAGACGGCATGGCCGATAGTACTTACGTTTAACTAAATAAACTCCTTTCAAACCGTGATAATCATTAAGCAGAAGGTGGACACATACAACAATCTATAAAGGATAAATAAAATAAAAAACTTTCTTTCCAAATCTTTAAATAACCTAAAAAGATGTTAATTACAAAAAAAAAAAACAATTTGTTGCTTGCCAAAAAGTAAGAGGTTTTGCAATATACTTTTAAACTCAATGATTTAGACAACGAAACAACATAATTTTAGAAAACATAATATTTTCTTATTTCAGAAATAAGTCTACACAAAACAAAAGTTTCGTTAAACGATAAGGAAACATTGCCTTGTACAAAATTAAATATTTCCAAACTAAAATTAGTACTGGAAAATATACAATATATTGTGTACCTTAGATAGGTATGTTTATATTAGAGACGGGTGGTCTAATCAACGTCTAAACGTCGCGACGACGTCTATAGTATACAGAACCACTTCGACCTAAGCAAAGTGTGAAAACAAAACAATTGTCCTTATTGACTCAAACGAATTATCTTTATTTAATTATCGTGACATTTGAGTACAGACGATGTAAATACATTTTACATTCACATATTGGTTTTGTTATAAATAAATTATATAAATAAATGATATAAAACCATTAGATTTTTCTAAGGCATTTTTAGATATCAAATCTTGGATATCAAAACATCAAACGAATTTAGCTGCACAAGTCGTTTAGTTTTACGAGAATAACTTTTCTTAATATTCATATTATGATAAAATAGCGACCTTTGCCATGTGTTAGTGGCTGTAGGTTATTATAGTTTGATCCTTGTAGTTTTAAAGAAATCATATACTGGATCGGTCATCGTTCTCGTCGAACCCGTCGCTTGTGACGAAGGGCTCGGCGAGTAAATTAACCCATAGATACAGCACACTAAATTTCTCGCCGGATCTTCTCAGTGGGTCGCGTTTCAGATCCGGTGGTAGATTTTACGAAGCACGGCCCTTGCTAGGGTTCGTGTTAGCAACATCATCAGGTTTGAGCCCCGTGAGCTCACCTACTAGTAAAGTTACGTAGTTAGTAAGTTACGCTGATATGGTAAGGTTACGCTCTCTAGACCATAATTTTAATAATAATAATAAAACCCTTTCATTCCAAACCACATTCATGATGCAATTTAACATTTTTGTGTTTATACATTTTATTTCCTATATTATATCTCGCAGTTCGGCGTGCCTCGTGGCATAAGCCTCCTCCAGCTCTCTCCAGTGAGCTCGGTCCTCTGCAACTCCAGTCCAGTATGGTCCTAGGGTTAGACGTATATCCTCACTCCATCTTGTTTTCGGACGTCCCTGTCTTCTGATGTCCCCTCTTGGATATCATAAAGTTACTTGTCCAAAGTACAAAGACCATCAGCTTAGGTAGGAAAATAGTTCTTTGGTTTTCGTGAGTCGCAGACTATTTTTAACTACTTAAAACTACTTTTACGGTTTAATCTCGCGATTTATTCTTTTCTTGTTATTATTTCCGACTTTTCGAATACTTTAAAGTTTTCGTGGTCACGAAAGATTTATCGTGAAAGTAGTTGTTCTTCCCCTACCTATTCCCTGGTAGCTTAAGGAGCTATTCCCGGACGCCCGGCTACGCCCAGCTACGGCCCAGCCCGGCTACGCCCGGACGGGTAGGTGAGTTCACGGGCTCAACCTGAGAGAATTTGCTAACACTAGCCCTAGCAAGAGTAGTGCTTCGCAGAATCTACCACCGGATCGGAATCGCGACCCACTGCGAAAATCCGACAAGAAACTCAGTGGGCGTCAAGCCACTAGCACTTGCTGTGCAGTGCTTCGCAGAATCTAAATGTAAAACCTCTCATTTTCCTAAAAGGCCGAGTAATCATAATATGCTATGTGTATAAATATAAAAGCTTACACAAACACAATAAAATACTTAAACAGCCTTGTAACAGTTTGTTGTCCATTTAAATGGTGTAACGAACCAACGCATGTTTTGAAAAACGCCACGGAACTTGAATAAAAACATATTGGAAAAAATAAATCAAATGTAATATAAAGTAAGAACATAGTGTGCGCTAATATTTATTTTGACGTCGATAGCTTGTTTAAAGTTTGCACAATTTTCATAATATTCTCTGTGTTTGCATTTATCTGATTACAAGTTACATTAGCGAGTTGATGACGCGACGACATTATGTGAAGAAAACTAAAAGTAAACCTGCGTCGGTCGTACATTTTGCCATAACCGCTTTTCCATAAATTCTTTGTAATTTTTTTACCATTCCCTTGAGATCGCGACTCCAATTTTTAACTCATTTACATAAAGAACTCTTATCTAAAATAGATAAGAACGAATTCCAGTTATAAATGTTCAGTTTGCGAAATTGAAATCAGGGTAACCCAGTCTCTAATATCAATATTTAGTGGCCTAAGTCTAGCACGACTGGTGACCTCGTATCAAGCGATTCGATTATACCATTGTGCTCAAATACCGAAGATAGGTATCAAATCTAAGGAACTAAGTTCTTCAAACATATTCCCGACCACAACGATGATACATGAAAAGCTCATTTTACTGGTGGTAGGACCTCTTGTGAGTCCGCGCGGGTAGGTACCACCGCCCTGCCTATTTCTGCCGTGAAACAGTAATGCGTTTCGGTTTAAAGGGTGGGGCAGCCGTTGTAACTATACTGAGATCTTAGAACTTATATCTCAAGGTGGGTGGCGCATTTACGTTGTAGATGTCTATGGGCTTCAGTAACCACTTAACACCAGGTGGGCTGTGAGCTCGTCCACCCATCTAAGCAATAAAAAAAAGGGATAATGAAAAACTCAAACCAAAAAATTTATAAATACATTACACTATTTCTGACGGCAGGGCACATTGTAAGCCCATACGGTTGATACAACCGTGAGGGAATCATGCGTCATTAACGCCATGAATCTAATTCATTTTTCTAGCGCGACTGGCTGACAATCGTATGGTTTAATTACAAACGTTGTTCTAATATCCTAAACAACTATATATGTATATTCCACGCCTGAATGCAAATACTAAGGTTGTCTTTTTTTTTTTTTTTGCTTAGATGGGTGGACCAACTCACAGCCCACCTGGTGTTAAGTAGTCACTGGAGCCCATAGACATCTACAACGTAAATGCGCCACCCACCTTGAGATATAAGTTCTAAGATCTCAGTATAGTTACAACGGCTGCCCCACCCTTCAAACCGAAACGCATTACTGCTTTCACGGCAGAAATAGGCAGGGCGGTGGTACCTACCCGCACGGACTCACAAGAGGTCCTACCACCAGTAAAGAAATCAATTTACAAAAAATATACAGTAAAAAATATACAGTACTAAATATACAAAAAAAAGAAAGAAAAATGTAGTTGCATGGAATAAAGGGCTCTTTTATTTTTATTTTTATCTATACAATAGGTGCGTGAATGAGCTGTCGGTGACGCGTGATCTGCACATCAGCCAGCAGGAAGATGAAGCCGCGGGGGGCAAGCGTCATGCACGCCTTCACAGCCCTCACTATGCTAACTATGGCCAATGGTAAAATAATGAGTATAGATTCGATTTTACGTTTAGAAACACACGTAACTATGAGTTCAGGGGTCACCGGATCCAACGGATCCCATAGACATTAACCACGTCAATGCCGCCGCCATTTTTCAGACATGAGTTCTAAGTCCCAGTTTTTATAGTACAACGGCTGCCCCACCCCTAAAACCGAAACGCATTACTGCTTCACGGCAGAAATAGGCAGGTTACATTTAAAAACGCACATAATTGTTAGTTAAGTGGTCAACGGATCCCATAGACATTAACCACGTCACTGTCGCCGCCCCTCTTGAGACATGAGTTCTAAGTCCCGGTTTTTATAGTACAACGATTGCCCCACCCCTCAAACCGAAACGCATTACTGCTTCACGGCAGAAATAAGCAGGCCGGTGGTGGTAACTACCCGTGTGGACTCCCAGGAGGTCTTACCACTAGTAAACAAGAGGTCCTACCACCAGTAAAAAATTAATTGCACATATTAGAATTACCTATGCGATATTACAATGATGCACTTTGACATCTATTGACAAAACCAACCATCGTGTATTAAGTTAAGGACGAATGTTTTATCCGCGAGTTTCGAAATTAGTACTATATTTCTACCTTTCTGAAAATCTTGTTTAATATCCGAACTAAGTAATACTTTTTTTATATCAATCTTGAATTGCTTTTAGCCCAAACAACTTGTAACCAAGGTATGGGCCGAGTTATGTACGAGCGACTACCGAATCAACAGTTACATGGATTTGACGATGATGTCGTAAGTTATTAATCGTGTTCTTCTAGTGAATAAAATTAAGGAAAAAAAAAAGATTAAATTTAAAAGTTAAGGAAAACATTTTTGTGATTCAAGCGTTATCAGTTTTAATGAAATCGCTAGTAAAGTCGCAAATAAAGATTAAAAAATAATCTCTAATCGTTGTTAACACAAACACAAAAACAACAGTACAAGGATAATTGATGTGATAGATCACGTGATAGAATTTTAATCTTCACAAAAGATACCTACTATGAGTTGCTATGTTTAATTCAATTAATCGCTGCAATAATTCGATTGCCCGTGACCAAAACGGATTAACGACAGTGAAATTTGCATGATTAAAGGTACGAGAAACTGCACCGCCATTCCGCGTGTTGGAGAAATGCCAGGATCTATGTTTACGTGATAGATCTGGAAACAGCCTAGTCAGGACCTGCAACTCTATAGATTTTCAACCAGGGGCCCGTATAGCGGCCTTCAGTCCGGAACCAGAGTACGAGGAGTCAACATGCTACTTAACCAGAGAGCAGGCTACACCTGAAGGGATTGGGACTTTAATGATTGTCCCTAACAGTGTGCATTTTAATGAAATTTGTCTCACGTGTAAGTTATGTTTTGTATGATCCGTACTTATTTAAACTTCAATTCAATTATTGTTTTTTTTTGGAGCTAAGTCTTAAGATTTTTTTTATGACATTCATTATGAATTTTATAGCAAATCGGCCAGAACGAGAATGCCCGTCGCGTCGCTATGTGTTTGAACGTCACGCACGGAAACGTTTGAAGCTACCGCCCTCAGACCTAAAGGAAATCATGGTCGCCAATCGCACCGAATGCGAGGACAAGTGCTTGGGAGAATTCAGCTTTGTCTGCCGTTCTGCGACTTATGATTCGGCTTTAAGAACATGCTCCCTCAGTAGATTTACGAGACGCACCCACCCGGAGTTATTGGAGGACGACCACAACGCTGATTACTTGGAAAATACATGTCTTAATGGTTAGTTGGAAATCGATTGTACGATTATTTTTTTATTGATTAGATGGGTGGACGAGCTCGCAGCCCACCTGGTGTTAAGTGGTTACTGCCACTTAACACCAGCCCATAGACATCTACAACGTAAATGCGCCACTCACCTTGAGATATGAGTTCTAAGGTCTCAAGTATAATTACAACGGCTACCCCACGGCTTTACCGCTTCACGGCAGAAATAGGCAAGGTGGTGGTACCTACCCGTGCGGACTCACAAGACGTCCTACCACCAGTAAATACGAGTCAGTGGCTTCCAATTACGGATAACATTATTTAAGTGAGCGACGAGAATACTGTTTTAAACCACAATTAAATGAAAAGAGAATGAAACGTAATATTTTGCCGTAAATTTAAAAATTACATTGTTACTTTCTTATTGCTTAGATGGGTGGACGAGGTCACGATTCACCAGATGTTAATTAGTTACCAGGACCCATAGAGATCAACAACATAAATGCTGCCACAGACCTTGAGACATAAACTCACGGCAGAAATAAGCTGGGTGGTGGTGGTACCTAACCGTGCGGGCTCAGAAGACGCCCTATCACCAGAAAGAGTAGAGTGTTTTCAAACCAAATAAAGTAAAGTTGGCAATACAAAAATGTATGTCTATTTGATAAGTGGCCTAACCATTTAGTTCTTCCATAATAACTTGCCCATGATACTAGGATTTACAAGTATTTTTTTTGGTATTAAGTGGTTACTGGAGCCCATAGACATCTACAACGTAAATGCGCCACCCAACTTGAGATATAAGCTCTAAGATCTCAGTATAGTTACAACGGCTGCCCTGCCCTTCCGACCGAAACGCATTACTGCTTCACGGCAGAAATAGGCAGGGTGGTGGTACCTACCCGCGCGGAATCACAAGTGGTCCTACCTCCAGTGAGTTATGTTTGAATAACTCTATGTTTGTGAAGCTCGGTGCATCGGTGCTTCAAATTCACTAGCTGTTTTGACAATTTAACATCAATGACTAATGTCAGTTTTCTAAAATAAACGAAGCAGCCCTAAATCATATCAAAACTGCCGCACTCAAAGAGTTTCGAAATGACCCGGAGATAAGTGTCCAAGAACCACTCACCGACAATTTCCAAAGCGATAGAACTTGAATAGATAACGCAGTATTAAATAAAATGAATTAATTATAAATGAAATACATTGTTAAAACTACTATTAATAGTTTGATATCGTAAGAACACATTTCCGAACGTTACTCTTACGAATCAAAGTATTGATTTCATTTTGTTAATTTAACTATTGTACATGTTATTTAATTAGTAAACTAAATTATACTGTAATCTATATATGTATATAAAAATGAATTGCTGTTCGCTGAAAATTCTCCGAATTAAATAAAGTTTAGGTCTTTTATTTATCGATTGAGGCACTACGAAGTCTGCCGGGTCAGCTAGTTACCTACTAATGTTTGTGTTTTATATCTGTATATATTTGTGATTTACTGTATTTTAGCGGAGCGCCGATGTGACGGTTTAGCGGTTTTCATCAAGGAAGAAAACAAACGCTTAGGTGGACCATTCGAAGCCGATATATTTTCGAACATGACCTTGGAGGAATGTCAAGCCATGTGTGTGCGAGCTGAAAAGTAAGCAAACTATTTGATAAGACGTGTAAATATTAGCGACGTGCGAAAAAGTTTGTAGCTATGCAGCTGATATATTTTTATTGTTGTTTAAAATCGGTACCACGATATTCGAGCTCTACTTTGTTAAGCTTGGCCACTTGTAAATTGAGTATACATGGGATATATAGGGATAATACATATATCGATAAACTTTAGATTTAGGAGGGCAGGCAATTTCATAACCCATCTTAGGTTTCCTCAGTTCTATGGCCTGTCCTTCAATGACTATGAGCTCAAACGAAATTTGGATAGAGTCCAAGTAATAGACAGCGCCTTGATTCCTAGAATTGTTAGCGACGATGACCACTCATAATCAGGTATACACTATATTCCACTGCTTACGAAGCGATAAAAAAGTATTGTATATGTAGCGTATACTCTAACCCTGAGACATGAGAAGAGGACACAATTTTATGATACATGTATTGGTTATCGGAGCCATCAAATCGGAACACATGACCGTTTCACGATAGGAACAGTTGAATAGTGGTATCTACCTTTGTATGTCTACATAATACAAGTACTATTCTTACACAGAGTTACATAAATATCCATATGACGAAAAACAAAAGGAACCTTGTTTGAGACATTGTTATGCATAAACATAAAGGGGGTTCAAAGGCCAGACCTTTTCGTGTTCGTATTTAGCCCACTGAGTTTCTCGCAGGATCTTCTCAGTGGGTCGCGTTTCTGATCCGGTGGTAGATTCTGCGAATCACTGCTTTTGCTAGGGCCCGTGTTAGCAACACTCCCGGTTAGATCCCCGTGAGCTCACCTACACGTCAAGGAGAAGCTGAAATAGCCTCTTAAGGCTATCAGCATAGGTAGGGAAAAAAAAATTCGTACCATTTCAATGATACAACATTTTTCTAATGTATGTTTAGGTACTTCTGCCGTTCTATTGAGCACGACGCTATGACTCGTCAGTGTGTTTTGTCAGAAGAAGATTCAGTTTCACAGAAAGACGATGTTACCGTCAGCGCTTCGCCTACGCATCACTTCTACGATCTTGTCTGCTTAGACAATCGTTAGTATTATGCCCACCGTATTTTATAAACATAACATTGTCTGGTGTGAGGTATCGTTAATACAGCTACCCTTCAAAGTAACTATTTAACAGCATTATTCCAATAGATTTAGTGACTGCTACGTTACAAAAAAAACAAAGTTAAAAAACACTCTGTCTTTAATATTAAATATTTGTCACATCTGTTTGTTAGATAAGGTGATTAATTAATGAAAGACGGACTATAATTTCATGGAATTTGAGGTTGACTTAAGATCAAAGTCTCAATTATACACTAGAATGACATTGTCGACTCTTTCCAACGGAAATTACTTGATTAAAGAGAAGGCGTGGTTTACGCAAGGTTGAAATAATCTGGGAGATTCATTATACCGATTCAGCTTTAATAATTTAGTCACCTATGTACTTACTAATTAAATTTAACATCTTTAACGCATTATAATAGATGATTCACAAAATAACACGACAAATCATTAACAACGCATGAAACCTAAACAAGGTTTTTCTCACGATTATGATCAGTCTCTCATCGGGTGACAGCTCGCGGCACGGAGTATCCGGATAACAGTGTGACGTCACACCTGTTTTCACCTGGACGCCGCCCGGATACCGCTTTCCAACGATACAGAAACAGTCGGATAACCGGGGAGTTTCATTCAGAGATAACAGGGCGGTCACTAAGCGAATGTCTAGATGAATGCTTGAGGCAGACTAGTTTCCAGTGCAGGTATGAGTCGATACACATTTCTTGATAAAAATAATTGTAATTAATCCTTTAGGCTTACGTTAACACATAGTTAAGTGACCGTGGCCTAAACGATTAGAAGATCTGATGCGACTGTGCTGGTGTTTGAATTCCGCAGACAGGTACCAATTTTTCAATTGTAATAAATGAAGGAACTTTTTATATCTGCTTTGTGGATGTCTATGGGCTGCGGTTACCACTTAGCCCCTGTGGCCTGTTTGGTCATGTCCACTTATCTAAGAACAAAACAAAAACAGAGTCTACTTTTCTTAAATGTCTACTTTGATCGTTTTTTGTAATTAATTATAGAGCTACTTCGTCATGATTAGATCATTCACGCTCAAATTATTAATAAAATAACTTGGACCCGGACAGGATTGCAGCAGGGTACGAAGAAAATAAAAAAGAGAAATTAGATCTTTTAAAACGTGTATATTTTTACTGTTAGCATTTGAAATTACATTTTAAAACACAATGAGTTACTTTTCGTTTTTTTATGTATTGTATGTGCATACTACAATAACCACATGAAAAGAAAAAACAAAGAAAAAAAGTTTAAATTAAAATCAATTGATGAATCAGGTAAATAGTTGTATCATATGTGTATGTATATTATCAAAATTTTTTGTCTGTCCCCTGCATTTGGCTAAGTTTATGTTCACGTTCACATAAACTTAAAATTAGTTATGATAATGAGTTTTACGAGTACATTTAGCTTAGTGAATCTACCTATGTATATTAAGAATAAGAAGAATAAGTACACCTAACCTTTTTGCTTCAGTAAGTGTCTTATGAATAATTTTCAAGAAAAACGTATCGTAATTTTTTGTACATCTCTACTTATTATGTTTGTTCAACAGGTCAGCGGTTTATAGCGATCGAGCTAGAACTTGTCGACTGAGCAGATACAACCAGAAGGATGGAATGCGGCTACTATACGACCCAGATTTCGATTATTACGAAAATCTTATGCGTAAGTTTCAATTTGGTTTTAAAGTCAGATTTCGTAATCGTAAATTCAATGTTTACGATACTCTATGTGTATGATATAAGAAACTTGTACAGAATTCATTGGTCGTTATTCCAAAATAAGATTCCAATATAAATGCAGATTAAACTGAATTAAGAGCGTTGACTTAAAATAATTATCCTTATCAATGATCAAATAAATAAAGTTTTCGGAAATTTTGACTAAGTAGTTTGATACTTTCTAGAAACAAATTTTAAGACGACATTGAATGTATCGAGTTTTGACTGAGAGATCAATTTTGATGATGCTCAATTGAATACGTCGTCTACACATCTTGCTCATAATAAAATGTTATGTTTCATTTAAACCGTAAATCTTAGACTAGTTTTTAATTGCCTTAATAGGCAGAGAGTAACATTGCGCATCCTTCGTGCCTTAATTCGCGCTGTAATGCATGATGAATGCATGCTATTAAAATGCAAGATGAAACAAAAAAAACTTTTTTTATACCTATCTATTCGCGGGTAGTCCTGGAGGCTATTCTAGCGAACAAATATTAATAAATTCCAATTAAACTTACTGAACGTGTCGCTGTTGAGATTGCTATAATAATGTTCTCATTTTAAATAGAGAAATTACTCTATAATTTAGATTTTTTAAACACTCTAAACCTATTAACTTAAATGCACTTTAATTATAGTCATAAACAACAACTTAGATATAGACGTAGGTTAAATCGCAGGTAATTAAAGCCGGTTCCTCATAATGAACAAAACCATTAAGATTGTGACAATTATTGTTAAATCAATTAATTTGTATTTAAATGTGTCTTTGTTGTTGCTAATTTGTGTTTGTGTTTAAAAAAGATTACGTCTAGCCATTTTATGTGGTCTACAGCGTTTTATTGTGTCCATTACTTATTGAAATTGATCTGTCCCACAAATTGAGTTATACTATTGAAGCTGGAGCCACTTGCTTAAATTAGTGTGGGTCGAAGTCAACAGTCTATTTATAGACAATCATTACTGAGTGACTAAACGTGAGAATGTCCTATCTAGGTACCAATCTTTGATAGAGGTTATTTTATTACTTATTATGCTTGACTGAATTCGCTCGCAATCTGTCACAGAGTTGTATTTCGTGANCCCACAAATTGAGTTATACTATTGAAGCTGGAGCCACTTGCTTAAATTAGTGTGGGTCGAAGTCAACAGTCTATTTATAGACAATCATTACTGAGTGACTAAACGTGAGAATGTCCTATCTAGGTACCAATCTTTGATAGAGGTTATTTTATTACTTATTATGCTTGACTGAATTCGCTCGCAATCTGTCACAGAGTTGTATTTCGTGATAAAAGTTTGTAATGACCAATAAGTACTATTGAAAGAGAAAATTGAATTGGTTTTTTAAAGTACATACCGATCGTATAGTACATAAATATAGGTAAAAGTGTTATGACAGATCAACTAGTAACTGGGGAGACAGAGACAGGATCTGGGTCCGGTTCGCAGACACCCTGGGGAAAACCGACCACAACAGGTTCGATGCATGGTAGTCAGAAATATTTTGGTATTGTTTTGGCGATCGACATTGGCAGTTTACGGAGGAAATGTATAATAGTAACTCAATTACCCGCGTTCTTCTTTCAATTCGCTGTTTCTTTTACGTCAACGTTACTTCTCATTACCTTAATTAAATCTAAATTGTTTTTAAGTAGATGAAGCACGGAGATGAAAAAAATTGCAATGTTTTTCACTATATATATTGACGAGAATTAGTTGTTTATTTTTAGATTAAATAACAAAGTTGATCGCCGTGACAATGATTGCGACGTGGTTTTATGTTTTGCGTAGTTATTATTAAATTTGATGACGTTTTCCTTATTACAGAGGTCATTTGGTTATAGGGTGTATTATTTTGTTTTTTTTTTTGTAATTCGAATTTTAAAATTTATGGTCATAAATTAGTGTATGTATATGTATGTAGATTTAATAAATGGTATTCAAGCAGAGGTGAGTCAGCTTTGACGTTTTGTTTTGATGACAAATTAGTTATACATATAGTCTTTCGTGTAGTAGAAATATGTTTTATGGCTTTTTGCATGTTTCCGCATTTAATGTAGATTATGAACGAAAATATTATGTATGTAGAGGAAGGGATAAAGCGCACGTCATTTTATGATTGAAAAATTCATTAAAAGTAATTCTATTGTTTTTTCTTGAAGGCGGGAGTAGCAACAGTGATCGAGATAGATACCCACAAGGCGCAGACCGCTATCCCGACGACGACCGATACTCTGACGATGATCGGTACAGCAGCCGACCAGATCGGTACCCAGAAGACCGGTACCCGGCTGGTTCGGACCCGGATCGATACCCACCGGGCGATAGATATCCTGACGATAGATACCCCGATGACAGATACCCTCCTGGTGTTGGACCTGAAAGATATCCTGCTGATCGATATCCTCCTGGAATTGACCGATATCCTCCCAGCGTTGATCGCTATCCACCTGGCATCGATCGATACCCATCAGTAATTGATCGTTTTCCGCCTGGAGGTGACCGTTATCCTCCTGGAATTGACCGTTATCCACCGGGAGCTGATCGATATCCTGCGGGTATTGATCGCTATCCTTCTAACGTAGATAGATACCCTGGTAGTCTCGATAGGTATCCTAGTAGGTATCCCGCATCCAACGGAGAACGGTTTCCTCTGGATGGTGGACGCTATCCCACTTACGATCCAGTTCCAAATGACCTCGGTAGATATCCTGCTGCAGATCGGTACCCTATTAGTAGATACCCCATCGATGTTTATCCAGATAGATACCCAACGAATAGATACCCAGAACGCTTTCCTGCTCGTGGAAGATACCCGTCCAGACCCGGGTGGTATTCCAACCAATATTCTGATAGGTTTGACCAAGACAGATATTCTGGTTCTGACTGGGGTCGTTATCCTTATAGTCGGTATCCTATTGGAGTAAATAGAGATCCCGTACCCCTGGGTGGGGATCGTTATCCGGATATGTATGATAAATACCCACCAACTGGATCTTCATATCCTGGTAAGCCTGAATTAAAAATGTACCCACTATTAGAGCTAATATCGACTGTAATAATGCAATCTATAATTAACAAGCAATCATTTAATGTAGTTATCGAAAATATATATACCAGTTCTACTTTTGATGATGCAATGGGTTCACAGGAAACAGTAAAATAGAAAATGCTTTAGGTATTGAGTTTGCAATTGTACCTTTTGTGCATAAGGTTATAGAAATACATGACTAATATTGTAGTAAAATGCAAAATGAACAATTTAATGTTATGTAACTAAACTTTTGTAATTCTATTGTTGTATAATTGTATATGATTGTTTAAAACATCGCATGTATAATAGGGTACAGTCGTGGAGGCTATTACGGTCAAGATTTTCCTGGAGCAGATCGTTTTCCAGACAGAGGCGTGAGACCAGGACCGGATAGGTATCAAGTTACTTATTACGCTTTTTTAAAATTGCAGCAATGGTTTTTAAATTGTACCTTATTTATTGTACAGATTTCCTGCAGAACCCAGACCCAGTTTTGGAATACGACGACCAATAGAGAGACCAAATGGGTATCGTGGTACTTATCCACAGCCAGGCTTAGAAAGACCGATTGGTAAATGTTGAATTCATTTCAAAGCATTTCTTATTTCAGATCTCTTATTGTGTTGATCATTTCCTTAAATCGATGAATTCATTCATAGGTGGTCCTACATACGGTGGTTATGACAGTGATGGTCCTATCGGTCCAATCGGTGGTCCTGCAGGTCAGATAGGCCCTGTTGGTGGATCGATAGGGGGTGTGATTGGTGGTCCGATTGGAGGTCCAATTGGTGGTCCTATAGGAAGACCACCGCTTCAGCGACCATGGCAAGGCTCAAGATGTGAGGAGGACAGCTTCAGACAAGTTGGTAGACAACGCATGCAGCGAAAATATGTACGTCGGTTTACGACAGCCCAGTCTTTGGCTCATTGCCAACGAGAATGCATTGAAGCTCGTGACTTTATATGCCGATCGTTTAACTTCAGGTAGAGTTTCTTTACGTGGTTTCTATATTCATGCATCTTTGAAGATTTCTTTCTAATTTTGATATTCCCGCAGGGACGTGGGTTTTGGTGTTGAACCACGTGATAACTGCGAACTAAGCGACCGTGATACCAGAGAGTTGGACGCAGCGAACCCAGCACATTTCGACAATACCGCCAATGAATATGACTTTTATGAGAGAGCTCTTGGACGCATGGCTGAAGAATGTTTGGATGGTAAAATTGATATTCTTTAGATTTACCAATTTAGAACTGGCTTAGCAATTTAGAAATGGTTAGAGGATTTGATAGGCTAGGTATCAATCAGTAAATACGGGTTTGTGAACTTAGCCATTTCGAGCTACTACTCCAACTTTTCCATCCTCACTTTTATCTATCCTAACCTACCCTCTAATTTCACGCTGACCACTGATTTATTTACCATATCTAAGAAGTGTTGTCAGACTATTAGTTATAGTAATCACGAATTTAATGACAGTAGAATAAGAGTGATCCCCGCCAGGGTGTTGCTCGAGCGATATGACATCTTCTTCCAAGGTTTGAAAGAGTCTTCATCGCTTCGGCTATATTCCCGACATTTCTGGTGGTATAACTGACGGTAACCACTGACTAAAGTATGGTATAAAAATGATGAAATGAGTTACAATAGTCATAATTTCGGTAATAATATACAAATCATTTTTTTTATAATAATTTCGAGTGTTTCTCTACAGTATCACAGGTCTGTAACGAAGATGGAATGGAGTTTACCCTTCGACTACCCGAAGGATTCTACGGTCGCATTTATACATACGGATTTTATGACAGATGCTTCTTCAGGGGCAATGGTGGTGTGGTTAATTTATTGCGTATATCTGGGGCCCATGGTTATCCGGAATGCGGTACCCAAAGGGTAAGGCATTTGCATTAAGATATCATTAAAAGTGCAATTTAAGTTTTCATTATCAAACTAATTATTCATATTAATACTTTTTATTAGTATGGAGATACCATGACGAACATTGTAGTGGTACAATTCAGTGATAATGTTCAAACGTCTCGAGACAAAAGGTTCAATTTGACCTGTCTCTTCCGGGGACCGGCAGAGGCTGTTGTCACCTCCAACTACATAGGGGCAGGGTGAGTTAAATTTGTAGATTATATTGTATGAGAAGAACTACCACAGAACTTCTCTCATAAAACGAAAAGTGAAAAATCAAAAACATAGTACGAGCCATTAAAAAATATGGTATATTCCTTTATTTCAAATTTTTTTTTTTATTAAAAGCAAAACGACTAGCATGTTCGTTTGGGTTGATTCGTTTTTTAAATTTTACATGTAGGTACAAGCTATGGAGTGGATTCCTCATATGTGAACTAGACGTTTTGTTAATAAAATTATGTAATTAATATTAATTACTATTGGTTTGCGAACTATGTTTTTTCGGTCTGTTTTTTTCTTATTCATATTTTACATCGAAGGGGTACATAAAAAAACTAATGTCGATCTTTGATGCTTGGATTGAACTTAAGAAGTTCAATTAATTTTACGCTGAATCGTCTTCTGAAACAAGCGTTCAATGTAAAAAATAACATTCTAACTGTTGTTCTGTGATGTTTTGAGTTTGCCCAATGTAACCTAATTGGATTTGTTCCAAGACATCTCTAACTATATCGAATACTGCATACTATGCTGAGTTAAAATTTTGTTTTGAACGTTTTCTGTAACCTGTGGTGTGTTTTGGGATGTTTCGATTTGTTTGTTGACTCACTCATTTTATAGTGAGAATGAGTAGTTTTATGTGATTAACATTTAGGAATGCAAGTTAACGTTTGCTGTTTGAGTGCTGTTATTTCACTAACGGCTACTAACGTGGACTTTGAACGGTTTTCATCCATAAATTCAAATTAGAAGATTAAAATAACATACATATATTAAATGGCCATACATAAAACTATTCTATTCGCGATCGAATTTACCAGTATGGTCGAGCGCCGTGGCTGTTCTCGAATATATGATATACCGACACGCATTTGTTAAATAACTTTAACAATACTATGTGCTTAGTGCGAGTTTTTTAACGTTCTCGATAGCGTAAAAGTTAACTCAAATTTGTATGCAGTTTGAACAGCGCCCCTAGCGGCAAACGTAAGCAAACGTTCCAACTCCGTACAAATTTGAGTTAACTTTTACGCTATCGAGTACGTTAAAAAACTCGCACTAAGCACACTGGTGCAGCTTTAGCTATTGCAAGTACCAATAATTGTACAAACAATGATTAAGAATCTGTAAGATACACAAACGTATCTAATAGAAGAACATTTGTGATAATTTATTATTATAATATTTATAGTTAATGTTTATATTAAAAGAAAATTCTACGGTCGATGGAAACTATGATTCACAAAACAATAAAATAAATCACGAAAGTCATTCAAAGTCATCAAACCTCAAAAGAAACAAAGATTTCTAAATCTCACTGTAGTTTCGCATTCAATTTGATTGACAGATCGGGGAGCCCTATACCCATTGAATATCTACCAGAAGAAAGCTCTCTGAACTCTAAAGTTCGTCTCATGATCTTATATCAAGGAAGGCCCACGACCACAATAGCCGTTGGCGATCCGCTTACATTTAGACTCGAAGCTCAGGATGGATATAATTATGCCACAGACATATTCGCTACGAACGTGATCGCTAGAGATCCTTATTCAGGACGTTCTGTGCAGCTAATTGATAGAGTTGGGTAAGTGTAAACTTGTATAGTGTATAAGTGTACACCCGATATTTTGATAATACATTAATTATAATTATTGAAATGCACATGAGGCGGATGTAAAAATTACTTATGTTCCTTCGAACATTACCGAAAAACCATTTCCCTTATATGAATCGGCGAACTATAATATAATAGGTAATAGATAAAGAAAAAGTAGGCAAAAGTTTGAGGTCAAGTTTCACTTCCCAAGTATCAACAAAACAAAAGAGAAAAAATGTTTTTTTTTTTCAGTTCGCTTTGATTAACTGATTGGTTGAATTTCAACTAGGTGAACCACAGATAATAATAGAAATAAAAATTTGTTTTTTCAAATAATTTTTCAATTTGTCAATTTAGCTATACTAATAAGATTTAAATCAGACGATGAATAGAAGATGTATAACATGGCATACGTACCCTTGATATCAGAAAGAAGCAATTTTTTAATTGAGTACGACATCATTTGAGTTCGTGTACACTTTATAGATGTCCAGTGGACCCGGATGTGTTCCCGGAATTGGATAAGGGTCGCAATGGTGATTCCCTGGAGGCCAGATTCAATGCGTTCAAGATACCAGAGTCTAATTTCCTAGTGTTTGAGGCGACAGTTCGCACTTGTCGGGATGGCTGTCAACCGGTATGTAGTCCCTTACATACATAATATGTACATACTCTTTGATCTCAAAAGTGGTACTATGAATTGATTCATTAGAATGGAAAATAATTAAATATTCAAATTAAAATTTATAAGTAAAAAAAGGAAAGAACCAATACTAACTATAGTACTGACAGCGGGTCGGTTGTGCCTCTTCTACTGCTGATCCCTAGAATCACGTGATTGTCTCGAGAGGTATCTTTTTTATTGTTTAGATGCGTAGACGAACTCACAGCCAACCTCATGTTAAATGGTTACAGGAGCCCAAATAACTATATCAACAACGTAAATACCGCAATTCACCGCATTCATATAGTAGAACGGTTGATCCACTCTTTTAACCGAAACGCATTACTAATTCACGGCAGAAATGGGCAGGCTTGTGGTACATTCTCGTGCGGGCTCACAAGACATCCTACCACCAATATAACTAATGTGATATTTATTGAAATTTTCGTTTCCACACCGCTTATTACTTGTAAAGTTATAATATATTATTTCGATAAATCATTCAAGTTCATATTAGAAATTTACAAGCAAAATAAATAAAAAGTTTGTACTGTTCGCTATGTACAAATTACAAAAAAACAGCTTAAATTTTAATTTTTTATTAATATTATAACAAGAAACGCGGCAGTATTATCAAAATAACATCAGAAATTTAATGTTTTGTTACGAATTTTAAACAGTACCTATGTCAATTATTTAAAACTATAAATGACGAAAGAACCATTTTGCTATGAAATTCAATTGATTAACAGTTGACCGACACATTTGTCATTGTTTAGCTGAATTAAACATTAGGAAATGTTGTCCAATGGAGATAAACGCAAACATATTATTACGTCAATGCAGTAAAAATACGGTTATCGGCCTCCATCCACTATATGGGGTCACCAAAGGGTTATCCATTTGACTATAAGACTCGTTCACATAAACCTCAACTTTACACGACTAATTAATTAATAGAATTGTTATTTTGGTCGCCTTTTTGCCTCGCTGACTATAGGAAGCTAATACTCGATCCAGATTTGATACGCAGAGGAATAAGTTAATTTGTTAGAGACATTTAGAGTTCGGTGCGTACGGATTCTTGTGCCACGTGTTTTCGCGATTCATTGGTATATGAGAAAAACCAAGCTCGTGACTTGACATGAAATGCTTATTAATTTTGAAATGAAAATTACCTTAGTGTCGTTGTGATTGAAGTTGATGAAACTGAAAAGACGCTCGCAAAGCAACAATATAGAGAGACAAAGATCGGTACATACATATCGAGGTCAAATTGAGAACTTTTGCTTAGGAAATTGAATTTAATCTTAATTTTAAACAAATGTCTTGTGTTGAGTACAAGATATTTTCAATTTTTTTGTGAGGTATAAATGGCAATGCGAAACCTTAGGTATCATTATTCTCCATATGCACAAGTCTCAAGTTTTGCATAAACATCAACAGACCTTATTGATACCATTTCTATTCTGAGCTATTGACTTCTGCTTGCTGAGGAAGATCATGCCACATGCTCATGACAAATGATTGTTATTACTATACGCTTACATGATATTTTATCTAAATGTAAATAAGCGTTGACATAGTAATTAAAACGTTGCAATTCACAGGATGATCTAATTATCAGTTCCGTACATATTATATTTTNATCAACAGACCTTATTGATACCATTTCTATTCTGAGCTATTGACTTCTGCTTGCTGAGGAAGATCATGCCACATGCTCATGACAAATGATTGTTATTACTATACGCTTACATGATATTTTATCTAAATGTAAATAAGCGTTGACATAGTAATTAAAACGTTGCAATTCACAGGATGATCTAATTATCAGTTCCGTACATATTATATTTTGTTTTATTGACATTCCCGGTAAAAATAAAAATAAATTTTAACAATTGAAAAGGAACAGTAATATGAATTAAACGGAAAAGATAACTTACCGTTTTTTTTTATTACATTATTCTATACTACAGTGTTTTTTAGGGATGTTCCGTTATAACTACTGAACCATACATCCGATTGGCTTGAAACTTGGTATCCATGTAGAAAATACATGTACTTAATGGATAGGCTAATATTTATATGAGTGTTGTACTGCCTAATAATAATGACAATAAATAATTATATTAATTTTAAATACCTAGCGAAGCGGGCGAGTACGGCTAGTTTTTTCTACTTAAGCATAATAAATAGTTCTACCAGCGGATTTTTTCAGCTTTCTTCTTTTTCAGCTTCAGGAAAACCATATTATTACGCTTGATTTATAACTTTACGTTAATTTCTTTGTTTTTATATTATTCAGGCGTACTGTCCGAGTCACACCGGTCGTTCGGAGCCTTCGTTCGGGAGACGACGTCGTGACGTTAACGCAACAATCAGCTTTGAGGGCAACGACACAGTAATACCGAAGTCTGAGGACGCAAACAAAACTGTAGATAAACCTGACAATAATGAGGGTGCAGTCTATAAGGTGTCATACGAGGAAGCCGCTGTCGATAAATATCTCAAGGACGAAGTCGAGACACCGAGTCATGTCAGGAAAATGATTGAAGTTAGTAAACATTTTCGTTCTCTCAATGAGATTGACAATGATGGAAATTTGACAAACGTTGTGTTAAATTGCTTCTAATACAACAATATCTGAATTGGATAATTCCATCACTGCCAAAATTAAATATATTTAAGCGCGCGCGTTTATTTCAATGTAAATTAACTACAAGTAATACGTCTATTCAATATGATGACGGATTCAAATGAGGTGACATTTTTTGCTGTTTTTTTTTCTCGTCATTGAACATTAGTACCTGTTATAATTATTATTATTCCATGACAGATATAAATTCCTAGTATTAAATTTGCTTTATAAGAAGCCTGTTTGTTAAATGATTATTTTTTTCGATTTTCGCTAATCTTGAACGTAATTTAAGCCACTTTTACGAATATTAATGTTATGATACGTGGACTGCATTTCGGACTAACGTATAAATTTTGCAAGAACTTAAAATGTCCTCGCGACTGTCACCCGAGTGTCTTAGTAGGCCTTGAATACTTCGGTCACATTGCCAGGAAGGATGGTACCAATCTCGAGAGGCACATCGTGACCGACAAAGTAGATGGGAGGGGACTCTCGGGGGCGCAGCCCAATACGTTGGTCCGACAACATGGCCAGAGACAAGAATAGATGGAAAAAGATTGTGCGTGCAAAAGTGATACAAAAGGGTGGTCACGACCCTCAGCAGTGAGCAATAAGACGCAAGGAGGAATATTATGATAAAATGTTTTTGTTATTGTATTATTTCCGATGTTTCGATTATCCTTTTGGTAGTAATGGACCAATATCGTGACGGTAATAAGCGCGAAATCGAACCGTGAATTAATTTAAATCATCAATTTCTTTTATTAGGTGTTCGACAATCGCAACGAGCTTCTAGAAGAGAACGGTTCGTCGGATTCGTCTCCGGTTGTTTCGGCCGTCGGTGTATGCGTTTCTCCTTACCATTACCGCAGTCTGCTCGTCGCTCTCTGTGTACTACTGTCCTTATTGTTGGCTATGATGACTGCTGCGCTTTACATTTACAGGTTAGTGGAAATATTAGGTCAATAAAGTATTTGGTTTTGTTCCACATAAAACTAATGTTCTTTTCACGACCATTAGTGATGTTCTTGGATACAATATCAATTGCGCCTGAGCCCATAATTAGAGCAAGCCGGTCATAGAAATAAGAAATAGAATAACTAAACTTTGTGAACAGTAATAAATTAAATTCAATAAGTTTACCAATAGGCAACGGATTGACTGTGCTCCTGGCATTGTCGAAGTCCTTAAGTGGGGTATGATATACAATGGTTATAGTGGCGTAGCGGTCTTTTTTTTATTGCTTAAATAGGTGGGTGAGCTCACAGCCCACCTGGTATTAAGTTGTTAATAGAGCCCATAGACATCTACAACGTAAATGCGCCACCCACCTTGAGATATAAATTCTAAGGTCTCAAGTATACAACGGCTGCGCCACCCTCCAAACCGAAACGCATTACTGCTTCACGGCAGAAATAGGCAGGGTGGTGGTATCGCGGACTCACAAGAGGTCCTACCACCAGTTTTAAATCACGCAATGCCTTTTTAGCCTTTTTGCCTTTTTGAACTTTCGTAATTCGCTAAATAATTTATTAACGGTCTATTTTCAAAAATCAGGCGTTATTGGAGAGTCGTTCGAAAGAATATTCAAGCATCATCGGCAGCTCCACCACTGCGCCCTGTAACNAGGCAGGGTGGTGGTATCGCGGACTCACAAGAGGTCCTACCACCAGTTTTAAATCACGCAATGCCTTTTTAGCCTTTTTGCCTTTTTGAACTTTCGTAATTCGCTAAATAATTTATTAACGGTCTATTTTCAAAAATCAGGCGTTATTGGAGAGTCGTTCGAAAGAATATTCAAGCATCATCGGCAGCTCCACCACTGCGCCCTGTAACTCCTGGACCCAGACCTACGAGACCTTCCTTATTCTCGGCTTCACATTTACACAAACCATTCTCGCTCAGGTAAATACTGTTCGGTAAACGAACACAACAGATTCATAATAAAATCTTGATAAATAGGTATTTCTTTCGAACTAATTCGAAGTAATTCCTACCTTATTTACTTACCGTTTTTATTTAATTATTTAATTGAAACGCCTAGTAGTACCCCTAATGTTATTCAAGAAACATATTTATTAGTTAATTAATCGCATATGTTACATTGCGTCAATTTTTGGAACGAAGTTCCATACGGGACGATGCGGAGGGGTACCCTAACCGGGAAAAAACGTAACGTAAGATTTTATGTTTGTTACCTCATAACTTTTGACTAGGTGAATCGATTTTGATGATTTTTTTTTTTATTAGAAAGCTGACGCTTTCCGTTTGAGCTCATTTCAATTTAGTCCAGTTCTGCTAATGGTATCAATGAGAACCATAAAAGCCTTAAATTTGCATTAAGTACGTGCGCGACAAATAGATAAATAACTCAATATCACGCCAACCGATTTCGATGATTATTGTTTTTAGTGTATATTAATTTGTTTTGGAATATCTTTTTTATTTTATTATTATCAATAAAAAAATCATAATAAAAAATGTATACCCGAATAATTATTTTCTTTATACCTCGAATAGAATTAATATTTTTTTATAATAAGGAAAACGTTCCTATCCGGTGTCTATATCTATACTAATATTATAAAGAGGAAAGATTTGTTTGTTTGTTTGTTTCGAATAGGCTCCGAAACTACTGGACCGATTTGAAAAATTCTTTTTCCATTAGAAGCCGACATTGTCCCTGATGAACATGGGCTACTTTTTTTATTTTTTTTTTGGTTTCATGTGTGTTTTAATGTTTCCGAAGCGAAGCGAGGGCGGGTCGCTAGTATGAAATAAAAGGCTTATAATTATTATGGTTATTGTTATTTAATTGAAACGCATTTTTGCTTCACCCAGGCGTTTTATGAGTCTAACCTAATTTCTGTCTCTATCCATATGGGGTGACAATACCTTTACTAAGCTGTTAAAAATCTTTATTCGAGAAATAATGTTATAATTAAATATTCTAGTGGTCTTGGAAGAACATTTGGGGAAGGTGAGGAGGCCGGCTCATCAGGTCGTCTTGCAAGCGCCTTTGACGACGGCAGCGAGCCAATTTACACGGATCCTTCGCTTTTCGAGCGCTCACGATCCCTTCGCTCTCTGCACTCTCTTGACATGAAACCCGAACGTCGCGACAATCGACAATAACTCACATTTGAAATATACATCACACTCGATCGATTATGTGAATATCTGCACTGATTCTGTTTTGATGGGCTCACTTGTAATGGAGAATTGTTTTGTTAAAGTCCATAAATAATTAATTTCATTTTATATTTAATTCATAATTGTATCGAACTAGCTATCTGTGAAATCCATTGCGACAGATAATGACAATGGTAACGGAATCGATTTTCTTAGAAATATGTTTTTTTTTTTTTTTTCTAACGTAACTAGAGAATGCAAAAGTTTAAAAATAGCTCCGAATACACGGAATAATGAGAATGATCATTAAAATTACAAATAAAATGCCAATTTTGATTTTACGTATTTTTTTATATGGATCGAAGGAGGGTATATTAAAATCATTGTAATTTAATAAGATACAATCAACTTTTCGTTTCGGTGCAGATTTTCATAAAATACAATATTGATTTATTAAATTTAATTTACTGTAAAAAGAATTAACGAAAAGCAATTCTAATAAATTAACGCAACTGCCATAAACATGCTCAGATTCCGTGAAATGGCTACTAACAGAAGTTAGCAAGAATGCTTACGAATTTTTATTTTAAAATTTTTCATCATGTTTAATTAAGCTGCTACTAATAAATGTTTTACAGTAAATCATTGTTTGATTTCATTCACACCTTACCTACTTCTTAATAATAGGGGTTAAAGTATGAAATTGCCCTTTTATTGTAATAGATAGGTACTTTGAATTGACATAGAACCTTCATGGTTTGAGATTTTTGAAACTTTTTTTAAATGGTACCTATAAGGTTCTTCTTTTAAAAAATGTACTACATTCGATTATCGACTTTCAGGTGTTTTTTTATTCAGCTTAGACAAGAAAGATGGATACTTCGAAAATTCGAGTGATTTTTGAAAACGAGTTCCGACTAATAGCCTGTACACACTACAACGATTTATCGTAGCGATTTAACTGCACAGTTCGTTTGTGCAGTTATCGTAGCGTGTGGACGGAAGTTGGTCTAATCGCTCAGTTCGTTCACAAATATTGTTGTAAGCGGACGCGTCAAGACCAAGAGCAAGAAGAACCGGGGCGAACCCCACTGCTCGGGCAGAAGCTCCCTGCCACTCAGGGCAGGGGTGAGGTGTGTGCAGGATGAGATGGGGCGGAAGCTGTTCGTAGCGTGCTAGCGTGCTCAGTACATCGACATATATACATAATGCCGTGCTGATGTCTGATTTTTTTTCCACTTTATCCAGAGCTATTAAATAGCTATTAAAATGAAATTTGCTTGTGAAATAAAACATGAAATAAAAAAAGAAAAGATTATCATGACGGCAACAAGAAAAATGATAGACTAATTATTAAGTGCAAACCTATTGATCCTAATGCCAATACGGATACGGTAGTAAAGAAATTAAATAACCTCCGGACTTCTTACAAGAAAAAACTCGACAAAGCCAAAGTCGCGTCAAAATTGGTCTGTTTTTTAGACTAAATTCAAAATTTCAACTTATTTAATAAATTTATGAGAGAGTATGACTTTCTTTTAAGAAGACACTCCTTACACCACACACTACGTGATTTTTGCACGAAATAAGCCAGGCTATCGCAAGCGCGTCATCATTTTCTATCGCGAACGACATGTTTACAGTCTGAGCTTCTGCAGAGAACTGACCACAGAACACTATTACTTCTAGCGAAGGAACTGACGATCGATGCAGATATCGTTGACGTGTGGACACTCAATGGACGTACAATAAACTGTGCAGTCACATCGTTACGATAAATCGTTGTAGTGTATACCGACCATAGCATTGCAGAAACAGTTCGCAATATCAATGTTGCGTTTGGAGAGGGGACTGCTAATGAACGCACCGTGCGATTTTGGTCTAAACGCTTTCGTGATGGAAATTTTGATTTCAAGAACATGTGACATTCACACATGTGAATAAAAATGAAATAAAGAGATGGTAGAAGCCGATCCGAGCCAAACTACCCAGGAATTAGCGGCTTAGTTTAACGTTCCCTTACCAACAATATTGACTCATGAATGCGAATTTTTAAAAGAAGAACTTCATAGGTACCATTTGAAAAACGTTTCACTCAAAAATCTCAAACCATGAAGGTTCTATGTCAATTCTATGTCAATTACAATACAACAGCAATTTCATACTTTAACCCCTATTATATTAGTTACCTACATAATTACCAGCACTATCATATTTATATTAATTATACGAGTAATAGATCTTTGTCTATGAAATTGCCGTTTTATAATATTGCCGTGACAAGTAAATAGTAATTATGGAAAACGAGTTTCGTCGCAGCAGCAATGCCGCAGGAACGCCTCACAACATTAATGACGTGTATGGAGTGAACACTGCAGATGAACGCCCGGTTTGGTGTTGGTTTGAACGCTTCTGTCAGGGAGATTTTGGTATTAAAAATCAACCTTGTGGTTAAAAAAAAAATTATTGCCCTTCTATGCAGACATTCTAATGGACCACCTTTGTCACCATCGGTCAAGGACGAAAGCACAACTGACTGTTGACTTATAAATCTAAGAAATTACAAGAATTTTGTTTGGAATGTTTTGAATGGTTTTGCAAGAAAACATGTTTTAAATTGTTTTAATATTTATATAATTTATATAATGTCTATAACTTAAAAGTAAATAATGAACTATGAATATTTGCTACATATGATATGGTGCTGGTGTGCGTACACTCATTAACGGCGAGTCCAGATATTCCATTTCAGTTGCACTCGGACCTGGTTCTGTTTGTGCATTTAATTTCTGTTGTAAAGTCTCATATAATTTATGTACAGATTCATTATGCTGAGTTCCAGGCTGCAGCGCTTTCATAAGAGTTTGAATTCTAGTCTCTGGTAATTTTGGATGAATATACCACAGCAATTTCAATAAGTGTCTTGTCACATTATCCTTAGATAGTCCAGCAAAGAAGAATTCATCAAATAATACAGTACTAAAATCTTCTCCTTGGAACTCATCAGGTAACTGTACTAGAAGTGCTACTAAGGCATGCAAAAATGGGTCTTCATATGCTCTGCCATCTTTACAACTACCGAGAATACTAAGAATGCGAAGTAAGGCACCACGGTCACGTAATTTGGCTGCATGCAGTGTGTAGTACATTGCAATAACACCACAAACTGAGCTTTCTCTCATATAAGCTTCACAAGCATCAGGCGGAGGTCCCGAGTGCTCTATCGTAGTGATGGCAGACTCTCTTTCATCTGGAGGTAACTTATTATGTAGTGCTCTCACTTGATCATCCACCATCAATGACATCAAGGCAGGCAAGTATTTTGTGACACATTGACTATCTAATTTTGGCTCTTTGAATTCTTGAGAATCGATCATTACCCAAGCGCTCAACCCTAATGCCAACATTCTTAGCAGCAGTATTAAAACTGTACTATCTCGAGGTAGCCCTTCAGTGTTTATTAAATGTTGTAAAATTTTGATAGCTGACGTTGCTAAGAAATTGATAGCATAAGGGTCGCATAACGTCATAGAAAGATCTCCTAGAACTTGCTCCTGTCCCTTTTTAATACTGTCTAAAAAACCTTGCAGTTCCCTAGATCTTTTAATGTCTACATTCCTTTCCCTGATACAAGCATCCAAACACCATGTGAATTTATGACAAGGGTCTACAGATATGATGTCTTGAACTTCTAGGTCATGCAAGGCCATGAGAAGCTCTGCTCTTAATGTACAATAATGAACATTTCTAGTTCTTAAGAATAATGTTCTCAAGAATTGTAACACCATGTCATATAACTTAACACTAGTACCTATCATGTGGGCAAGTTTCTGAACAACTGCACCTTGTCTCCTTACTTTTGGTGAAGGGGAAAAAAATAGATTTGTAAGATTTTCATGATCAAACAGAACATCTTCTTTCTCCCTGATGTACTGACTGAGGAGTGGAGAAACTTCATCTCCAAACAGTGACTGGTTGTCTTGCCATATTTGACGCTTCACCTCAGTATCTGTGTCATTGTACAGTTCTCTGTCGCGAACTAGTACCCTTAGATACTTATCATCTATATGTGGGATATTTTTAAGAATACCCATTATAACAGGTCTTAAAGCTTTAACTCTGACAACTGGGAAGCTTTTAGATAGCAGTTCTTTGAGTTTTTTGTCATTATCCTTGTTATCTTTATTGCCAAGCTCGTTGATGTGTGCAATGAGTTTTTCACGTAATTCCTCCAGAACTGATGTATGAAAGTCGAGCCGCCGAACGCCATGCAGGTCTAGTAAAGGCAACATCGGCCTTAAAGAAGGCAATAAAATACCGTTTTCAAGTTGAAACTCTTCAATAGCTTTCAATGGGTCGGTACAACTTGTCAGAGCATCTCGCAAGAAAGTTTGTCCTGGTACTCCCACTTCTTCTAGACCAGTGCCTGGTAGTTTACTTGACGACGCCATCGATCTTAATTTAATTCAGTTTTTCAGTTCATTTAATAAATCAACACAAATAAATCTTAAATAAAGTTAACAACAACAGAAAATAACATAAATTAAAGTTTCCTGCTTAGAAATTATTGACAAGCAACTGACAATAAGCATATTGACGTTTGACATCGAGCAGTACTTTTATTTTTTCAACTGGAAAGACAAATATGTCATACCATACGCCTACTCATATATATTCTTATATATGAAAAATGAAAATTTGAAGTGAAATAAAATGAAGTTGAATAATTAATAACATGGTATGAAATACAATGAGATGAGATGATATGGGATGAAATATAATCTGAGTAAAATGGTGGTTATTTACTAAGGCTTTTTAAGTGGACTTTTTGGAGATTCCGAGAATTTACGTCCAGCGGCTTTGTTTCATTTTCCTACATTTGTGCACTTTCACAGATAATAAACAGCTAATAAACCACTGTTATTACACAACTGAAAACGTTTACAGATAAAAAGCCGTTTAATATTATTTGTAATCTCTTCGTAGTCTGTCATAACATAGTTATTATGTTTTATTGGCTCAAACGACCCGCTACCAAGCCATAAAATCTATAAAAATTACAGTGTTCTAAAATCTGTCTGTTTGTAGCAATCAAATTACCAATTAAATGCCTTTCACTTGTGTATAAAAATGGATAAACAGAAAACGTAATTACTGATTGGTTTTCGTCCTAGTTTGAAGCAATGCTAACAACTGAAATGAATTATATACATACTGCTTTTCAGGTTAATATGTGGAGATGTAAATGGGAATTTCAATGCTTTGTTTACGCGCGTAGAATCGATTGTGAAGAAATCTGGACAGTTTGATTTGCTTTTATGTGTTGGAACATTCTTTGGAGATGATAATTCACAACTGGATGCATATAAAATGGGAACGAGGAAAGGTAAAAACGTTGACTTAAAATTTTTAATACGATAGAGATGGGCTCATTAGTTTACGGTCGACCCGGTATGAGATAGTCATTGGAACCTCTAAATGTTTCACATTGATAATAATGATACCGTCGCTCATACTACCGCATGAGGATGAAGCATCAACATTATTGAGGCATTGGAATTTGTCAATATTAATTTTGGGTGGGTTATGAATACATTTTTTTCTGACTATATATTTTTTATCAACAATCTTAAATTACAGTTCCAGTTACAACCTATGTTTTTGGTCCATCAAATCCAGACCATGCACATCATTACTGTGAAGAAGGATCTGAGATAGTACCTAATGTTATTTATATGGGTAAGAGCAGTTTTGAAACACTTGAAAATATGCATAGAGCTACATTATTATTTTTATTGATTACAATAAACAAATAAATGGAATGCTAGAAGATATATGGAATTTTTTTTTTTTGAAAATAATAATATGTTATTGTTTCAGGCCGAAGAGGTCTTTTCAACACAAGTACCGATGTGAAAATCGCATACTTGACAGGTTTATCAAGGCGAGAGCTTGGTAAAGACATTCCTATGTGTACCTATGAGCCCAGTGACTGTAGTGCTGTCAGAGATGCATGTTTCAGAGGACAGAGTGAATTTAGAGGAGTAGATGTATTGATAACAACATTATGGCCATCGGGTATACAACAGGATGAATGTCAGAAGGTGATTTATTTATTGCACATTGAATGAAACAAAGCTTATTTTTTCTTTGATGAAAGTTAGACCAGATATTAAAAAGTTGTGCAGCTTAATTTCATGTTTTATATTACAATAGTAACAGTTTTCATAGTATAATCAAACAAACTAGCTGTTTTAATGATGTGGAAAATATTGAATGTCCTATAAGAAGCAATTCAGGCACCAAGATTATTCACTATCAGATGGGCTGTGAGCATGTCTGAACCATCTGCAAGCCATAACAATAGCGTATTGAAAAATAAATTGAAACCTATTTGAAACGAACAAACAGTAAATTTGTTTCGGGTGATCAGCTTAATTTATATTCAGTTTTATCATGAGGTCCTAATAATTACTAATTAGTAATATAAAATATTAATCATTAATATTAATTAATTAAAATTAAAATTTATTAGAATTAAATAATTTTATTATTAACTAATAATTAATAATAAAATTATTAATACGAACTGATAATAACACATAGAATGATCCTATTTAAAACACAACAAATGTATAAGTATACTATATTATTGAATTTGTTTCAGGTAGATGTTGAGCAAGATCGACTTTCAGATTTACTATCATGGCTTGCAATACATATAAAACCAAGATATCATTTTGTGCCATCAAAAGACAAGTTCTTTGAACGGCAACCATATAGGTTAGTGCTTTTACTAAATTAATGCCAAATTATAACATAATATGTGATGGGAGGGACATGATTGATAGGGCTTGATTGGGATGGTATGTCTCTTTCTCACAAAGTTAATTGGTACAGAATTTTCGTCTCCATTCAGTTTGAAAGGATTACATATGATTCATTTTTATCGCAAAAAAAAACAGTCATCAGAATTAAATTTTAAGATTCTTATAAGTCTCAATGAGCATATAAAAAAGATGATGGAAAGCGGTGATTATTAGAACCTGGCATACAAGCACTCAGTAAAATACACACTTTGTATTTTATATTAGTAAATTTAATTAAGTCATTGTGGCCTAGAGAACAAGATGACTGGTATTATTCTATTTACTGGTATTATTGAGCAATGCCACTAAGCTAGTCTTCGAGTGGCAGGTAGAAATTTTGCTAATATACTTAACAAATGTTCACGAATGACTTCCACGGTGAAAAAATAACATTATACAACAAAATGAAACTTGTATAATTCACAATATGTGTAATTACTGGTGGTAGAATATCTCGTGAGTCCCTACAGTTTGATACCATCACCCTGTCTATTTCTGCCGTTGTACTTTAAACTTAAGATTTAGAAGTAACGTTTCTAAGTGAGTGGCGACGTTCACGATGTGATGCGTATAAGAGCCATGAGCTTGTTCACCTGTCTAGGCAATAACTATAAAAAAGGTATGGATTAATTTATTAAGGCAAGCTAATTTAGCCCCTAATTGTATTTCAGAAATCAGAGTATGCATCAAGACTACAGAGAATGCGCAACACGTTTTATTGCATTAGCTCCTGTCGGCAATAATCTTAAAGAGAAATGGATATATGCCTGTTCTTTGCAACCCATTTCTAAGATGCGCATGACTGACTTACTCCAAGCTACGACAGATGAGACACCTTGTCCATATGACCCGGAGATGTTGAAGCAACACCAACCAGGGAAAGTTGTAAAGGTACAAAACTATTTCTATGGAACTGCAATTTTAAGATTTTTCACACATATTTTACTTGGTTATCTTATACATCTCATCAGTGTGATTAAAGGTAATCAAAACCAGATTTAACTGGCTTCTAGATATATATAACACTGCAAAGCTGAGGTTGAAGTCAAAATGATATTCTACAGGGGCTGTTTCATTCTTTTAACCGTAAGACATTAATGTTTTGCAGTAGAAAATAATTTATAATAATATGCACTGTCACTGGTAAAGATGGTGAGCTTAGCAATGGCGCGCAAGGTAACTCACAGCCTGAAGAGTTGCTAGAATATAGTACATTGTTTGTAAAATAGATGACAACCAGGGTTGGAAGGTTTGTTGTGTGAGGATTGCACACTGGCTCCACTGAGTTTCTCGCCGGATCTTCTCGTGGGTCGAGTGGGTCGCGTTTCCGATCCGGTGGTAGATTCTGCGAAGCACGGCTCTTGCTAGGGCCAGTGTTAGCAACGTCGTCAGGTTTGAGTCCTTAATAGTTAAGGTTACGCTGAAATAGTCTCTCAAGGCTATCAGATTAGGTATGAAAAAATAAGAAAAAGTACTGGCGTAGTCGCAGTGGTATACCGAGCTCAGGTCGCATATCACAATGTACAGACTGATGACTTTCGAAACGTGACGTTGATAATTAACGCGATTTATTGCTAGTCTAAAATAATAATATAGGTAAAAATAAATTACAGTTCACTGGAAATGGGCAGTTCTTCTTTGATATGAATGCACCAGATGACGACCAAGGAAAAAGGAAACGAGGATCTGACAAACCGGAAAGTAAAAAGAGAAATATCGAACCAGGTAAAAGTGTACAAGGATTACATAATTGCGCGAGACACTGAAATAGAAACATCGTCTTTTAGCATTAAAAGTGTACAATTTCCAAAAATATTCGAAATTGAGTTAATATGCGGAATCTTTTGGTATCACCAGTGTTTTTCAAATAAATACTGTCAAAAGAGCGTAGTTTATATTTAGTTTTTTTTTTTTAGTTTACCTATATTTTGACTACTAACAAAATTAATACATAATTTTATCTTACTTTAAAAGACAGATAACGTAACTGGTAAAAACTAAAAAATAAATGTTGCAAAGATGATTAATATTAAAAATATCACATGTTAAACCTTTAAAACACTCCTGTAAAATTAGTAAGTTTTGAGATTATACAGTTTTAATGCGAGAAGACGACATGTGGTTCTTTAGATAGATACTGTAAATAAAAATTGTAATTTGCGTAATTGTAATAATACTTCTATAGACTCAAGGGGGTGGCGGCAACATTTCCTCTGTGATGACTGTGTTTCGGTAACCACTTAATACCAGATAGGCTGTGAGCTCGTTCACTCGTATTTGTAATAAATAAATATATTCCGGTTTGGAGTTTGGAGCTAGTATACTCCAAAGTGTCTCTACAGAACAGTTCTCTGTTGTTCGTAATTCAGGAAAAAAAGTTCTTAGTCGGGACACTTGTCAGAGTAGTTGTGATTGCGCTGACGATGTACACGTAGAAGCATTCATTAGATCGCCCATGTTCTGGAGGATTGCCTTCCTGACGCTGCGCTAAAAAAAACTATTTTGTTTTAACTTACAGAAGAATGCTGGTTTTGTCTGTCTTCACCAAAGGTGGAGTCGCATCTTGTTATTTGTGTTGGCACCTTGTGCTACTTGGCGCTAGCAAAGGGTCCACTAACGCCATACCATGTATTGATACTACCGATACAACATCATCAGTCAACCACAAGGGTAAATAAATATANTCCTGACGCTGCGCTAAAAAAAACTATTTTGTTTTAACTTACAGAAGAATGCTGGTTTTGTCTGTCTTCACCAAAGGTGGAGTCGCATCTTGTTATTTGTGTTGGCACCTTGTGCTACTTGGCGCTAGCAAAGGGTCCACTAACGCCATACCATGTATTGATACTACCGATACAACATCATCAGTCAACCACAAGGGTAAATAAATATTTGTATTTATTTTCGTAATGCCCATTTCAGTATGAATATCTGAATTTAACATGAGTGAGATATATAAATTAGTATTATATGATTTTCATCAAAAGTAACCAACAATAAGAATAAATTTTTGTTATAAATTTAATGATTTCATCGCATAAGGTTTTTTTTGTGTTTATTGTGTTTGTCTGTATTTGTGATTATATAAAAAATGTATCCAATACATTATTCGAATTTTAGGCTCCGGATGATGTAATAAAAGAGATAACTAAGTTCAAAGACACTTTAAAGAAGTTTTATGCGACAATGAACATGGGTGTTGTTTTCTTTGAGAGAAATTATAGGACTTCGCACATGCAGATACAATGCGTGCCTGTGCCGAGGGCCTCTGAGTTACAGATCTTAGAAGTTTTTCAGGTTTGTTATTTTTTTAAATCTAGCTGGCGAAGGTACACGGCCAACGAATAAAATTGCTATTAATGCTATATTATGCATAAAAATAAAATTCATTTTTGTATTATATTAATTGTAACTGCGTTATGTTTGTATTTAATTGAATGTGCAATTTCGAAAAGGGCACATCTCTGAAAATGTAAAATGTTCAGGAACTGAAAAAAACTGAATATTTTCTAAAGCAGTGTAAAATTGAAAATATTAACTTTTGAGATATATTTTAGTGTTAATTAGCAATTGAACATTACTGGAATTATAAAATAGGTGTAGGTAAGCCTCAAAACTACATGTATATAAAAAAACGTATTTGACAAAGTGTGCGACATGTGCCCTTTTCGAAATTGCATATTCAATTGTGTATTAACGTCCAAAATGATTCTTTAAGGATGAAGCGGGCATCGCGAGCATACAAATGGAAGTATTGCCTCCTTATTCGGAAATCAGACAGGTGACATTACCGGGAGCCCCTTATTTTCATGCGGAATTGCCCTCTGGAGAACAAATTTATGCTAAAACCAAACAACATTTCCCATTGCAATTTGGAAGGTAAATAAGTCATTCGTTGAATTCATTCGAATAACAATAGACATTTGTGAATTTATTTTAATTTTAGTGTAGAAAAATCTTGTGTTTAGTGAAGAAAAATGTGGGCCGTCTATTCGTTTGCCAAATATATATATATGCTATAAGCGAAGGCAGGAGGGTAAAATAGGGCGCTGGGATACCCGATATTCCAATACAATGGAGAAAAGGCCGTATATCTCAAAACGAATGGTAGCATTAACACATTCATTCGTTCATTCATAGTGCTATCTATGGCCACTGATGTAGAACTTCCTTCGCCTAGACTATAAAAAAAAATATATATATACTAATTCATTCAAATTCCAAGGCATAATTTATTCGAAAAAAACCTGGGATATTTGAATTTACAACTTTAACGGTTAAGATCAAAGTTCCTGAATAGCAAACGCTTAGGCAGCAGTAAGAACATACATTTTTGGCCAGTTATCAGAAATGTCGAGCTATTATAGTTCAAGCCATCCTTCTCATGTAGATAATTTTGAGAAAGAGCAAGTGGAGAAACTGTAGTGAATTAGTGGCAGTCATGAAGATTTAAAAGACATTTCAAATCCTACTTAAATAAATAAAACAAATTTTCTTTTAATATTTTTAGAGGTGTGCTATCAAGTCCGCCGATATTAAACTGATGGCAGTCATGAAGATTCAAAAGGCACTATAAATCCTACTTAAATAAATAAATCAAATTTTCTTTTAATATTTTCAGAGATGTGCTATCAAGTCCGCCGATATTAAACTGTGAAGATAAAGCGGACTGGCGGCAGTGTCAGCTCACAAAAGAAGAAGAAGAGAAACACGTGGCCAACTTCAGAGCGAAGTTCAAGCCTTTTGATTTCACTATCGAAGATGATAGCGATAGCGATTAATTTGGTGTATAGTGAAACACATGATAAATCGTCTCAACAACGTCACACGTTGACAGAAACATTAAAAACTATCTGTACCAGTCCGCTTTGCTGGGCGTTTAAAATTAACATTATTATTTCTCACCTCCACAAAGATTCTCATCATTAACGCCCCCGCAATTGGTGTAGGGAGTCCAACACTCATATAAATATTAGCCTATCCATTAAGTACATCTATTTTCTACATGGATACCAAGTTTCAAGTCAGTCGGATGCACGGTTCAGTAGTTATAATGGAACATCCGTAAAAACTACTGTAGATTTATATATTAGTATAGATTATGTATGTCCTGATAAAATGTTTGCTGCAAAGTTTTAAAATGTGATAATGAAGTTGTAACATCCTATTAATTACTGTGTCAGAATTGTTATTGATCGTGTGTATTTTGATCGGATTAAATCAAAATGCAAACAGCAATTTTAATTAGTGAATTATATATTATTATAGTTTTAATTCTAGAAAATAAAACATTTATTAATTAAATGATTTTTTTTTATTATTTTCACATCATACTGTTCTCTAGTAATAAACAACTCGTTTGTTTTTTGTTATAAAAACCTTGTCTGTAACAACATGATTAGCTTATGCTATAAGTATGTGAATATAATGCGACTATAAACGATATGGTACATTGACTAGATTTCAGACTGTTGCATAATATTTAAAATAATGATGGAATAAAATAAAATAAATACAAATTGGATGATTACTATTGAATTCGTGAAGTTTTAATGTAATAGTTCTGATAAATACTGAAATTCGAAACTAAGGTAGGCTTTGCTAAGTCTACTAAACTAGCAAGTATAATATGTAGGTAGTTGAAAATAGATCAGTCCTAAATTTCACAATTTTTCGATATACAACTCATCTCTTCACGTGTTTGTTAGAGAACTCAAACGGCTGGACCAATTTTAATGGGTCTGGATCGTTTAGATTTACAATTGGACCCGTTAAGTGGAGCAGCAATTAGGTTCTAGGTTTTTTTAATATTTTTTGGTGAGGCAATTTTACTGGGCCCGTAGCTATGCATATTTTGCTAATGTGAAAATTAGGTATTTATCAAAATGTTCATAAACATACAAGGTATTTCTAAAAGGATTTACGTAAAAACTATGACTAGTTGTTTTCAAATTATATAAAATAGATTTTAATTAAATGTAGGACAGTCTTTGTAGGAATTACTAAAACCAAATAAACAGGTAAGTACAACGCATTTAAAATGTCGATCTCGAGATACTGAAATATTCAGATAGCCTCTATTCTAGACATGTGTAAGTAATGCGAGTGATATTACTCGGGTAATATTACCCTACGATGTAATGCAACATCACACATTACGCGAAGGAAACAAACATCACACTATCACCCAACATGTTTCTTTCTTTGTCGTGTAATGTTCCTTAATACACGAACGGAACCGAGCGAGCGAGACAGACCGATCGACGCAAAATAAATGAGCAAGAGACACGNGAACGGAACCGAGCGAGCGAGACAGACCGATCGACGCAAAATAAATGAGCAAGAGACACGGAATTATTCCTAGTGATTTTGAACCGTATGCCCTGGCCGCTAGGTACATTTTTATACCTATGGTACGTCTGAATTTTAATATAGGTATTTGTGTTTATATTTTTCATGCGGCCAGCCGGTAGTTCCCCGCAAGTAGTTAATTTTTTATTCGCAACTTTTGTAAAATCGCTAGTCGCTCGTAATTGTTTAGTAATATTTCATATTAATTTTTGTGTTTGATTTGAATTACTTAAGCACTTGTTTGAAGATAGTTTTATTATTTGTTTTAATGCGTGTTTAATAAGTGAAAGAAATAACGGCGTCTAAATGAAAGTACAGTCCTCCTTGGTTGCACTTTGAGGATATCGCGCCGAAACAATGCATCTACTGCTCTCGTATAATATATTAATTAACATTATTGTCGAGCTCAATTTGCAGTCTAAGTCGCCATATGAAATACGTTCATCCCACAATAAATTATATTAAGTAAAAAATAAAATTATTATATTATTAAGTAAGTCAATCTCTGTCAAGTAATATAACAGTGTATTACAATACAAAGTTCATACTTTGTATTGTAATACACTACTGTAATGACACACCCGAATCATTACCTAAATGATGTGTATCAACACATCACTTAAGTAATGATTCAGGTGTATAGATACAATGTATTCGTCGTCACAGTATCTATTGAACGCACCGAGTAATGTTATGAGTGATGTGTAATGTTTTCGAGTAATATCACCTGTCTGTAAAAGTGATGTCATATCACATTACATTGGGAAGTGATGTTTTGCGCATGTCTACTCTATTCATTTAATAAAACAACTGCTGAAACAAAATGACAATGTTACCATTCGTAAAAATATTTAGATTTACCGCTAATTTTAATCGTTTTGACTTGAGACCGACCCAATATTTATTAATGTTTGGGTGCAGTGTTCAACACTCTTTTATTAAATCTACAAACATTCATTTTAATATACAGATATAACTTTCTGCCATATTTACCAAACTAAAGGTAAGTGTATTGTCTTGTGTTACGGATTACTGAGGATCGCTTTATACTAATATTCAAATATATTACAACTTTTAATATAACCGTAAATACTTTTTACTACTACCAGTTATACATATAAGTAAAATAGTTACTTCGTGGTTGTGATGAGTGGTGCTTAATAGTTTTGCAGTTAATTTTATATTAATGGTTTTAACAGTGTTACAAACTTAATATCTTATTTTTATCCAGCCGTTTTTCTGAGAGTAGATATAGTATGATGCATGTTTATAGTTTAAAAAAAATGTAGATTTTAAAATTCAATTCTCGTGGTGAGGATGCTTCATGAAAATGAAAAAGTATTAATATTGAAGTTTATGACGTCACTGTCATAAAGTACCAGTGACTAGTGAGAGAGACTACTAGATGTTCCAAGGCAAATACTTATTTGATTTTTAAAATACAGTTACATACAAATAAGTTTATTATTAGTTTCGATGCCATTTTGTTTCTTCCTATCATTTTGTCTTTTCGTGTAGTTTAAAGTACAAATTGAACTATTTTATTTTATTTGTTTTAAAATTAAAAAGAAGAACATTGTTTTGTAGGTTCATATTTTTCTGTATGTATTTTATTAAAGTCCTAATTATTACGTATAAAAACGTACAGATCACTTTGTTAAACAGTACAATACACAAATATAATTCTACAAATATGTAAAGTATGTTGATTTTTATTTTCTTGGCACTTTAACATTGCTAAGAATAAAACATTATCTTGGATTTTTTTTAATTCATACCAAATCTTAATATTATAGACAATGATATTAAACTTGTCAATGAAAGCTTCTGCTTTCATAAACTTTACAACAATTAAACAATTCGTATTTTATTATTGGTTATTTTCTAAAATTACATCTGTAACTAGTTTTAAGACTTTGGTCAATAAGGCATTAAGTTTAAAACATATATATTTTTTTATTTTAATTATTGTTCTCCTTATTTCATACTCGATAGTTTACCTAATGTTTATTATCAATTACTAATTTTATTTATTTACAAAGCTGTTTCGGTGAACCTTCGAGTGTCTTAGTTATTAAATTATTGTGAGTGTAATGTGAAATACTGTTGCGTTATTTTTTTAAGTAAAAATACTTTAAACACATAGCACGAAACATTGACTAGACTAACTATCTACAGTAATATTTACACAACTTTTAATTTTGGAAGTGGATTAATTTGGCAACTTTATTCTGGCCGTATAGTTTTTTTTGTTTTTTAGTAAAGACAATAGTTGGCTGTTTAGCCATTTAACATTTGAATTACAATCCAACGACAACCTATACTTCTTACATATCATAAATAACATCTAATTCGAAGGATCATACTTTCGATGACTGTATTTGAAAATGTTAGGTTTTTTTTCTGGCAACTACCTTCATTTATTCAACTTTTAGATTGAAAACATGGTAACCCTAAATGGTTTTTGAAGTAAGGAATCATATTATTATTGTTATTGGGATATTTAGCTTCATTTTTCGAACAAGAAATTTTAGTCTTGAATATCTTCGATAGCTAAACAGATCCCAACGCAGATATTCAAATTTATTAGAAGTATAAAAAGTAATGACGTCGTTCGATGCGCTATCTCGTTTTATTCGATGTATCTCATACGTTTATCTGGAATGCTTCCCTTGTGATCTTGGGGTCGCCTGGGTGCGGCGCGTGATGCGGATGCGGCGCCCTCTTCCGGCGGTGATGTCCCTCGCAATCTGTGTCGTCTGAGAAGCGGGAGGGAGGATGGATGTGCTCGTTAAACGACGGGTAGTTTGATATACTGGAATGCAATTACGGTTAATTGTCACGGGCCTTTGCTCCGGATAAGTCGAGACCTCGTAACATGCAATGCGGCGGGACTCGTATTTAACAAGATCTTTAGTGTGTTGGGATGTGCATTCGTGAGGATGATTTAGAATTGTTGTCTATTGAAATGTCCGAATGAATTGAATACAAATACTACAGTTCGTTGATATTTTAATTAGAATAGGGCCCGATTGGCAGTTTCTATTTCGATTTAACTTCGGGTACTTGCTCATGAAATTTCCAATCCATATTGGCATTTAAAGGAATAACATCGTGTAATAAAAATCAAACGCGCAAAATTATTATTTACGTAATTACTGGTGGTAGGACCTCTTGTGAGTCCACACAGGTAGGTACCACCACCCTGCCTATATCTGCCGTGAAGAAGTAATGCATTTCGGTTTAAAGGGTGGGGCAGCCGTTGTAACTATACTTGAGACCTTAGAACTCATATCTCAAGATGGGTGGCGGCATTTACGGTGTAGACGTCCATGGGCTCCGGTAACCACTAAGCTAAATTTTTTTATTGCACTTGTAGCAGACGAGCATACGGCCTGGCACCGGATGGTGAGTGGTTACCGTCATTTCATAGTCGGATGGTACGTGGCAAAAAAGATCTCTGGAAATGCACTGTGGATGACCGCAGTGGCTCCAGGTAGTATGGATGAACTCTACTCCGGTGGCGGGCGGTGCGATGGTAAAAACGGGATGAAGGTATCATTTCGAACTATTCCTCAGAGCACTTCAGGTGGGCCGTGAGCTCGTCCATCAATCAAAGCAAAAAAAAAAAATTAAGGAAATTTTAGAGTTCACAAAAACTGGCTCACCTAAATGTGGTCTCGTCGTTGTGACTGCTGTATCCGCTCGAAGATCTAACATGGCGTTTGCCGAGCGCACCCGCCTTCCCTTTCCTCGAGGGAAAAGCCTTCCTCACGACCCCGCCGAGCGAGTTCTCCGATGACGAAGACGATTCCTCACGTTCTACAGTTGGATCTGTTTCAATTTATTAGTAAAAATTATTTATAGTTTTCCCGTAGTTATATAAGTAAGACGCGAGAAAATCGTTGGAGACGATTGCTTATTTGAGACTATCTTACGTAAGTGCTAGTATCTAGCGTATTTATGTTTGGCGTGTTCTTACCATGCATGTTGTGTATATATAAATTAACTTTAACTTCAGGAAGACAGGATGATAGGAATACTAACATAGGATTGATGACACGAAAAAAGAAAAGAAGAGACTCATTTCTAAACTTCTGGAAATGAAATGAAATGAAAAAAAAATACGTTTCTTAATTACGTAAGTGTAACAAAAACACGCTTAAATAGCAAGCGGAAGAAAAAATTTTTTTTAAGAATTACATAGTTGATTTATAATAAATAGTTAGTTATTTAAAGTAAACAATAATAATAATAATAATAATTAATTTATTTATTAAAGTAAAAAGTAATATATTGATATCGGTCCTTGATGCGTGTGCAAATTTTCAAATTAAGCAGACGTCTTGAAATCGTTAAAAGTCACACTGAAATATTCTGTTAAACAAATAAATGGATATGATCGAACTAATAAAAGCGTGTTAGAAAGACAAGAACGCATGCTTCAACCAATGTTACAACAACAAACAAGTTACGTTAGGTACGTTGTGTTACGTGCTGAAAAAAATCGGTACTGATACGCTAAGGGAGTTGAAGAATGCGGACTGATTTATTAAAACGTTATAACGGGAGAGAAACTGTTACTTTTTCCCTCTGAAAGCAGAGGATGGAACCCGAATTTTATCTATCAAACGAACTTCATATAACTGAGTTATAAAGCTTCTATAACTGTACACGAATAATACCAGTGCGCCTAGTGCGAGTTCTTTAACTTCTCGATCGCGTAAAAGTTGACTCAAATTTGTATGGAGTTAGAACAGCGCCCCTAGCGCCAAACGAAGGGAAGCTGTTCCAACTCTACATAGATTTGTAACTTTTACGCGACCGAGTCCCCGTCGAACTCATTGCTTGCGACAAAGGGTTCGGCGAGAAAACTAACCTATAGACACAGCCCACTGAGTTTCTCGCCGGATCTTCTCAGTGGGTCGCGTTTTCGATCCGGTGATAGATTCTTGCTAGGGCTAGTGTTAGCAACGCCCGGTTTGAGCTCCGTGAGCTCACCTACTTGTTAGCGGTGACGTAGCCTCTCAAGGCTATTTTTTATTGCCCCATGTAGGCAGACGAGCATACGGCCCACCTAATGGTGAGTGGTTACCATCGCCCATGGACTTCAGCAATGCCAGGGGCAGAGCTAAACCGCTGCCTACCGTTGAGTACTCTCCACAAGCTTCGTTTGAAGAAGGATAAGTTAACGAACCAGTTAAGGAAGGAAAAAAAAACGCGATCGAGAAGTTAAAAAACTCGCACTAAACACACTAAAGTGCTTAATGTAAAACGAACATGCAGTGGGGTGCGCCGGTCGGAGTCGCGCGGCCGGCTCGCTGTCGGAGTGGAGCGCGCTGGCGTCGTCGCTCGCGTCGTCCTCGTACTCTGTAATGGGCAGGTGCAGCGTTAATATCTTCTTCACCTCCGAGTCCGTCGAGCCCAAGTTGTCCGACTCTGCAATTTCACGGCACGAATTAATCTCGTCGACGAATTAAGAAGGACGATGATGCGGCTTTTTGCACGTGGAAACGGACCGTAGAATTAGTTTTATTTAAATAGACGACATTCAATTATCGGAAACGATATATCGGTATCGGTGACTATAAAATTAGCGTAATCTAAAAAACCGCCTTTTTTGTTTATAGTGAACTCGTATGAACAACAATCCGTTTCCGTCATTTAATTACGCAACAAAGCACAAGCCCAAACAAATGAAACGTGAAATGATTGTTGCAACTACAAGCCAAACGACAACGCTACCAAACCATAATCAATAAGCCACTAAACCTACATGGTAATGAAAAGGAATTTAATTAAATAAAAAATAAAAACCGTCAATAATTTTAAACCACATTCACAATACGTACTCTGTGCATGCTTACCTTTATAAATTACAACACCATTTACGCTCCCAACAGGTTGCATAAAAGGCGATCATTAGTTCAAATTCAATTTTCAATACTTATAAACTTAAACGGGACAAATTAAACTTATTCATAGAAGGTGCAAGCTACTCGAAACAAAACTAACTGAGCTAGCTACTTAATTATAAGCTGCCTTTAAATATTTTCGTATTTTAACATTTTATCGTTAAAACCCACCTTGGCTCTCGGAATGCGGATCTCGGAGTCTGGTTCCTTTTCTTCTTACTTTAGTGTACTCTGGCTCTTTGCCCTGAAATGGAAACGCAACTGGTTTCATACGTATATAATTACACGATTTCACAACTATTTTACTTTTTTCTTTTTTTTTCCTATCCTGCAACTTAGCAATCAGTGTGTTTAGTGCGAGTTTTTTAACGTTCTCCATAGCGTAAAAGTTAGCTCATATTTGTATGGAATGGGATCGTTTGCGTACGTTTGCCGCTAGGGGCGCTGTTCCAACTGCATACAAAATTGGGCTAACTTTTACGCTATCGAGAACGTTAAAAAACTCGCACTAAGCACACTGTTTCTTCAAAAACAATAATTTAGTTCGATGTCAGATTTTCATTAGGAAAAGTTGAGCTAGCTAAGTTATGTCCCCAGTTGTACCATTAACATCTCCTATCTACAAATCTTATTGCTAGGTCTAGTATACTATTCCTTTTTAGGCGAGAATATCTTAGACTGTCCTCCCTGCAGTTCTGCAGCTGGCTGATATTTGCGACAACCATTTTACTGAGCGTACCTACTATTATATTATTATACGTATGTATGTATAAACAACTTTTAAGCAATTTTTTTTGGTATGTACTGTTACATTTCTATGTAATCATCAAAAAAGTGTGCTGCAACAAAATTACTGATAAAAAAAATTTAAATCTACTTATACGAACACACTTTATAAATTTATTAGCTAGTAAATCGGTCTGCGGCATATAACAGAGCGAGGGTTAGAAAGAGTGGGGCGTAAGTGACTATAATACAATTTTAAATGAGTTAAATATACAAAATCTGTATATTAAAAATATACTCTGTATCCTTATTGTCGTGTTTTTTCTAACAGCTGTGTGTACAAAATATATTAAATAAATAAATCTCTGATTTAAAAAGTTAAATCTACCTATATGGACACACTTTCTAAATTTAGCTAGCAATTCCATCTGTGTCATTATAACAGAAAGAGGGTTAGAAAGAGTGAGGCGTAAGTGCCTATAATACAATTTTAAATAAATGAGTTAAATATTTGTATTTATCCTCGAACCACGTCACGACTTCATATTCTTGTATGTAAAGCTAGACACATCTTATCTCATATGACAGTGGAACTTCACATTGAGTCCACACATTTACAAGCTCACCCTGGATAACGACAGATCAAAGGGAATTTTTATCTGTGTTTTAAACATAGATGCTATTTATTTTAATGGCTGATAATTGTTGGTTATTCTTTGACGACATAAATACGAAACTACTTATGTTTCTCGACAAACTGCGAGTATTTATGGATAAAGTTAGTTGTTGACTCGATTTTATCCTTTTTTATTTTTTTAATAAAGTAAAGTTTGCGTTCTACCTTATATTTATCATTTTGTTTGAGATCGTGGTAGACGAAGGATCCTCTGACGGAGTGGTAAGGGCCGCTATACACGTTGCCGCTGTAGCTACTCTCGCTGTAAGCTGTCGGTTTCGTCAGTTGGAATGTCGCATACGGACAGATGTCTTCTATGTATTCTGCATTAAAAATTAAAAATTTCATTACTAGAGTAGTACTAGAGTAGACTAGAGTATTAGGTGATACTACGTATTTCAACTCGCGCGGGTAGATAGGTCCCGGAAAATAGGGTGGGCTAATGTTTTAAATTAATGAAATACGAATTAAAAGTCGATCTCATGTCTTAAGGTGGGCGGGTATTTAACTTAATTTAACACCAGTGTGCTTAGTGCGTTTTTTAACGTTCTCGATAGCGTAAAAGCTAACACAAATTTGTATGCAGTGGGAACAACGCCCCTAGCGACAAAAGTAGGCAAACGTCGCAAAATCGCGACGTGTTGATACCCTTCTGATACCCCCAAATATTTAGTATTTAACCTTCAGTATTTCATAGCTGTCCCAGCCTTCAAATCGGAACGCATTACTGTTTCACGGCAGGTATAGGCGGGTTAGTGGTATCTACCCGTGTGGACTCGCAATTGTACCCGTCAATGTAATAAAAACAAAACGTAGGTACCGTTGGAAGCGTGTTTGTAGTGGTGTTGCGGGGGCGGGTGCTGGGCGCGGGCGGCGAGGTACTGCTGGTCGCGGTTCGCCTTGTTCTGCAGCTGCGCCACAGACGGAGACTCACCGACGCCACTCTCCGTCGCCACTGTCTCAGTCGTGCCGGTCTCTGTCGCGCATATTGAGAGAGAGAGAGAATACATTTTATTGCACACCAAAACACAATTTACATTCAAAAAACAGTCAAATAGCAGATACTTTTGTACAATAGGCGGTCTATTGATTGGTCTATTGATTTAGAAACAATTATTTTATTTATCATATTTCTTTTTATACTGGCGAACTTAACGCCTAAGACATTCTCTACCAGTCGACCAAGGGTGAACTGGTAGAATAATTCAAAGAAAATAGTTGCTTTACTACTTATTATACAATATACTAACTATGCTTATTAGAGGAGCAGCCAATGATAATTAAAATAAATATATAGAATATTACAATATACAAAAATATAAACTTATTTAATATACCCAATACATAGCAAAATATTATGTATACTGGGTATTAGGAGACCGCTTCCGAAAACGAAAATTTTGTACCTACAGAGTTGTAAATTTTGGGGAGAGCGGTATCATCGCCGCGCCCCGCCGGTATGCGTGTAAAACAAATGCCGCGCCTGGGCGTTCGTTGATCCGAGCATCAGCTGGTTTTGATTTTGTGTTTCATTGCTGGCTTTTTTTAAATAAATTAATGTATTTTTTATGAAACTATCGTTTCATTTAGGTCTAGGTGATATTAAATGATAATAGTAAATAACATATAAACACGATGAGAGTAAATAGTGCTAATAAATGTTTTAAAAATATGATTTTTTTAAAATTTGAATCAATTTTTTTCCTTCCCGTCATCAAAGGTGTCATTAGTACTACCGTCTGTCTTCGTTTTCGGAAGCGGTCTCCTAACACCCAGTATATATATTATTAGTAACAGGACTGTGGGATTGTAGCTTAAATTGCCACATAGATTACTTACTGTTGCGCTTAACAAGCAGAACTATGGCGATGAGTGCTCCTAAGACCAATAGTGACAGGGCTGCCGGCAGAATGACGCGTGCGCCACCCAGAGACCTGGCTCCAGCGGCCGGTATAGGGGGAGACAGGTCTCCATCTAACACTAAAATTAGTAAATAAAAAACTTCAGTCAGCATTCAAATCTCTTTGATGACAGATAAACTATATATGCAAAGAAAAACCTTTATTGTTTAAAACTCTTTAGTTTTTAAAAAGGACTTGTCATTCAGTGTCATGAAAACTGTCATCCAGTAAAAAGAGTGTTCAGTTTTGTATTGTTTAATAATACTGTTTACTGTTTAATTTTTAATGTTAATTTAAAAAGAGATTAATGGCTTTAAATTTTATTTTCTCATTATAAAACAGAAAACGCAATTAAGTCTTTTATTGTATATTCATTCTAAAGTATTCCATATTATTTTTATTATTATGTATACATATATATACAATATACAATACGATTGAGAGTTTGACCTCAAACCTCAAGACTGGTGCCGGCATTCACGTTGCGATGTCTATAGTTTTCCGTAACCACGTAGACCGGATGGAATGTGAGCTCCTTCATTGAGCTACTGTGGGAATATCTCGATGGGAATCGATTCTAGTTACCAGGTAATCTATCTACGGGTTCTTATTGGCGTTCGAGGTGATGTTAACGAGTCGTCGAAGTCGTCGTAGCTTAAAGAATAAGATGTGTGGTGCAATCGTATCAAGCGATGCACCCGTGTTCGAATCCCGCAGGCGGGTACCAATTTTTCTAATGAAATACGTATTTAACAAATGTTCACGATAGACTTCCACGGTGAAGGAATAACATCGCAAAATTATAATTTGTGTAATTACTGGTGGTACGATGTCTCGTGAGTCCGCATGGGTAGGAACCACCACCCTGCCTATTTCTGCCGTGAAGCAGTAATGCGTTTCGATTTTTTGCTGTTTCAAGGAGAGTGGTGGCACTTACGTTGTAGATGTCTATGAGCTCCAGTATCCACTTAACACCAGCTCGTCCACTCATCGAAGCTATAAAGAAAAGGTCGTGTCACTTACGGCCACTGAGCGAATGCGTCGTGAAGTTGTAGAGCGCGAGCGCGTGTCCGGCGTTGTTGTGCGCGGTGATGCGCAGCTGGTAGTGTGCGGCGGGCGTTAGGCCGCTCACGCTGAAAACCCGCTCGGTCGCCTGCACACTGTTCGACACTAGCCGCCACTGTTAATGACAACCCGAATTAGAGACGTTCCCGAAAACGACGTAGTTTTTTTTTTCTCTACCTATGCTAATAGCCTTGAGAGGCTATTTCAGCTTCACCCTAAGTTGTAGGTGAGCTCATGGGGCTCAAACCGGAGTGTCGCTAACACTGGTCCTGACAAGAGCAGTGCTTCGCAGAATCTACCACCGGATCGGAAACGCGACCCACCGAGAAGATCCGGTGAGAAACACAGTGGGCTGTGTCTATGGGTTAATTCACTCGTCGAGCCCTTCGTCGCAAGCGACGGGTTCGACGAGGGCGGTGACCGGATGACGCGTAGTGCTGCCGGAGATTTTAAATATCAACAGTAAATGAATAAATTGATGCGCTGCATTTCGTTCGTCACTTGCTAGGTAATAGAGATTTTTTTATGACTCAGACGAGCTCGTAGCCGACCTAGTGTCTTAACATCGGTGTGCTTACCAAACCCCATAGACATCAACAACGTAAACAACGCTACCCACCTTGAAACATGAGGACCAACTTTCAATTATAACTCAACAATAATTATTCGGTCTTCAGCCTGGAATGCATGACTACTTCAGGGCAGAAATAGGCAGAAACAGGCAGAATTACCGATGTGATTTATTTGTTTCGACTAGGTTTTGACAAACCCGATTCTGCGGACCGAATGGTAAACAGCCGACGTAGCCCTCTAAACACGTCATTTCGGGTCCTCTCGATCCACTAACGTTGCTTTTAGGTACCTCAAGCACCGGTCAAGGGTTCGACCAGTAAATTAACCCACAGACACAGCCCACTGAGTTTCTCGCCGGATTTTCTCAGTGGGTCGTGTTTCCGATCCGGTGGTAGATTCTACGAAGCACTGCTCTTGCTAGTGTTAGTGTTAGCAACGCCGTCAGGTCTGAGCCCCGTGAACAAGTAGGCGATTGTTAGGAAATGCTGACATAGCCTCTCAAGGCTATCAGCTTAGGTAGAAAAAATTTGGTTTGGGAAGCTTAAAAAGCTTGTTTTCATCCATATTAGCAGGCAGTAACATACCTGAGGTTGGCTCATCTCTCTGTATTCAATGACGAAGTATAGTATCCCGCAGCCACCGTCACCCCACGAGTCCAGCCACACGGTAACCGTCGTAGTGTTCAGAGTTATCATTTGCGAATGCTTCGGTTTAACAGGAACTGAAAAAAAAAAACGTCCTGTCTCGAGTCACCGTGCAATATTGACAAAAGGTACTTCGGTACTAATAAATTGATTTAAATTCGCGTTTTATTTATTACTTCCACATATTCCAGTCGTCTGTGATCACGAAAATCGTATAGTACAATTTAGGGAAATCGAAAAAATAAATCAGTTAGGTAAAAATCATTAAAGTGTTTTGAATGTCTTTCTTGTCTCAAGCACTTCTGGAGGAAATTCACCCAGAAATACATAGAATTAGCAGCATTGATTTGTGTAATTTGTGTAATAATTTTCAATGTAAGTATATGCGGTTACAAGACAACTAAATGATGGAAATCGCTAGCTAGTGTTAACAATATAATTAATGTCGGAAAAATATTTGATAAAACGTCTGCATCTATGAGGTAACAGGCACATCATAATTATTAATAGAGCCTTACGAATCTTGTTGCATCAGTAAACACAGAAACAACTTTAATTCAAAATTTAAGCTAAAATTTTGGGCGACGCTGGGTACAGTATTTTTTTTGGGTGGCGCCACCACCAGCTTTGTACTTACACGTGCGAGTTCAGAAAGTGCCTTATCACCGGGCTTTTACGCAAACTATAATTTGTCCAGGTTCGATTTCATTACGCGATGTTATTCCTAGATCGTGAAAGTCACTTATGGTTACGTGTATATTTTATTTGACGAATTGGTACCTGTCTGGAGGATTCGAAAACCGGCACAGTCGCATCGCTAGATACAAATGCACTAGACGTCTTGTTCTTTAGGCCACGGCAACTTTAAAATTGTATGGTAATAAAAAAATGATGGGTCAAAATTACAATGTTTTTTTATGTGCGCTTCTTGTACTCACCAGTGCCCTTGGTATAGGCATGAACGATGTCACAGGGAAGACCAGTTCCGATACGATTGAAGGCCGTTATGTACAGCTGGTAGCGCGTTCCGCACCACAAGTTGGGCAGAACGTGCTCCGAAGTGCCGGCCTCCACTTGCAGTTCTTCCCAATCGCCGTGTTCACGTTTATAGTTGATCACGTAACCTTTAAAGTATTGTTTCTTTTTGTATTCGATTAAAAAAATAACGTTGTCTGGCTCTAGAACGTGCTCAGCGCGGTATTCCGGGACACCAGCGGCACAGTCTGGGTGACCTGACGGGTTGCCGTATTGAGACGGCCGACGTTTCAGAACCTTCGATTCGCCTCGAAGGCTCCGTCGGCCGGGTGTCCTTGGGGTGAGTTGCGCCATCTGGTTGTAGTGTTCACCGCGGTAACCTCCTTACCTCATCCGGGTTCTGACCTCGGAGGGAATCGGTCATTTAGTGGGTCCTGAAATCATTCTTGGGCCCGCGGTTTCGCAGTCGCGATCCAGTCCCACATACCCCGCGCGCCCCCTAGGCCCAGGGATATCGTAGGTAGGTTCGGCCACCAGCCCGAAAAAAAGGCTCTAGAACGTGTTTCCTAAGAGTTATGACATTTTTTTTTCATATGAGGTCATGAACCTGGTGGTACTGGTGATATCTAAAATTTGTTTGCGTATAGCAGCATCTATCAAAATATGGCTACTATAAAGCCAGATATAAGGGTTATTGAACTATTTAATTAAACGTCCCGTTATTTCAAAATGAAACCTCTTATTGGCTGACGTTATACTATAATGAACCCAAAAGAAAAAAAATCAGTCACAAAATTCACGTACCGAGAATAGGGCTGCCTCCGTCTCCCTGATCACTCCATTGGAGGTGCAAGGAGTCTGCGTACGAATCAACAACGGCCAGTATGGGAGGCTGGGGGGGAACCTTCACTTCGACGGTATACGTCACCTCGTCCCGACCGTGATTGTTCTCCACTGAACACGTGTAATTACCACTGTCCGCTGACTGTGTCATGCTGTAACGATTGGAATGACTGTTATGAATAATGTTATTTAAAATAATGTCGGGGGGTAAAAAGCAATTTTTTTTTATTGCTTAGGTGAGTGGAGGAGCTCACGACCCACCTGGTATTCAGTGATTACCGGAGCCCATAGATATCTACAACGTAAATGCGCCACCCACCTTGAGTTATAAGTTCTCAGTATAGTTCAACGACTGCCCCACCCTTCAAACCCAAACGCATTACTGCTTCACGGCAGAAATAGGCAGGGCGGTGGTACCTACCCGTGCGGACACACAGGTCCTACCACCAGTAATTATGCAAATTTAATTTTGCGGGTTTGATTTTTATTACACGATGTTATTTATTCCTTCATCGTGAAGTCAATCGGGAAAATTTGTTAGGTACGTATTTGTATTAGAAAAATTGGTACTTGCCAGCGGGATTTGAACACCGCTGCATCGCTAGATACGAATGCACCGGACGTATTATCCTTTAGGCCACGACGACTTTAAATTTGGTTTAAGCGACATTTCGCTTAACACACGACATTTATTGTTGTAATTAAAGGTCCGTTTTATTTGGTACTATAGTAGAATTATTTTGTCCGTGGAGTTTGGGTTATAAAACATAGCCCGGCTAGGGCGACGAGCATGTTGCGCGGGCGCAACGCCATTATCGATAAAAACATTATGAGTAATCGAATGCATTCGTTCTCTGAATTTCTTTAGTGACACAATGGCTACTCCTTTGTTTTGTATCAAAACGATAGAATTTATTCAAAATAATATACTAAATAATAATATTTGCACGTGCAAGTGCGCGTGTAAGTGTTCGATTAGTGTTTTTTCTTTCATTTTTATTACTAACCCACAAAATGACAAAACTAAATACACTATTGATAACGCTTATCGACAACAATAATGCGCATCACTATGCCCGTCCATAAGGCTCGTGAGTGGAAGAGAGAGCGAAATACTCGCTACACCGCTCCGATTTTTTATGACCCAAACTGCACGGACAAAATAATTCTACTATAGCTTCAACAATTCGAGGTTTTTAATTGAACTTTAATAAAATTATTAGGTTTACTCCATTCAAATAGCTGAAGCAGTTTTTTTTTCATGTTCATTTTTTCCAAATTTTAAACTTTGTATGGCTCTTCTGTAAGGTTGCAAAAATTTCGCTTAAACCAAATGGCCTTTCATTCCTTAATGTCATTATTTATTTTTTGCTTCGTTTTTGTGAGTCGCAGACAATCAATCAAAATTACTTTTATTTTTACAAAACAAATTTATTCGATCTCGTGGTTTTTTTTAATCGCATTTATATTTTTGTCGACGTTTTCATTGCTTTATAAAATTTTCACGGATGGGCATCAATTAAAAGAATTTCACATTTTCTCAGTTCGGAAATGAAAAAAAAAAACGCAAGCAGTTTTCTTTTAATAATATGTAAATGACTTATTGTCTAGATGTGCGTGTGGCTCATCAATGGACGAATACTTACTGGAGTTCATTTCATAATTACTTAAATTCTGCCGCCACATTTTTTATTTCTTTAGATACGTTACTGTACCACGTACACTTCGTAATGTGGCTGTCGTCCATTAACTTTGAACTTTTAAAGCAAAATGGTGGTAGCGTGCTAGTAGTAAGCAACGGACTGTCTGTGTTCCTAGTATTGCTGATATCTATGAGCCATGGTTATTGGTATAATAGTAATAAAAATAGCTCATAATAAGCCCCGAATAATTGCACAAATTTGAAAATTCAATCTGTACTTAACATTCAATATTAAATAATTTCACTATTACAATTTATGATTTTTTTTATAACCTTATTGTGAGTGTTCCATCGCTGCTCACGTTTTTTCTCAGGGTTGACTCCAAGCCAACGCCGTTCATTGTCCACGTGGTCGCCGGGGCCGGCACACCGACTTTGTTGCATGACAACGAAATATTCTCTTTCCAAGGAGTTACGATATTGCGGCTGAATGACGTTATTCTTGCGGGTACTGTGAAAAATATATATTTAAAAACTCATTCTGTTGCCCGTCAAGTATCGTATGAGGATAAATTTAATGTTAAATAACTAATTTTGTTTTCATAATAACTATAAGTAGGTACATTAATAAGGAGGAAGTTATTAGAGGAGGCCACGACCTTCAGCATTCAGGATTATCGACGAAAGGGAAAAAAATAAGTACATTCGCGAACAAAATGAATTAAATGAACGAAGATCGCACGAGCTTATGGTCTATCTTTTGTGTAAAGCGTATACTGGCATCCACAGATATGACAAGCTGAAATCCGTCGTAAGTCTTAGAGTTAAGGTAGAAGTTTCAACACGGCTGTTTTAATCTATAGGCTGGAGCGTACAAATTCTTTGGAGGACGTTCGTACCCGCCCATACGGGGATACTATCATTATTATTATTTATTGCTTATATGGGTGGATGAGCTCACGGCCCACGTGATGTTAAATGATTACCGGAGCCCTTAGACATCTACAATGTAAATGCTGCCACCTACTTTGAGATATGAGTTCTAAGGTCTTCGTTTTTACAGTACAACGGCTACCTCATTCTTTAAATCGAAGCGCATTACTGTTTCATGGTGGAAATAGGCATGGTGCTACCCTTGCAGTCTCACAAGACGTCCTACCACCAGTAGGTAATTACGCAAATTATATTTTTGTGGGTTTGATTATTATTATACGATATTATTCCTTCACCGTGGAATAATATCGTTAAGTACGTATTTCATTACAAAAATTGGCACTTGCGAGCGAGATTCGAACATCGTTGCATCGCAAGATACGAATGCACCGGACGTCTTATCCTTCAGGCCACGACGACTTTAAATAACGGTACAAAAAAATTAGTAAAACATACCCGAGTCGGAAGGTAGAACAGTGACGACTCTCGTGGCTTCTCCTTCCCCGAGTCTCGTAGAAGCCGACACCCAGAACTGGTGAGTGGCCCGTGGAGGCGACCGAGACGTTTCGTGCGAGAGTGTACTCGGTGACAGCATGCGTTTGTGGGTGCCCTCCTAATCAAAACAAAGCTTACTTAAACATCGGTAGGGCGTTCTGTAAGCTAGTGCTTTCACACTCTAAGCTTTGTAAATGAAGAATAGAAAGCAGTCAACGTCACCCGGTGCTTTTAGGTACCTCAAGCACCGGTCATCGTTCTCGTCGAATCCGTCGCTTGCGACGAAGGGCTCGACGAGTAAATTAATCCTCAGACACAGCCTAATAAGTTTCTCGCCGGAGCTTTTCAGTCGGTCGCGTTTTCGATCCGGTGGTAGATTCTGCGAAGCACGGCTCCTCGTGTTAGCAATGACGTCAGGTTTGAGCCCCGTGAGCTCACCTACTAGTTAAGGCGACGCTGATATAGCCTCTCAAGGCTATCAGCTTAGGTAGGGAAAAAAAAACTTAATTATCGGTAGGGCGTTCTGTAAGCTAGCCCTTTCACACTCTAAGCTTTGTAAATGAAGAAATACAATTATTTTGGTCTTAGACGAAGACAGTTTGGCCTCGATTCCAAATATCGGCAGACGTGACAAACGCTTTTTTTTTCTTTTTTTGTTTACTGAGCTTTACCACTCCAATTTTAATACGGTTTTATTAGCTTCAGACGTATGTATGTATGTTTGTAACGGAACCTTTGAACATGACTTTGAGCCCTTTCAAAACGTCGGATTAATATTAAGGACCGATGACAATAAAATATTAAAAAAAATACAAAAAAAAATTTGTAAAAACTGAAATTCAACTAAAAAATAATAGTTTAAAAAAACTAACAAAATAATACGCTTTTATAGAAAATCCAACTAAATATAGAAAATGATTTTATTGTAAAAAAGCGTGGGGACATGGTATCAGTAGTTATCAAGGGTTATATTGATAATATCCTGAAAAGCACTCCACGCTTTTTTACAATAAAATCATTTTTCCTTACCCTATTTTTAATTGAAATTTAATAAAAATTTATTTTCCATTTTTTAGTTGGATTTTCTATAAAAGCGTATTTTATTAGTTTTTTTAAACTATTATTTATTTTATGTCAATATCAATAATGAAATAAAAGAGGAAGTGCACTAAAAGTGAATCTAAACCTTGAGGTGTCAGTGATTATGATCGATTTTTGAACGGTGAATGTACATCAAACTACAAAGAAAACTACAAAAAAGTGATATGAGTTAAATATGTTTACCTCGCGTCCATCTTCGATAACACTCATGTAAAGAGTATACCCAACCAGGACGCCGTTAGGAGAGGACGGTGGCAGCCATGAAACCAATATTTTATTTCTAGAAGAAACCGCTGCTTTGATGTCCGCCGGAGCTGAGGGTACTGTGAAAAAATATTTATTATATTTGAAGTCAGGGTGTGGTACCTACCCGTGCGAACTCACAAGAGCTCCTACCACCAGTGCCGTGAAGCAGTAATGTAACTATACTAAGACTTTAGAATTCATATCTCAAGGTGGGTGGCCGCATCTACGTTGTAGATGTCTATGAGCTCCGGTAACCGCTTAACACCAGGTGGGTTGTGAACTCGTCCACCCATCTATGCAATAAAAAATAAAAATAAAAAATATTTCAAGATAACCTTAGCGAATGGTTATGAATGCATTAGACATTCATTAAATGATCATTAAACTTTGTTCTGGACGTTATAGAGATATTTAAACGGCATTAAGTTTACCGTCTTCCTCTGTGTGACAATATACAGGTGCTGCCCGTACGCCGTCGCCAGCAGCGGTGAAAGCGCAGACCGTGACGGAATAGTTTGTGTATCGCCTCAGACCAGACAGTGTCGTGTGTAGTCCAGATATCTGCTTCGTCACTGCGTCTTCGTTACCTAAAATAATTTCAAACAAGAAATTTAGTTGAATGGTAAATCCAGGATCCATTTGTTAGACTAGTTTACCACCTCCCGGATATTAATTTGCTAAATTATTGCTTAACATAGGCATGACAATACCGCCGCCCACTTTAGAACTTGGGTCGAAGCATCTATTACAATTACAATTATAATCAAATCAATTAGTTAGCTCAATATTAGTTAACTCTTGTTTTCATGTTCTTTTAAAATTTTTATTTTTCTTATGTTTATGTCGTACTGTTAACATTTAAATTTAACTTATTTTTACTGTTTGTAAAATTGCTGTAACATGTCATAGTGTGTTATAAGAGATTGCTGTACATGCCTGTAACTGGCTTACATACGATTACTTAATTTTATACATGTTAATTTTAAGCATGAATGTTTTGTGTGTATTGCCGTTGGTGTGTTTGAAAAAAAATAATAGAAACATTTGTTCTATTCTTTAAATCGAAACACGGAATGGCTCACAAAAAGCCCTATCTTTTTTTATTATTGAAGGATTACTGGGCCCGGAGCCCTTTTCAGTTTCACCAGGACAGGGGGAGCAAAGGCTCAGTCAGGAGGGGTGAGATTTGCTAACAGCTGCCCGAGCACCTCCGAAGGAGACCCAACAACTCAAGACCGTCTGTTTTACGAATGAATCTACTACCGGATCGGAATCGCAACCCGCTTAGAAGATCCGGCGAGAAACTCAGCGGGCTAAAACGCCCTATCATCTGTAACATAATACTACTCTAGTTAAATAATGGATACGAACTGCCCAGGACTGGTCATTGTGATTAACCCCACGGTGAGGCCTAAGTTCAACAGTATATGTCTGTGGGCTGATGGAAAAAGTAATAGACTTACCGTACCAATCGGTCACAGGGGCATAAGTTACTCTATATCCTTGAAGTATGCCGTTTCGCCCACGCATAGGAGGAGGCTCCCAAGAAACTCGGACCGATTGTGAACTTAATGCATTGCATTGTAGAGCACCAGGCGGCAGGCTAGGTACTGTAATGATAATATTAGAGAAATAGATGAATATGTTTGAATTAATAGCAGAGGAACAAAGCTTCGGTGGTGGTTCAAGACTGAAAATATTAAATAGTAACCAAGTTACTACTAATTAGTAGTACAAAAATTTCGGTAGGGATATAAACTTTACTGGTGGTAGGACCTCTTGTGAGTCCGGGCGGGTAGGTACCACCACCCTGCCTATTTCTGCCGTGAAGCAGTAATGCGTTTCGGTTTGAAGGGTGGGGCAGCCATTGTAACTATACTTGAGACCTTAGAACTTATATCTCAAGGTGGGTGGCGCATTTACGTCGTAGATGTCTATAGGCTCCAGTAACCACTTAACAACAGGTGGACTGTGAGCTCATCCGTCCTACTAAGCAATAAAAAAAAAAATTACCATCTTCCATGGTGGTGGCAGTTGTTGGAGGAGACGCAGGACCAGCTCCTCTGCTGTTATAAGCCTGAACGACAACGGCATATGCGGCGTGCTTCTGAAGACCAGATAGAGTGGTTCTTGATCGAGCAGTACCAGCGCCCTCGACTGTCCTCACAGTGTATGAAGCACCTCCTGGGCCGCTGGCGATTAGAACTGTGCTGTTACTGTTTAACTGGAAAAAAAATCAGATAAATAAATTTATTTCGGAGATGATGCTTTCAGGTTGCAAGAGAAGACAGACGTTATACAATTGAGGCTTTAACCGCATCAAGGTGAGCGGTGGCATTCTCATTGTGATGTCTATAGGCTCCGGTTACTATTTAAAATTAGGTGAGTCGCAAGCTTATTTACCCATCTTACATACCCTTATTTTTTTTATAAAATAGAATTTTGTTATCGATAATACAAAATACGGCGATTTGTCAGAACAGAACAGTCATAGAGTGTACGTACCTCTTGAAATCCTACGTAATATCCCAAGATATTTCCATTCCACAAATCTCTTTGGGGTGGTTCCCAAGTTACGATCAGTTCTGTAGAGCTTTTAGCTTCTACCCTTACGTCCTGAGGTGGGCCGCTTGGAACTGGAAAAACCAACGTGTATTGAAAATTAAAAATATTTCTCCTACTCCTGATAGCCGGACGACAAAGTGATGATGATTTGTGTCCTGCTATTTTAAGAACAGCATTCTTTTTTAATACGCTTTTATTAGCTTCAGACGTATGTATGTTAGTATGTATGTTTGTAACGGAATCTTTGAACATGATTTTGACCCCCTTCAAAACGTCGGTTTAACTCGAAATTTGGTATACTTATTAAGGACCGACGACAAATAAATATATAAAAAAATAATTAAAAAATAAAATATAAATTTAACTAAAAAATTAATAATAAATAATAGTTTAAAAAAACTAACAAAATACGCTTTTATAGAAAATCTAACTAAAAAATAGAAAATAAATTTTAATCAATTTTAATTAAAAATAGTGTAAGAAAAAATGATTTTATTGTAAAAAAAAGCGTGGCGTTCATGGTATCAGTAGCTATAAATATTTTATGAACAGATATGAGTAAAAGGGTTATTTTGATAATATCCAGGAAAGCAACCCACGCTTTTTTAAAATAAAATATTTTTTTCTTACACTATTTTTAATTCAAATTTATTAAAACTTATTTTCATATTTTTAGTTGGATTTTCTATAAAAGCGTATTTTGTTAGTTTTTTTTTAAACTGTTATTTATTTGCACTCTGCTTAAAGCATAGAATAAATAAAAGTTTGAATCAAATACCTTCTTCAGTAGTTGTAACTTGCACGGGTTGACTTGGTTCACTTTGTCCCAGCCGGTTCTCAGCGATTATCCGGAGGTGGTATGATGTCGCCGGTTGTAAGTTTTGAACACTGGCCGACGTTACGCTTCCTGGGACGATGACCTTCTGCGGTGTTGATGGCCACGATTCTAATAAAATTCACAAGAGCTTACTTATTTTGTATTTACTTGCATATGTTTAGTATTTATTTGTATTTAATCGTATGTAAGTCTATCTTATATTGTATTTATTTTTCACATGTGTATATAAGTATATATTTTTATGTAAGTTTATTAAGATATAGCACCATCCATGCTAATTTGCTTATTCCTTTTCCTGCAAGGTTGCCTGGAAGAGATCGCTTTCAGCGATAAGGCCGCAAATTTATGTCACCGTCTATTATTTGTTTTATATGCTTACTCTGTACATGTGGTATCAAATAAAGAGTTATTATTATTATTATTAAGAGCAAATTAATATTAGTCACAATCATTATTAACACTTATTTCGAATGTAATAGGAAATAGTTATGTTAATGCAGTAAAGGATTAAAAATAAATTGAGAAATATATTCCTAACTATACGCTGGAAGTCTATGAGGCTATTTCAGCTACGCGTGGACGGATAGGTAAGCTCACGATCTCGATCTGAGTCAATTTGCTAACACTATCCCTAGTAAGAGCAGTGTTTTGCAGAATCTACCACCGGATCGGAATCGCGGCTCACTGAGATGATCCGGTGAGAAACTCAGTGGGCTGTGTCTATGAGTTAGTTCGCTCAAGCGACTAGTTCGAAGAATACTGTGACAGCACCGAGAATAGATCCGGGATCCCACAAAACAAGTACCGGGCGACGGAGGCTTTTCGTGGGGCCGTCACTTGGATCGAATTGAAAAAAAAAAACTAATATTAAAAAAAAAAGACATGCCCGCTGAAGTTCTTGCCAATTCATCTCAGGACGGAGGCTAGTTTTTGTGAATTGGCGGTAGTTCTTTTGACATTCAACAAGTATGTACTTTCATTTATGTTGAATAAACATTTATTGATTTAAAAAAAATAATTTTTTTTGGTTTTTATTTTGATTTTGGATATGAGAAATATAGTTGTGGTCCTACCTGGAGCTTCTTTATATTGCACAATATAGTTGATAATAGGACTGTTCCCTGCATATGGTTGAGTCCAAGATATCTGTATGGTCCTTGATTGTTGATCAATTACCCGTATGTTTTTTGGCATTTCAGGAACCTAAAAATTAAATATGATTACCTCTTGTTGAAATATTTCAACATTCAAGATAGACAAGATTAAAGACTGAATCGCTGACTGAGTTATCTCGAAATTATGATATGTTTGTATGTACCAGAGTATGCTGTTTACTGTTCAAATAATTCGTATATCAACTAATACAAATTCACTTAATTGATTCGAACTAAAGGATTTTTCTAGTCTCTTTATTTTTTTATTACAAATAAATATATCACTTGCCTCTTGCACAACTAAATGTATCAACATCTCATCCTGTCCATAAGCATTGGACGCTCTGCATGTGAGCGCTCCTGTGTCTTGTCTGTATGTTTGTAAAATGCTTAACTCTGATACCAAGCCGTCGTCGAGAACTTGTTCGCGAATCGTGTACCTACAGGGAGTGATGGATCTTTAGTAGCGCAACACGAGAACTATAAAAACACTACTGATGTTTCTTTTTTTTTAAATTAAGAAAGAAGACAATTATTGGATTTTACTCGATAAGAACACAATGTTTCAAACTTCTAAAAATAACTTTTAGCATAATACAAAATCGTACAAAGAAGGTGTAGCATTTGGACTTAAGTTTTATGAAAATTATGGAACTTGAGAACGATTCATATATTGTATTTATTTGTATTGTAATTTAATCCAAGTCACGCGATACTTACGACAATTTTTTAATTCTCCAATACAAAAAATTACAATTTTTCCTAAACATTTGCTGTTAGTTAGGCTCATTATAAGCTCGCAAGGTTAGGTAGTTATATTTTCTGGTTAAATAGATAGAACAACTGTTATATAAGTAGTTACAATGTTTTTATTTTTATTTTTTATTGCTTAGATGGGTGGACGAACTCACAGCTCACCTGGTGTTAAGTGGTTTCTGGAGCCCATAGACATCTACAACGTAAATGCGCTACCCACTTTGAGATATAAGTTCTAAGGTCTCAAGTATAATTACAGCGGCCGCCCCAACCTTCAAACCGAAACGCATTACTGCTTCACGGCAGAAATAGGTAGGGTGGTGGTACCTACCCGCGCGGACTTACAAGAGGTCCTACTACTAGTAACGGAAACTTCTACACTATCACTCAATCCCTAATAGCCACTTGACACCAAATTTGCCAAGAGATCTTAAGCTCATTTTGAAAAAGAAAAAAAAAACATAATAAGACCTTACCTTTGATCCAAATGATGCGCTATCGTGTGGTGGTGTGGACTTCGCCAGCTGACTTCCAGGGGTGCGTCTCCAGATGCAGCACATTGTAGATGCGCAGCCTCGCCTGCAGTAACTTGTACTGTCTTACTTTTCATAGGAAATCGCGCTGGTGCTGTGATAACATTGAAATATTATCTGTGATTATAATAGGTACGTACAAGTTTTGCGTATGTAATTCGTAAGGGATTGTAGACCAGTTTGTAAGCGTCATAAGGCTTATTTTCCTATTACAGCCTATTACGTAGTTATTACGTACATCTTTGCGCAGATCAGCTTTCAGTTAGCCTGGTATTAAATAAAACACTCAATGTATTTGAATCGAGTGATACGAATATTCTTCTTCTTCCTAGTCGTTGACTCTTGACAGAGTGGTCGTGGTCATGCATCAGTCGAATCCTGCGACACCGATGCTCTCGCGATGCGACGCCATGTGGCACGGTGTTTCGCAGAGTGAGATCAATCATTTATATTGGAGTGACACAGATTTTATGAGGTCGGTCCCTCGTGTTGGAAATCGTCTGCGAGATCTTTTGCCCTCGACTTTCCCTTGCACCACTAACCGCTCAATATACTACGAATATAATATTCTGGTCAAAAACCCGTAAACCATTACCCATGTGTGTGTGTGAGCCAAGAACTTGTATCCTCAGTTGAGCAACGAAAAGACCTTAAGTCGAGTTACTTTGCGAAAAATCCAAACGAATTAAATGAGTTATTGCTTGAGAAATTGGCATAAGTTCAATGTGTGTCACATTACCTACCTACAAAAATATACTATTATTAGATTTTATCTTTATTAGTATCGTCTAGGAATTGAAGAATTATCCCTTGTGTTCATAAGCCACACGTGACAGATACAGTCGTCACGTGTTCAATATCCTGCCGTATAGAGCTACGTAGAGTAATACAATGAAGAATTACGCTCCTTAGATAAAACGGGTCGTACAAAAGAAACAAATCCGAAAAGGTTTTCATATTTCTAAGTCGGACAATAACAATCGGTTTATCTATGGGTCGGCTACCTACCGAGGTCAGAACAAATAAAATCAGAATTATGTATCTTCCTTCGTATCGGCGGCCATTTTATTTGATTTACTGAATTCAGTTCGAACCGTGAGGGATAAGAAGGTTCTTTAGTTATATTACATATATGTATTATTTTGAATTACAATAATGAGGCAGACATGTATTTAAATAATTTATAGACAGGCCATTCCTGAATTTTGAGTTTTCCGAATCAAAACCTTCCTGAATCTTGAAAATCTTAAAGCCACTTTCAAATATATTATGATTTAATTTTTATTTTAACACTACATAGAGTCAGATACGTATTAATGTGCAATGTTTTAAGTAATTAGCATAGATTATAAGTGATGCTAACAAAATGTATGGTTTTTACTTAAATAAAGATTTATTAACTATTATTATTATTATATTATTTTGATTGTGGAGTGTATGTAGGTTCTATAGGTACTAAGGGAAGAGCTTGTTTACCGGCAATGTTAGTACGTTTTTAAATTACAGTAGACCGTAAAAAATATTCGGTCCTTTATTTTATGTACATTACTCAGTGTCGTTTTGCGTGAATCGTCGTCAGTTATTTATTGAGGGTACTTTGTTTACAAACCCCATTTTACGATTTACTGGCGGCTTAAAACAAACATAGTTATGTATGTATGCGAATCTAAAAACCTAATGTTTGTTTAGTAGCCAGCGAGGCGATAAAACTTGGTGGGAGCTAACATTCGTTCCAGTGAACGTCTGTAAACTTTCGCCGCGGGTAAATCCCGGGGAAGCTTGTGTCAAACCGAAATAAACAAGCCGGAAACACGATTACAGGCGGGAACGGAACTGTTTACTAGTCGTGGACGTGACGGACGGAGGGTTCCATTCTTCGGATCGAAATCAAACCGGTCTTTTACGGGAGTTTGTCAATTTAACAATTTGTTATTCACGTAAAACCGATTGTCCTCACTTAAAACGTAAGGATGCGTTAAAGATAATTATTTAAAAAAAAACCAATAAGCGCGGGAAAAGTGTACGGATATTCCACGATATTTGTTACCCAACAGTATTTTGAACGTAAACACGTACACCGCGGACTTATTCTAGTGGAGGCAACTGTCTAGTTTTCCAATAACGAGGAGACGTATTGGGACGTTCGGTCATTGAGTTTTCTGCTCAGTCGCGTTTCTCTCGCGCTATCGCCCGCCGTCAATTGAATAAGCTGACGATAGTTTGTCGTCTTTATATAGTTTGGGAGCCATTATGTTGTATTAATAAGCGATAATTAGTTTCCAATACTTTATGAGAAAACGAAATTATCATGAGTTTGTAGCAATTAATTTTTTAGGGTATAAGCTTTGGTTGTTTCTAAGGGGACCGGTTAGAATCGTTTACTATGAAGAAACCATTGAGTTTATTAGATGTTTTCAATTAGTTTTTGAAAGCATAGAAAGCCATCTTTTTAGATATAAAAAACGGTGAACAAAGTGAATTTTTTTCAACTTTGCAGGTGGCAAAAGAAAATATTACTTTCGAGCAATTTTTAGTAATTCGGTTAATTTAACGATCTGTTCTCAAAATGTAGAATTCAATTTACTGTCGCTTTCTACAAATCGCTTTCATATTTCCTGGAAAGTTAGGGAAATGGTGAATACTGCGAATGCTGTTATCAATACAATTATTATATTTCGGTTCGAATATTGTCGGTTTAATTAAAAATATCCCAACCACGTTTTGTGGTTGGTGTGAGAATCAAATCGACACATCAGAATCTCGGAAACAACTCAGTGTGTGATTGGGTAGCCCCTTACCAAAATTCATAGTTCGATTGAGACATCTTAGAATATATATTTTTTCAGAACAATTCTCTAACTGCAGCAAGCTCATATGCCCTTTACTCCTGCGATGGCTATGAATCAGATACAAGTGTACGACTTTGGTCTCCTTGAGCTTGTGTTAATAATTCCCTGTCAGCAGTACCAAGTCAAAATCTACTTTCCAACCAAATGCATTTAATGTTATCACTTCTTTCTTCTGAGTCAGTCTCTTCGTTGCTAAAGGTCGTGTCTAGTTTGAAATAGAAAACCACTTGATGCACTATGCCTCCCCACGTCTTTTTGTCCTCAGCGGTCCTTATAGTCTCTGTTAGTGGCAGGCCGGTGAGCGTTTTTTTCTAGATCAGACCAGCGGGTAGGTGATCACTTAAGATTCTAATTTATCCGCAGTACTGGTGTTAGGGTATATTGTCAGAAAAACCTCTTGCGAACCAATCGTACATTCCAGCTTAAAGAGAGGCACAGCTGCTCTATCAATGCAATTTAAATCTCCAAAAGGAAGCTGGATTTACTCATTGATGTCTAAGGACTCCAGCTAATGCCAAACATCAACAGAAACGTGAGTTTATTAGCGTAACTTAGGAATTAAGTATTGAAAAAGGTGGAATCATTGTACGAGAATAGCCTCGAACAAAGACTTCACGTTTAAGAGGTACGCAATATTATAAAAGCACAAATTATCATTTTATTATTGAGCAGTGGTAATGCATAAGTAATCAGTTAGTAGCGTAATCTTATCCGACCGGGACGGGGCAACGCAAGGCCGCCGTCGCCCGAAACATGTTTTTTCGGAATCCCCGAATTTACTCTTGGTGCTTTTAGGCCCCTTAAGCACCGGTCACCGTCCTCGTCGAACACAGCCCACTGAGTTTTTCGCCGGATCTTCTCAGTTGGTCGCGATTCCGATCCGGTGATAGGCTCTGCGAAGCACTACTCTTGCTAGGGTTAGTGTTAGCAAAGTCTCTCAGGTTGAGCCTGTGAGCTAACCTACCCGTCCGGGCTTAGCTGGAATAGCTTCATAGACTACCAGCGAATAGGTAGGTAAAAAAAGTAGCATAAACAGTGGTAGTTAGTGCGAAGGTGTGAAATAGTTACCGGAGCCCATTGATATCACTACGTGAATGTTTCCACCCACTCTGAGACATTAGGTCTAAAATATAAATTGTATGTCCCTTCCTTCAAACTAGAGCACGTTGCTAGATTGACCACGTACTACTCCAATAGGTAATGCGTATCATAGATATGACCACGCGTGCTTTAATGTCATAATCTTTTTAAATTTAAATATCAATATCTATTGTTTTTTTAGAGTACCTATCATAGAGGAGTCGAACTGGCTAAAAACATTACAGTGTCAGTGCTGCACCTATCTCTGGACAAGAGATTGAAAACACATTGGAATCTCGCCAGGAATATCCTTCGAAAATGGCAGGTGTAATAGTTTTGTGAAAAAATAAAGCAATGGTGTTAATAAATTTACGGTAGGCAGCGGCTTGACTCTACCCCTGGCATTGCTGACATCCATGGGCGACGGTAACCATCAGGTGGGCCGTATGCTTGTGTGCCTACAAGGGCAATAAGAAAATAAAAAATAACGGTTCATAGTACGCCACATTAGTAGTAGCTTAGCTCGTGTTAAGAGTCTTTAAATATCTATCATCAATTTATGGATTCAATTTAAGCGAAGTAATCCAACCCAATATTACCGGGACAACAATAATGACGGGTAAGAATTTTCATTTCGAGCACGGTCCCCGGCGAGACTCATCGCGTCTTCCATCAAGACATTCCACAACTTTTCAGGGAACCCGACAAAAAGTTGAGAGAATTTTTTGTGCGCATTGTGTGAGGATATTGGACGGCCTCTGTGGTTAAATTAAAATATCACTGATGACGAATGACTAAAATGTGAGAAATGTGTTTTTTTTTTTTTTTTTTTANAGCTGATGTTAAAACACAGTTTGGTATTACGGTTAATGTTGAGGGTTTTCAAATTTATATTTTCCACAAGAAATGGGTATTTAAACTTTTTACGATGCTGAAATATAAAAAAAAAAATTAGTAATAAATTCTCATACCATTGACTTTGATGAAAATCAGCTTGCTCAGTCCAGCGCCGATATCGTTTCTCGCTTCGCACAGATAATGCCCTTCGCTTTCTTTAGCCACCCGCTCAAAAACTAACGAACCGTTATCTAAAACTCTGGAATTGCCTTCGAACATGAAATCCTTGTATTCGCCGGGTGTATTTCCTGTGAGTACAATAATAGTTAGTTGATGCATTAACAGAAAAAAAAAATCGTGTGGCACTCGGGGACTGCCGCGGTAAAGCTATTGCATAGCATTTTTTATCAAGTTATGCGATTATAATTCAACATTAAAAAATAATAAAATAAGACCACGCTATATTTATAAACATTAACTGTCCCCTTCACACTCATAAGCTAGACAGCGCGAGAGAGAGATGGGCTGACTTTTCATGATGCGCATGCAGTGCGANTCCTGTGAGTACAATAATAGTTAGTTGATGCATTAACAGAAAAAAAAATCGTGTGGCACTCGGGGACTGCCGCGGTAAAGCTATTGCATAGCATTTTTTATCAAGTTATGCGATTATAATTCAACATTAAAAAATAATAAAATAAGACCACGCTATATTTATAAACATTAACTGTCCCCTTCACACTCATAAGCTAGACCGCGCGAGAGAGAGATGGCCAGACTCTTCATGATGCGCATGCAGTGCCACATCACGCCGCGCGCTTATTCACAAACACTACACAAGCGCAACGTGTGAATGTGTTAAACGCGAGTTACATGTTAGGCGGAGTGGGGGTGTTAGGTTTTATTTTAGTTACGAAATTTCTTGATTCGGTCGCCACGCTCAAATACCGCGATAAAAGCTATGCAATAGCTTAAAAAAATCACTTAAAGTACATTTATTGATGATCTCGATTTAGAGATGTAAAATTAATCTGTGATAGATTAAAAGATCATTAGTCGGATTGGTCGTCTTTTGGCCTTTCAAAATGTCATCGTAAAAAAAGTAATCAATTAACGACAGCAAAACTAAAATTTATTTAGAAACAAGAATGTTGTTAACGTTTTAATTTCACGATGGACACAATGACGTCATCGTCCAGGAATGAGGAACCTATTCTTATACCGTTGCGGTAATAGGACAGATCACCCCCACTTAATCCGAGCAAAACTTTAAAGCTTAAGTCTCAGTATTTCGTTAGCCGATCACATTACCATAATCTTCGACACCGACACCTTAATTCAGATTCATTTTCTGTATTACTATAAATAGCTATTTAAGTATATGTATATCATTCTATAATTATTTTTTACTGACTTCTTTCTTGTTAAAATAGGAACGTTGTTTCTAAAATTATTGAATTGATAATACTAAAGGCAAGACAAAAAAAAGTGGTAAGCAAACAAAAGAGAGAAAAATGTACTGAAATTTCATTACAGATTTTTTCAATACACATTTTTATGATTAATATTTTAATATTTCTGACCTCTGTCAGAAATATTAAACTAACACTATTTAACTAATTTAATTTATATATAACACTATTTAGAAAATTTTTAACGCAATTTAAACAAAAACAAAGAAAAGAAATACACAATTTGACAAATTTCATTTGGATACTCCACTGGTTTTGGGTTTATACTAAAAGGTTTATCTTTTTTAATCTCTATTTTCATTGTTTTTGTTTAAATTTCGTTAAAAATTTGCTAAATAGTGTTTTGAATTGTAAAAAGTATTTTTATTGTTAAGTAAGTAGGAGCTATTAACGAGAATTTAGGCCATAAATAAAAAAAAAACATTTTGGAAGTTGTAGTCTTTTTCAAAATTTCAAAAAAAGCCATGTAAATGCAATCCAAAAAAATCTAAATCTTGAGTGTTAATAATGTAGGATTGGTAAGAATGGAACGTATGAAAAGACTGTGAAACGGAGCGTTAAGATGTGAGTGAGAGAAAATGGAAAGAAAGGGAGAAGAGAATGACAGACTGAAAGACAGATATATAGCAAGATGGCGAAGACGGCTCAAAAATGAGCAAGACGTAATAAAAGTGTTAATTAATTTTTAAATTATTATTATAACAAAAGATTTTGGAACAGTGGAAGTTTTATTTTATGCGCTGCGATCCCTATTCTACAATAATGGTAAAATTTCAATAATTTGAAAAAAACTACTTTTAATAGTTGCACAATAATGTTTGATAATTTATATTTACCAACGGCTTTTTTCCATGTGATAGTTGGTTTCGGGTACCCATCTGCCTGACACTGTAACGTGATGTCTTGTCCGGCTGCCACAGCTACGTCGCTCGGTTCCAACCTCCATCGTGGTGGTACTGTTATGGTAGTAAAATATTTTCAAATTTGATTCGTTCGCGTTCGATTCGAATTTTGTAATATTGGTAATTTGTATTTTGGTAATGTTCTTATAACACGGTAGATACGTACCTACAATGTGCCGTGTTGAACGAAACCGTGTTATATGAGACTAGAAGCCAATAAAAAAAGGACAGTAATTTTTCTGTGTTGTATTTTTAACTAATAATTGTAATTAATAATAATTATATTTTTAACTATTAAACATAAAAAATAAGCAGCAAAATTTATTATATATATACATATTGTGTGTTTATAGTGCATAACGTAATTTTTTAAATGATTTTAAACAAAAATCTCGTTATCGTGTTTTAGAAGTACCGCGTTATAGGAGGGTTATCTATATTCTTTAATACCGATAGCTCTTCTACTAATAGTAAATACTATAGGTTCTGGAACGTCAATAATATAAAACTCACCGTTGACTGTCAGTGGGACGGTGTATCGCTCAGACCCTGCCACGTTAGACGTGATGCAGGTGTAGTTCCCACTGTGCAGTGACGTCACTTGTTCTATCACAAGCGAAGCGCTGTATTCGTCCATCCTTCGTGTGATAATCCCGCTGGGCGCGTATTGCGATGAGGTAATCGGCTGTCCATTTTTCTCCCAACGAAAAGCGACCGGCAAATCCCCTTCTAAGATTTGGCAAGAAATCGCTGCCCTCATCCCTTCACGAAGCAGGTTCGTCATAGCCGGTATTGGTAGAATTTTTGGTTGAACTGATGGAGCGAGAAAGCATACAGAGATTTGAATTAGCATTTACTTTATTTTGGTTTTCTATGATATCAAACTCTTTCAAAATCAAGTTCCCTATAAAATATCGTGTATACAAAAAATATTAATTGGTTCATTGAAATTTTCGAACCTTTAATTAAAGAAATGATTATCTGTAAAAAGTAAAAAAATTCATAAGGTGCTAGATGTTAAATATCTCAAGATTTAAGAGCGAACATTTTTTTCCGTCGAATAATGAAAAAATTACGGCCATCGCGCCTCAATTGGGGCGGCTCGACGGGCCAAACGAAATAATTCACACAAAATTATTAAGGCCCTAAAAACTTTGTTGCGAAAAAAAATCACGTAGCTCCGTTTAATTTGGCAACCTTGTTACGCGGCGGGTGATTTAATTGACTGAAATTTGCTGGTCTAGATTTTGAGACGTAATTTGCAAGGGATCTTTCGTCTATACTTAATATTATAAAGAGGAAAGATTTGTTTGTTTGTTTGTTTCGAATAGGCTCCGAAACTACTGGACCGATTTGAAAAATTCTTTTTCCATTAGAAGCCGACATTGTCCCTGATGAACATAGGCTACTTTTTTTAAATTTTATTTAATTTTTTTTGGTTTCATGTGTGTTTTAATGTTTCCGAAGCGAAGCGAGGGCGGGTCGCTAGTCTTATATAAAATTGCAGTGCAGTAAAGACCTTGCGGGTAATTTGAATTAATAACATTTCGTGTTTCATATTTGAATATCATACAATACCATTTGGCCTCATTTAATTCTCGTTTTCACATGTAAGAAATATTGTTATTGTAATAAACTTATATCATCGCTTCAATAGGTATGCTATTCTGCAGTCCTCGTGTTGGAAATTGGTCACCACCTCCCTGATATGTACATTGGACATCCATTCCAAATGCGTGAGGACTCACAAATAGAGGAAAAGGGTCTTATACTGGGAGGTAGGTCAGTTAAATAAGGAAATGATACTGCTTACTACTATGGGGATACGGTATTATCATCATCATCATCATCATCATCTCAGCCTGTCTGCTGTCCACTGCTGAACATAGGCCTCTCCAACTGATGTCCAGTGCGGCCGGTCCGTTGCCACCTGCATCCAACGTGACCCAGCAATTTTCACCAGGTCGTCGGTCCATCTGGTAGGTGGCCGTTCCACACTGCGTTTGCCAGTACGTGGTCTCCACTCAAGGATCCTTCTGCCCCATCGGCCGTCCGATCTTCGCGCTATGTGGCCAGCCCACTGCCACTTCAGCTTGCTAATCCTACGGGCTATGTCAGCAACTTTGGTTCTTCTACGGATCTCCTCATTTCTGATTCGATCTCGTAGAGAAATACCAAGCATAGCCCGTATTAACTTAACACTATTTGAATTCATAGTGGCCAAAGGATAAGACGTCCAGTGCCTTCGTATTTAGCGATGCAACGGTGTTCGAATCCCACAGGCAAGTACCAAACTTTTTGATGAAATACTTAACAAATGTTCACGATTGACTTCCACGGTGACGAAATAGCATCGTGTAATAAAAATCAAACCCGCAAAAGTATAATAGCGTGATTACTGGTGGTAGGACGTTTTGTAAGTTCGCACAGGTAGGCACCACCACCCTGGCTATTTCTGCAGCCGTTGTACTGTAAAAACTGAAACCTTCGAACTCATGTCTCAAGGTAGGTGGCGGCATTTACTTTGTAGATGTCTATGGTCTCTGGTAACCACTTAACATCTGGTGGGCCGTGACCTTGTCCATCCTACTAAGCAAGAAAAAAAAACTTATTCTAGCTCACCTAATATTTGAACTTCGACATCCCTTCTAGCAGCGTGGCGTTGTCTATTAGAGGCTTTACAGGTGTAGGTCCCAGCGTCTTCTCCTCTTTGAGTTTGTTCTACTATTAGGGTCCCGTTCGGAAATACCTTCTGTCTTCGGTTTAATGGCAGAGTTTGACCATCTGTTGATTAACATTATGATATTTTTCTGGCTAGAGATAAGGTATGTTTTTTACCTCTAACTAATTTCGATTTGGGTATTTTACTGAACATTTCACAGTGAAATCTCTTCATTCGCGAGGTATTTACGGAAGATATACCTCGCGAATTATGCCGCGAAACACAAACCGTGAATATGGAAAAGCCCGTTTACAAACGATATTCAGTTGGATGGACCTATATAATGGAATCCTTTTTATCAATGTGTATGTAACGATGTACCGATTAGATACACGAATAAAGCAATCTTTATTAATAAATATCTTTTATTATTAATCAATAAAAAAATGTACGCAAATAGTGAAAACGCGAATGAAGGAAACGCGAATGAAGGAAACGCGAATAAAGAGCTTTTACGCAAATTTATTCGCAAAAAAACTAAACACAAAGTCAGTTATTACGAAATTTGACAGAGTTAGCGTAGAATAGCTAGAGTTAGTGACAGGGAATTATAAATAACTAGCTGTACTCGCCCGCTTCGCTGGGCATTTAAAATTAACATTATTATTTATTGTCATTATTATTAGGGAGTCCAACACTCATATAAATATTAGCCTATCCATTAAGTACATGTATTTTCTACATGGATACCAAGTTTCAATTCAATCGGATGCATGGTTCAGTAGTTATAACGGAACATCCGTAAAAACCACTGTAGATTTATATATTAGTATAGATTCTTTTGAAATGGTTAAACTATGGATGGAGTTGTACGCTATATTTTTTTTAATTAACGGCTTAAATTATACTGGTATGACAAACGACGCGGAACTCTGTAAAGAGTGCGCGAGTAACCGTGCAAATAAAATTTAAACAGTTCCCGAAAAGGCCGAAGTTTGCTTTGAACGAGCCGCGCCGTACGGAGACCGAAACGCCAAATTTTACATTTAAATATTCAAGTTAAACTGGGTCACCAAAAAGATTAAATTTTAATTGGGTTTAGCTCGAAGGATTTTGTCGGTCGCAGTCTTTTTTTTCATAGTAAATTACTTTTTATAGTGTAAGTACAACGCGCCATACTACTTTCTAACATTCTTGTTCATTTACCTTTATTTTTAAATAAAATATCTAAATTAGATAAATGTCTAAATTTTAATCTTGTTCCAAAAGCAAAGTCAGTTTTTTTTCTCTGACGTGTAACATTTAATACTGTGCTGTGCCTTATTTTAAATATTAATATAGTAGTATTTTTAAAATAAGCTCATTTAAAATTGACTTTGATATAATCCTTTAAAAAAACAAAATTGTCTTCGAAAAGAAAATTTACTAAATTATCATAGCATTTAGAACATGAAGAAAGAGACGATGAGGAAATAATCAACCAAATAAAGATCCGGACAACAAAAGCCGTTTTTTTTAAGAATATTTACGGTAAGTATGTTATATTTTTAATATTAAACTACCTTACCCTTTGACGTGCACACACAATTCCAATTAATGTGTTGTCAATATGAATTAATAGCGTTACAACTCAATTTTTTTTTCGAAGCCCATGTGGCGCACTCAATGTTGCAAAAGTATACACATATATCAAATTCCTTGGAACATAATTAGCCCTTATTTTATAGGAAGCCCCAATCCGATATTTTATTCATGAAATAAAAAAAAAAACACTTCTTTTTTACCTTTTTCATAAAAGCTATCGACAGAGATATCAGAAACCTGAGGTCAGCTTAATGAGGGAACACTGTAAAAAGATAAGGCAGTCATTTGAAAAGGGTCGGGGGAATGAAGAGAGAAATTGCGGGGGAGTGTTCGGATACCTTTAATTCTCTCACACCAAATTATTCGGAGTGCGAACGGTCTATGATTTATCAATTTTCATGATTAAATCTACTCGAAGAATATTCCTTTTTCGATTTAAGGGAAATCTTTTAGGCCTTCCTTGTTTGGAGCTAGTGACGGATTTAGTTTTGAAAATACTTTGAGATAACTTTTAATAAACTGTGGTTTAGTTTGTTTGATAAATATATTTTTACGTACCTAACTAATTGGAGTACTGAAAATGAATTAGGTTCATCCAGGCTCAGGCTGGTGAATTTAATACACTTGGAAATACGTGATCGCACGAACGCCCAGATAAAATTTCAGTAATAAATAAAATTTAACTTTTGATACTAACATCAGGTATGGAGCAAAGAGGAGGAGAGCGATGAATAACCGAGATTCGTCTTTAATTGGATGTGGTGAACGTGTATTAGATTGTGAGGCGCAATCTTCTCTCCGGCTTCGATATTACCGAGCCGGGATAAAACGCAAACATATTTTCACGAAATATGTCGATATCTATAGACATGTATCTTGGTTACCTTTTATACGTTAAATAAAGAAAAAAAAATACGTTGTGTACTTAAACAGTCGGCATCGGTTTGGCTTTGTCCCTGGTACTTTATATGTTCATGAGCGACGCTGACTACTTACCATCTGGTGAATCGTATGCTCACCTGCCTACAAAGTTAATAAAAAAGACAAAAATCTGTTCAACAACACATCATTAAAGTTCTGCTGCTTACGAGGTTTTTTTTACTAATTATTTTAAGGTATATTTTCTTTATTTTTTTCTTTGTTTTAGGTAATTTTGAGGCATTATAAATAAACAAATAAATTAATTATAATTACATTATAAACACTAAAAATGTTTTTGTTTCTGTAGAGGCAATATATTAAGTAAGTACTCAATGTATAAGTTAACAAGGAAATTGTAGGAAGAACACGCACACACTTAATATTAGTGTTTATAGTTAGATATTTTTGGCTTCTTGTAATAACTCATTCGCATGACAGGCTTTGAAAAAATACAAAATAATGTATTATCCGCCGTAGAGAAGGAAAAATTTAACACAGCTCAGTTCCTATAAGTTGTATTTTTAATTTATACCACAAACGTTATTTGTCATTATATTATTTTCGACGTTTCGAATACATTACAGATACAGTTTTGGCTAAGTAGGTAAGAGTTGTTATTCGTCATCTGAATGCTAACTACCATATATGTATTTACGAACTACCTGAAATTATATCAGAAATTAAAAATTATAAATGCGTAAAAATACTTTTAATTAAATGTACGTCTCGCGAAAACCGAAGACAAATCTAAGTCGAATATCGTTATTGTGTTCTGAAAGGTTTTATTTAGATTATATTTCTAACAGAGAGCGAGCGAGAAAGAACGAAATGGAACCAAAGTACAGACTAAAGCTAAGTCACTCAATTCCAAATAAACAACGTAGCAATATCGGGGTGTTTATATTTTTACATAACGCCGTCGGAGTGGAACAAGTAAATAAAAAACGTGATTCACGAAGTGTGCTTGCCACGTAAATGTAGTTGGTAATGTGTAACAAAAATGTAATACTGAATGGTTCAATGGTTTTTTTTTGGTTGAAAGAATAAAGTATATATTAAATATGCTTTAAATGTTTTTCATTCAAATTATCACGTAGGTATTTATTTCACTGTATGTTTTGAATGGCACGTGCGGTCAAAAAAAGCTGGTGAGTTTATTTATTTATTTTTTATTGCTTAGATGGGTGGACGAGGTCACAGCCTCATACATGCATTTTCTATGTAGATACCAAGTTTCAAGTCAATCGGATGCATGGTTCAGTAGTTATAACGGAACATCCGTAAAAACCACTGTAGATTTATTTATTAGTGTAGATAAGGATAGTCACACTAAGTTCTTAGTATGAAATTATCAAAAAACACAAACTAAAACCGCCTATTTCGCGCTAACTAATACAGGTGTGTGTTACGTACAGAGTCGTTCTTTTAATAAGTTAACGATGTATTTCTTGTGACCTCTCTCTCTCTCTAGTTCAGCGAAGGACCTGTTGCTACATGAAAGATGAAGTAACTCGGCGAACTCCCTCGGGTCCTAATTCGATATTGTTTGACTAAAGTGTCGTTTGTTTCATCGAGTACGTCCTATCTTATTTTCGGAGTCGGCCTTCGGTCGTTTCGTCGCGAAATTGATAGGTTTTATTTCGTTAAGACATCTCACTTATCAGATTAATGTCGAGCGCACTTTACTGTAGCACCTTTAAATTATGCGCTGGGGATATATATATATATATATATATATATATATATATTATTGCTTAGATGTGTGGACGAGCTCACAGCCCACCTGGTGTTAAGTGGTTACTGGAGCCCACAGACATCTACAACGTAAATGCGCCACCCACCTTGAGATATAAGTTCTAAGGTCTCAAGTATAGTCACAACGGCTACCCCACCCTTCAAACCGAAACGCATTACTGCTTCACGGCAAAAATAGGCGGGGCGGTGGTACCTACCCGTGCGGACTCACAAAAGATCCTACCACCAGTAAAAATAAGTATTCATTATCCCCAGTAAATCCATACTCATAAGCAATGTTTGTAAGTACAAACGTTGCTTATTAGTATGGATTAGTATGGATCCATACTCATAAGCAATGTTTGTAAGTACAAACGTTGCTTATGAGTATGGATTTACCACGTACTAGTGGTAAATTATTGATAAAAATAGCGATAGAATTTTCCTATTGTTTGTTTAAATTATACCATATTTTTAGTTCGTGAAGCAGTCATGACTTTTCCACCCTTAAGACCTTGGGAAAGCCGTTATACAATTTAGTTGTGATTTCGTCAAATGTCTCGAGGAGGGTGGCCGTAAACTATTTAAAAGCAGGTGGTCCGTAAGCTCGTTTAATTACTTAAGTAAAAAAATGAATAGCTCCCATGATGTAGGAGTGCGCATCATCACAATATTGTGGTAGCACCGATGCTTCTGTATGCGCGCGTTCAGGCTAAAAAAGCTGTCATTTGAATTAAATTTAACTCATGACTACGATGTCTTTGTGAATCATGTTGTCTCAAAGCGAATTACGAATAAATAGAGGTATGTTTAACAAGATCGAAAACAATTTGTATGTATCTATGTATGTATTTGTTTTGGCAATGTAATTAAAACCTACTGTTCATTTTACTCATGTCTACTATAATTCTTTAAATTATCGCCATGCTAATGTTAAGAAGTGGAAATTCTAGAATCTTTCACTTCATCATCGAGGGTTAACTGGAAGAGAATGCCTGCATGGCGTTAAGTTCGCGTTTGTACAATATTTTTGTGAAATAAAGAATTTTCATTCATTCATTCATTCAATTTTCTCATATTATGTAAAAAATGATGGGATTAATTACGTGGTGGCATTTCGATTCCGAGACGCGTCGCAATACGTGCACGAATGAAATTATTTCAATTTCTTTTATAATCACATTCCAGCTTTGAACTGTTTGCCTTGATAACAACGACTTCATTTATTTTTACGGTTTTCACTTTCGACGTTTACTATAGTTCAATTAATGGTTTAACATTAGGTACGTGTGATTGGAAAAAGTCTATTTAGATTTGCCTAATGTTTCTATCTGTAAAACAAGTAACGCTATCTTCCTGTTCGTTCTTTTAAATGCTTACTTGGTATTAAATAAGATTTAAGAGTATGAGTGTACAAGTAATAGAACAGTCACAAGCGAACGATTTGACTCTAATGCCATATTATATAATATTTGGTTTTCTAGACAGTTTCCTTAATTTTTTTTGCAAACTTTTCCACTGGCTTTAATCAAGTTCTATATTAAGTATCTAGTATGTAGAATTTAAGTGGCATATAATTCATTTTAGAGGAATATAAAGGAAAGTTTGTAAATTAACTTTTAAATTTGTAAATAGTTCTTGCATAGTTTTTCCAAGTACTAATTATGTCTGCTTGTTTTGGGGTCTATCTAATCTGGTTTTGGTTAAGAACTGAATCCCTGAACTTGTCTGTTATGTTGTCATCATCATCATCATCATCATCATCATCATTCTTTCCTATTACCCTCTGTTGGGGTGTAGGGCTCGAATCAAATCCTTCCATTTACATCGGTCTTGGGAAGTCTGTTCTAGCACCTCCCACGTCATGGACAAGACACCTAGCTCCTGCTCCACCGAGCGACGCCAAGTTGTATGACAACAACTATAGATTACCTTAATAAAGAAACATATTTACCTCTCTCCCAGCCTATGGACTCTATGGGATATCCAGCGACAGGGCATTTCATATGTAAGTCTGTTCCAGCGACAGCTGTCACTTTAGGCATCTCACGTATGTAAGGTAGTCCGTAGACGTTCACTCTGGCTGCATGAGAAGTTTTTCCCGCGGTATTTGACGCAACACACGCATACTCGCCGCCATCTTGCTCTGTTACGCGGCTGATGTTAAGATGACTGACAACATCGTCTTGAAGCGTAACGTGTTGACCTACGACGAACCTGCGAGAAAATAATTGATTCCAAATTATTTGTTGCAGTGGTACCTACTATATGAAAAGTATTAAGGTATCATCTTCGAAAAAATTTTGGAGGAAACTAATGCTGGTCACAATATAACATAGAAAGCACAAGTACATATGCTTAGCCTATATTCCTATATTAACTAATTAATGAACATTGTTTTATGCTTGTGTTCCTTAAAATTTATGTATAAAAAGCCGTAAAAATATCTGATTGCAGCTTTTGGGTCTCTAGGATGATTTTCACTCTGTATTTACACTCTGTACATATTTCATGTAGATGTTGTTTTTTTCTCATATCTATTTTATCGATTAATAGAGAAACACAATCAAGCTTCATTTGTCAAAATATTCAATTCGATTAATCGATATGATATATCGTTAAATTATAAATAAATAAAAACAATTGAAATTACTCTTTGAGTAGTGACTATGGTACTACAACAGTTTTCAATGTCACTTATGACTTGAAAACTACATAATATTGTTAATTTATCATCATCATCATCAGCCTTTATCTTTTTTTTAATTTATCAGGATCAGAAAATAAAAGGAAATGCTAAGGAAATAATATATTTTTATTAAAGCTCACTTCATACTAACCTAGAATTGGTTGGTATCGGAAAGCCGTCCAGTAACCAAGTGAACTGTGGTGGCGGATGTCCCATGGCCACGCACTTGAGTGACACGCTCGGACCAGGCTGAAGAGTCTGCTCCGAAAACCAGTACACCAGTTCCGGCTTGGATTCTATATAAAAAAATACATTTTTCACATGAAGTAAATATTTTAGTTGACAGTAAAGGCATTAATTTTGATTGTACCTATCACTATTTTCTCTGCACTACCTTTCGTTGACTGATAGAGAATGCCTTAGGCATTAAGTCCGCCAGTGTAAATTTTACATGAAGTGTCCGTGGTTAAAAAAGTCGTGGTTGAAGAAATCCGTGATTGAAGAAGTCCGTTGACTTAAGGAGGCACGGGTTCGATTCCCGGTATCGGAACCACGCTCTGCTACCATATTGAGGTTTTCAATGAAAGGAGACCAGTAGTGTTCTTAGACAGTTATACTGACGGAAAAAGGAAGAATGAACCATGACAGACATTTTTAAACAAGTGACCATAGATTAATATAAATCAGTATTATAAAATTACCATAGATTACAACAATAAATAAATAAATAAAGTAATCAATCCTTATTATGACAGTCAATGATGAGTCAATGATGTAAGCCGATCTCTCGAATAGTTACAGTTTTCGTATTCACAAACTATGATATATAATATACCACAACAACAATAAAAAACACGAAATTAAATGGTAAAAATGGTTTTTCAATTATGTCTAGAATTCGCGAGAACCGAAGAAAATACTATAATTAACTTTAAGATTAAACCACCACTTATAATAATTAAGCATCAACCGTGAACTGTGTTCATGCGCTATACGCTTGTACAATAGACGGCATACATCGTGTCAGACTGCGGTCTGTGGTTCGCATAAGTGTTGTACCACAAATCATGTCACCCTATCAACTGAAGCAAATTAAATTCCACTACGATATGCCAATAATGTAGAACATTAAAATGATGTAAAGAACAAAATGAAACAATCTTTTTAAGCTATTGCATAGCTTTTATCGCGGGCTTTGAGCGCGGCGACCGAATCAAGAAATTCCGTAACAAAAATAAAACCTAATACCTCCCACTCCGCCTAACATGTAGCTCGCGTTCAACACATTCACACGTTGCGCGTATGTAGTGTTTGTAACTGAGCGCGCGGCGTGACGTCGCACTCCATGCGCATCGTGAAAAGTCTGCTCATCTTTCTCTCGTGCGGTCTAGATTTTGAGTGTGAAGGGGACAGTTAATGTTTTTCTTTTTTAAATGTTTATAAATATAGCGTGGTCTATTTTATTATTATTGTTTTAATATTAAATTATGATTGTCTAATTATAATTGCATAAGTTGATAAAAAATGCTATACAATAACTTTACCGCGGCAGTCCCCGAGTGCCGAGTCTTATGTTTTAACAGTGGTACCCGCCGGTCAAGCTTCGTTAATATTCGCACGAAATGCGACCATTTGCTAAAATGCCTAACACGCCAGATGTATTCGTACAGCCCTTCCGTTGATGGCGTGATGTAAAAAACCTTCCTTGAAGCTTAACAGTACGGATATACTTATAACAACAAATAAACAAAACGACGACTTGGTTTTGCAGTAGTTAGTGGGTCTGAATGTTACGCCGAGGGTCGTGACTGACTATTCTCGTATTTGGCAAACATTTGTGTAATGTACAAGTTCGTTTTCTCTTTCTCTGGGTGTTTATTATTTATATATGTATAAATTTAAACATCTATATATGCATATATTTATATAAGTATGTATGTCAGTCTCTGGTACCAATAAAATACGGGGTATTCTGATTTAGAGTCGGATGACCGAGCGTGATTAGTTCCCAGTTATTATTTAAAGTTAAAAATATTTACTTTCATATGTTCATCGGAAGATTATTGGTACTGTTTAAATACTGAGTAAATAACACTTATTCTGTCTATTCCTGTTGTAAAACAGTTAAGTTCCGGCTTGAAAAGTAGGATAAGCGATACGTAATAAAATTTGGGGTTCGATTTCGTGACGCTAATAATATTAGCTCATGTCGTTCAAGCGTTCGTCCGCACATTTAGAACATATTTATTTAAATTCATCTCTTTGCGAAGGTTTAACTAATTTAAATTTAAGCATTTTGAACAAAACTTGCCCTGCGTGATGCTTACGTTATGACACTTAAAATAAAGGGTGTCCTATTTTTTCTAATACATATTTAATTTCCTTGATATTTGAACTGTCTTATATGTTATTTTTGTTACTGTCCTTGTAGGCAGACGAGCATACGACCCACCTGATGGTGCGTGGTTACATTCGCCCATGGACATCAGCAATGCCAGGGAAGAGCTAAGCCGCTGCCTACTGTTTTCTCTTTTCTTATTTTCACGCTTTTCTAGATATTTAAACTGTTCTATGTGCAAATATTGGAATGATAACTAAGTTTATAGTATAACTTAATTTTAAAAATAAAATCCGTATAAATGACAACCCTATATAAGCATTTTTGAATGACGCAAATCGAGATTAGAGTTTTGATATAATTAATTCTCTAAAAATTATATTCTCATTTGACTGTAAATTACGCAGAGTCATAATTTGGATAAAACTTATTTCCACTTATTTAATAACGAAAAAGTTTCTAAATTCAATTTTTTGTTCCGAAGTAATTCACCAAGTTGACTTTAACGAATTTAATTAGCTAAAGAGATTTCCCAAATGGCTCTTGTTACACCATCGCGAAAATGGAACCGTGAGATTATTGTTTGACCTTTATTTGAGATGATAATAGCTTAGGCATTATTTAATATACGTTAGCGGAATTTATCAACTGTATAGTTTTGACGGAATTGTTTCTTGAAATAAAACAAAAGACCGTAGCTTAGCTACATTACATTACATAGTGTAAAATTAAAAAGACATGGTCTACTGCATCATTTTACATCAAGCATAGAATAGGATTCATGAATAGTTTTGTTTTTATTTTGTAACTATGATATTTTTGAGTTTAATTATACGTGCTACAAGAAGCGTAGCAACACACGCAGTAAGCTTTTCACGATTTTGCATTGCTTACATAGGACGGAGAACCTGCGTAAAATAAAAAATATCATGGAATAGATTTAAATTATTTAGTAAAATTATGGTCTTTCCATTTGGGGTAGTGCGTATTGTAAGCCCGCACTGGTGGATATCACCATTGTGTCTATTTCTGGTGCAAAGCAATTCCATGTTCTGGTTTAAAAGGTGTTACTTCCACAGTGCCAATGAGTATTCGACGTCATATCTCAAAATGGATGACGTCATTGACGTTGTAATATTTAAAAGCCTCGGTAATGTATATACAATTTAAGCTTTGCAGAAGCGAATTCCTATAAATTTCAAAATATGCTTATAGATGTATATCTCTTCAAAATTTTTTATTTTGCGTCGCAGCAAAATTCGGAATCTTTCATTACCAACGCTACTTTTGCTTGGCTAGATTATTATAAAGTTATAATTTTAACATAACTTTTAATGAAATGAGGTTCTATTATTGCGGGAAAAGGGAATCGGTATGCTAAAATAGCCTCTCATATTTCTAAAATAGCAAAACATCCATTTTTAATTTATTTTATGCACTGTATCGTTTCGCCGTGTCCACGCATATTATGTAACTCATATTTGCAGAGGTAGCTAAGGCATCGTGTTTCGGCCGTTCATCAAATGGTACTTATTCTAGAACTTTTCTGACAAGTTGAGAATAAATGATGATATTGATGGCTTGTGAACGCACCGATTCTTCAAACGAGGCTTGCGGAGAGTTCTTTATGGTAGGCAGCGGCTTGGCTCTGCCCCTGGCATTGCTGACGTCCATGAGTGACGGTGACCACTTACCATCAGGTGGGCCGTATGCTCGTCTGCCTACAAAGGCAATAAAAAAAATTAAAAAAAAAATCCGTTCAACGAATAAATATTTAATTTATAGTCTACTAGAAGATTGAAGGCGCGAGATTTTTTTGTTTATGTTGGGAATGGAGCTCGTATAGGTAACTATTAAGTGATGAAGATTAAGTAACATGTAAACTAGTGGTTTTAATGAAAAAAAAACAATAAAGAAATTGCGTAATTAGATGATATCGGAAGGAAAATTTTATTTGAATACATTTCCATTAGATTTCAAGGTATTTTAAAGATATATTGAAAAAATTTTGAGATGAATCCCAAACAACTCTAGTTTATCTGTGTACATATACAGTTTATCAAAATTTATTAAATCAAAATGCAAGGTAGTTTAACAACCTAAAAGTACATATTATTTATTATTCGCAACACGCTTCGTCAGTATAGTATATCTGTGTCACGTATACATATGTCATCCTAATTAATAAGGCTGCCCGTACGCGATGCCGTTACCCATAAAAATACAAATTGGAACGCGCTATTTTACGAGCAAACCCGGGTCTCGATGTATCCGGATCGCACAAAGGTAGTAATGGTCCATCCCTTAATTAAAAGTCCACAATAAATTGTAGCCTCCACTAGGTGATTGTCGAGCGGGGATTTCAAATAAGCATACCTATGTATTTTAAATTTATTACATTATTAAAATTAATTTTGTGTTTGTATGTCTCGATTAAAAAATATTAATGTTCTTTTTTTTTTAAAGATATTGCGGCTTTGCCTGCATTTGGATAACTTTCGGATTCAAAAGCATACTGTCGGATGTAATGCTGTCTTTCATGTGTTTGTAGTGACGTTATGGAGTATCTGATGCTTATACTCATTCAGAAACTATCTATCTGATCCCATCATACCCAATCCATTTCTTTGTACTTTTGTACATTGCTTAGATGAGTGAATGAGATCATTGCACACCTGGTGTTTAGTGTTTACTGGATGCTATAGACAACGTAAATGCCCTGACCTTGAGAGACTAGTTCCAAGTCTCAGTTTTGTAGTACGACGTTTATTCAACCCTACAAAGCGAAACGCATTAATGCTTCACCGCAGAAACAGGCAGGGTGGTGGTACCTACCCGTGTTAGCCAACAAAACGCTCACTTTTTGCTGATGTTAGGGTGTTTTGTTTACTGTTGGTACCAGGAATGTCAGGCCTACTATTATACCGCTGCTATCGTCCCAAACCCTTTCTTAACCTCATTTAAAGAGGGACAGATCATTATGACCAGACTGTGTATCATGTGTGCATATTATGTGCGATCAATATGTGCCTTAACATTTTGAATAACAGAACTGATTATTTTAAATCGAAATAGGTACTAGCAATATCGCCCAATTATAATCTATACTAATCGGTTTTTAAAATGGACACCTACGGTTTTGTTGTGTTAGAATATAAAAAATCCATTTCTTTTTTTTGGGTAGCGCAGAAAACAAACCGAATTCCTCAACTGGATTATTTGTACAGGGTCGCCGTCTGCTAAGGAGTGTTCTCTTTTGTGTTTGTATTCCTTCTCCAATTACTTCAGTTTTGTAAAAGGAATGGGGGAAAAAATCATCATTCAGGAGTTATTGTCAACCGAATTTCTATGAAGATAACGAATGAATGTAGGTGAATTATCTTTATATGTTTACCAGCAGAAAAATTCTGAGAACCAATAGTTTTGTCACTGTTTTATTTCTATAAGAAAGTGGAAAACAAAGTAAGCAAACATTAAGGAAGCCAAGATAAGGCGTAAGACATACTTTGGATTGTTATTCAAAGAAACGTCTAGTATAAGCTAGAAGTCATTCCTTTTTGTCTAGTCTGGCTTGTTCCCCGGGAACAAATGAGCCTTGTTAGCAAAAGGTCAGCCACTTGTTTAATTCGTTAAGTGCGTTAAATTCGTCTTAAAATTTATCGATTCCATGTTTATGCACCCTTCTAGCGCGATTCCATCGATATACCTCTTTATAGCTCATAAATAATAAAAAAGTATATTGAAGCTATTAATGACGTCATTCCCGGGAAGTGAGATCGGAACATAAAAAAAATCGACCGTTTAAGTGGTCGGGAGTACGTCACGCTTCTACTTATACTGAACCTCTGAAGAGCAGCGACACCAAATAGCGGGGAACGAATTAATAATGAAACAAAGCGGCTTATATTACGTGGGAGGCGTGCGCAAAAACGACCTTACGAGCTGCGAGATAGGATCTTAATTGGAAAATTTGCGGCTTAGTATTTAGTACAGCGGTTGGATGCGCCCACGGCAGGCGTGCCAGCCTCACTGGAGCTCTTTGTTTGAACTGAAGAGCTGACTCTAATAGCTTGCAGCGGATCCGCGTTTAAAGTGAACTTTTAAATATTTTATGAAGAAGCCACAGGGCACAGGACGAATAAAAGTTGGAAATTTGCATACCACATACGAAATTACGTAACATATATCACACAGTCGCCGTGTTAGTATCTGCATATTATGTTACCGAAATTTACGTTTAAGAATAATACTGTTTAGTAGAAAATCTAACTAACGTTTTCCTTTATTTTAATTTCGAAGTGGTGGAACTTTCGCAGAATTTAATAGAAAAAGTTTCGATCAATCATATAATGCACTTTCTTCTTCTTGTGTCTCCATCTTATGCCACTATGTGGGGTCGGCATTAAAATGCACTTTTATATTTTAATAAGAGCCGAACTAATTTAGATTTTTTCTGAATAAAGTGCTGTAGCTAGCATAGAACACAAGATATGGTATATGATAGATGCTGGAATCTCGTTAACAACATTTTCAAGATAAGCTTGCATATATATAGAGTTCTGAATAACGTTTGGACCGTCGCGTCGGTCTACCAAGCTATATCACCCGCTCGGTGGATGATCTTCTCTTTGTCATTAATCACTGAAGTGGATTTTAATCTCGTTCTTTTTAAAATTATTACGCTGAGGAAAATTTGCAACATTTCATTTTTGAGCTGAGGTTACTTTCTGTAAGTTGTAATATTGATTATTGATTTCACATTCATGAGTGTTTTTAAAACGGCTCGAGTACAAAACCATCACCGTCGTGAGTTTTTTGAAATTATTGGGCATTACCAGAGAAACGGTAACGGTTTTTAGAAATAAACTGGCTTATTCGTGGGTCACAGTTTGAAACTTTACTTAGTATTTATGACAATACCGGGAGCTATCGTACGATGTTACGTTGTGTGGGAAAGTTGTGTTACAAATGGTCACACTAATTTAAACCCGTAATTTAACTTATTTAACTGTTAGGTAATTTAAACTTGAGAAATTCTGTTATTTTCTAAATAATTTCGTTACACGGCCTTGTGAATAAAGTTTTGTAAGCTACATATTTCGAATGTTATTCTGTAAGAGCTTTAAAGAAGTTTTTTAAGGGAGGTACTTCAATCGTGAATTTTAAGATTAAAAACACCGTTATTATTTATTTAAATTAATTATATATTCAGTGAAGCTAAATCAAACTGTCGAAATGAGTTACAAAACTTTATTTCGGGAACGCAATTTTGCTTCTTGGTATTCACCACGCAGGCAGGATAAAAATTGTTATTGTTGTATTTTCTTCGATTTTTGCGAATCACAAACATAATTAAAACTACTTTTATTACACTATATTTTCCAATGTCGACAAGCCTTACTGTAGGAATATACGACAAAGGGAAGATCTTCCACCGAGCGGGTGATATTGCTCAGTAGACCGACGGTCCAGATGTTGTTGTTCGGAACTTGTATATATGCAAGCTTATCTTGAAAATGTCGTAAGCGAGATTCAGGCATCTGTCAAATATCTTGTTTTCTGCGATGGCTACCGCCACATTACCCTTACCCACTCACTGTTCTCAAAAGATTGACCCGCAACTACCATAGAAATGACCATAACCATAAACAAAACCCGCTGAGTTTCTCGCCGGATCTTCTGAGTGGGACGCGATTCCGATCCGGTGCTATACTCAGTAAAGCACTGTTCTTGTTAGGGCTAGTGTTAGTAAGCTCTCTCAGGTTGAGCCCAAGCGTTTACCTACCGGTCCGTGAGTAGCTCTTAAGCTACCAGAGATACCGTAGATATTCGGTAGGGAAAAAAACCCACCTTAGTCGTCTGTGACCACGAAAACTGTAAAGTTGTTTTTTTTTATTGCCTTTGTAGGCAGACGAGCGTACGGCCCACCTGATGGTAAGTGGTCACCGTCGCTCATGGACGTCAGCAATGCCAGGGGCAGAGCCAAGCCGCTGCCTACCATAAAGTACTCTCCGCAAGCCTCGTTTGAAGTATTCGAAATGTAGAGGAAATAAAACGGATGGACAATAATTAACGGGAGATTGAAGGAGTTTTAATTAATGTTTAATTGTTTTTTACAGTATACCTCTAACTCCTGTAAAGTTCCAGTCTGTGTCGTGTGTGTGGGTGCTACGAGCGTAAGGAGCACGTCTTGAGCGGTTTCCAACTGCCCGCGACCTCTCCGACACTGAAAACAATACTATATGTTTAAAATTCTTTTTTTATTGCTTAGATGGGTGGACGAGCTCACAGCCCACCTGGTGTTAAGTGGTTGCTGTAGCCAATACACATCTACAACGTAAATGCGCCACCCACCTTGAGATATAAGTTTTAAGGTCTCAGTATAGTTACAACGGCTGCTCCACCCTTCAAAAAAATTCAAATTCAAATTCGAAATCATATCAGTATCAGTCAGTATAACACACTTGTTAAATGTCAAAATATAAATAACAATGTTAACTCTACCACCGGTTCCAAAAAAAGGAACAGTCCTGAGAAGAACCGGCGAAACAAACTCAGCGGGCTTTTTTTTTTGTTTGTTCTCAATTTTTTCTTTTTGTTTTTTTTTTTAAATAAGTAAAAATATTTGCAATAAAACAAAAAACAAGTCAAAAATACAATTTAAAAAAATTTTAATAATGAAAAATGAAAAGGCCAGGAGCGAACGCCTCATTCCCGAGGATTCAAACCGAAACGCAGTACTGCTTCACGGCAGAAAATAGGCAGGGTGGTGGTGCCTACCCGTGCGGACTCACAAGAGGTTTTACCACCAATAAAAGGTTCTGTACCATGTCACTAACTTCTAAATGAGTTGACCAATTTCGATGACAGTATCTATGTATATTTGAAGGTCTGGATTATTTAGATTTGTATTTGTAACGATAATGTAATTATAAGGAATTTACACATAACGAAAACAGTTATCCTAAAACTTCGCGTTAATAAAAAAAGCCTCCGTCGAAATAAATCTAAATGAAAAAAGAAACTTCTTGGATGTTTGATGAGAAAAAAGTTATCCAATCAATTTGGTTAATTAGAACTTCGCGCCGCGACCGGTTTCACTAACTTTGATAGGGCTCTGAATGGATATAGTAAACAATTAATTGTTCATAGTATATTAATATACTGCAAAAATTAAACTTTGGAGTACACTCAAGAGTTTAGAGCTACATTACTGTGATGTGAACCACTCAAGGGTACGAAACTTACACTTGGTTATATTAAAAACGTTATCAAGCCCTGAATTCTCAAAAGAAAACTGGAGAAACTAGTAATTGTTTATGCGACCTTCTGAGCGTTACGACATGTCTTTTTTCAGACGAAATTTGCGCAGGGTAGTTAGTGGTAAATAGCGGCCTTGTTGCGCCCCTAACGTCCATGAGCAATGGTATCCATTCACCATATGGTGGGCCGTGTGCTCGTTTGCCTGTAATGGCAATAAAAATATATCTGAGAGGAGTTTCTATTACTTAAAAGATTGCCCACCTTACTAGTTAATACAGAATTCCTATTGTCTAACTAATAGTTTGGCGTTGGTAACTAAATTAAAGTTTTATACGCCAAAATATTACGAAAGACAGTAGGCTCTTTACTATTACTGTTCTCCCTAAAATTTAATTTTAAAATTAAGGTCGTGGTTGTGGAATAATTCGTCATCTTTTGACAAATCAAATAAATAAATGTTAAAGCATATAAATGATAGATGTCATAAGAAAACATAATCTAGGTAGAAAGACTTCAACCTATTTGGTGGAAAAAGAAAATGAGGAATTACAGATGACATTGCCAAAAAGAAGGTAAGAAAAAATTTACATGTTAAAGCTTTTAAAAACTGATTCAGATATAAAATGAAAGACACTATGCAGATAAACATGTTTCATTAAAAGTACCCTATATGAAAGGTCTTTGAGATATTGAGACTTTCCTAAACGTTACTGACGTAAGAAAAAAGTTCCGAGCTACCCTCATATTGTGCCTAGATAAATTTCACTCTATAAACGTCTTAATTGCTGATAATTTAGAAAACATTACCATCGAACAAATATTCGGACATTCCATAAGCTTGGTCTCGGGCGTTGCTTGCAAAACACTGATATATTCCTTGGTCATCTTTGTGCGTATTCTTGATATGTAACCTTAATCCATCTTCTAGAATTTCAATTCTTTCGTTAGGCTCAAGAGTGCGTCCGTTATGGAGCCAGTAAACTAGCTCTATGGGGTTTCCATTGACTTTGCAATCCAACGCTATGTCCGATTTTGGTTTACTTCTTAATACTTCCGGTTTTGTACGGACGGATATAGGTTCTGAAAAAAAAATATAAAGATTTAAAATTAATATCGCTAATCACTGTGTGAGCTTCTATTGTGTTTTATTTTCAATCAGACGCGTATCTCAATCGTCTTAAACTGTTCTCCATTAATGGGTTAATCACGGTAAAAGTAATCCAAATAGTAATCTACAAAAAATAAGAACAATGTTTGAACAAAAACAATTAATACTTGATTTCCTACAAAACAAACGAGCTTACTGCTTAACTGATGACTATAATGTTGCTCACAGACATCAGTAGTAGAGTTAGTAATAGTAGCGTTATCTTTCTCAATAGTGATGCTATTTAAATATAATAAAATTACATAAAGATTAAGTCCATAATTATTAATATTGTTGTTTAATTTATACAAGTTTAATTTTCACAAGAATATATTTGATTTTTACCTGTTACTATAAGCGTGAAATGGACTGACTCGCTGCCGACCGTGTTATTCAACCAACAAACGAATCTGCCTGCATCTTCCCGCCTCACTTTCTGTATGGAAAGGAGACCCTCGTCTAGAAGTCGGGCTCGTTTCCAAAGCGTTGTTTCTTCAATGGGTGTCAATTGTTCGTGGTGCTCAAAAAACCATCTGTTAGATATACGTCAATTACATTACAATACGAAAATCAGTTCAAAATTTAACAAAGAATTAGTTTTTCATACAATCTAGACTTTCATAGCGAATCATTTATTATGAAAATGACTTTGTTTCAAGTAATTTGATGCCAGCATATTTTGTGACACGTGCATATATTTAAGTACATATTATCCTGCACAATTAAAGATGAAAGTTGCAATAATTGAAGAAATTTAAATATTTAATGATGTTCGCAACTAATTTCTACAGATAGTCGAAGTACAATAGGTAAATGTCTGGTACTCTAGTCTACCACTAGTCTAGTACTTAAATAACAAAAAACAAGGCAACAATAGGTCGTCTCATCGTTAAAGAAAATAATCGAACGAAACAAGAATAATGGAAGATAAAAAAGACTGTGGGATATTTAAAGTAAGAGAGATGTTCAATAAATTATAATAAAACAAAATAAAGTAGATAGGAGTACAGTTACGCCGAAAGTAATTTATATCTTTAACGGGTAAGGTACTATTAAATAAGGTTCCCGAACCTTTTAAAGGAGGGTTTAATGCGCCCGACAAATTTAGTTTGTGTCACGAGAAATTTATTTCAGATCGAATTACAAAGGTTTCAATTGGGGTACGATGTTTAAGCCCCATAATGTTACTTTGCCAATATGTCTGTTGTGTAACTTCTAGTGTTATTTGCGCAATCAATACTAATTAAGAATAATCGTCTAATAGGGAGTATGGCGGGACGGAATGAAAAGGCTTGGATGAATTGTGTGACAGAGGATAATAATACGTGAGAGAAGGGAGTGAGTGCAGAAATGACGTATGATAGGTCTGATTGAAAAAATAGGACATGCTCCGCCCCATATATTGGGATAAGGGCATGAAGAAGTAAATTTAGCTCTTCTGTGTACTGTCTTATATTGTAGGTTTATTAGGTAAATTAAAAGGCCAATATCGCCCTCCTATGAGATTTGTACTTATTTCAATGATACACAGATTGCACATTTTTCATATGCCAGTTATTGATGGCGTCCATAAATTAATATCTGTATACTTTCTAATCTATTTAGGGCAAAAGTGTTAATTAAGGTGCATTATGATTTGGCATTTACATCCACTAAGAAATTTCATTGTTAATTTGTTTCATTGTTTGTGTCATGTATTAGATACATTAATTAAATCTAAAAATACACAAATGCCTAAAATTGTTTCCTTCACTAAAAATTTAACATAACAAAATTGCTTAAAGAGCACCATTTTAATTCTAATCATTATACAAAACTATAGTTTTTATATTGTGTTTACATGACGGCAGTATACATTCTAACAAACCTACACTACACTACGATGACTCTAATTTCAAAGTGAAAAAAGTGTCTTAATTTCCAATTAGCTTTCTTCATTACACTAACTCATATTATTAAGTTTTATTCCTACATAATGTAAGAGTAAGTTAGAGAAAGATCCGTATGACTTAAAAGCCACACGCTTTCGAAGTTTTGTTCTTAGGAATAATCGTGAAAAGTAGCGAGATGTAGCAAGAAATTTGCATCCTAAAAGGTTTCGCCAGAATGTACATAGTTCGTGTGAAACTTCATGGCACATTCGAAGTTGGCGACAGGAGTTTTTGTGTGGAACATAAAGCGTTGTCAGTTGGCTGTGGAGTGCCTATGGCAAGGTTTCATTTATTTTAATGACGAAAAAAGATACCGAATTCTCTCAATTAATTATTACTAGATGATGACCGACCTTTTTTTTTTGATAAAGCCATCTTGTTGTGTCTTTAAAGCGGCTAGTTGCTCTCAGTTAAGAAAAATAGTATTATTATTGGCCAATACATGTCGGGAAGAGTTGATTATTGAAAACATGAATAAAACAACATTTTCTGAAAATAAATCGTAGCTAGATAGATTTATTGCCCCCGAAATCCCCTGTATACAAAATTTTATGAAAATCGTTGGAGCCGTTTCCGGGATTCAGATTATATGTATAATATATATACAAGAATTGCTCGTTTAAAGGTATAAGATTGCGTATATTATGTGTGCTATGTACGTATTTCAAACTGTTTTAAAAATGACCTTTTTTTTTATTGCTTAGATGGGTGGACGAGCTCACAGCCCACCTGCTATTAGTGGTTACTGGAGCCCATAGACATCTACAACGTAAATGCGCCACCCACCTTGAGATAAAAGTTCTAAGGTCTCAAGTATAGTTATATACCATAAACGACTATTTGTATTGGCCGAATTATCTTTAGGCCGGTGTTTGTGTTCCCAGTTCTCTCCCAGGACTTGACCCCAGCATAATCGTATCGCTTAATGCTATTACAGTGAAACGAGCTATTACGTGTATATTTTACGAATTAATTTTGGTGTACTATCAAGTATACTCTATCTCTTTATCGAAAGTTAATTTGGTAAATATTCGCAATGTATCTAGTTCATAATGGATATGTATATTGAACTAGTTATAGTAAACACGCGCTTAGTTTACGATTGCGAACGCTTTTCAAGTCAAACGGTAGACGTTAACAAACAAACTGTTACCGCGGACGTTCGACCCGGACTGTAGCTCAATCCACGTGATTATTTGACTAAGCGACCAACTTTGAAACATTCGCTGTGACCGCAGGTATGCAAACTACTAAAGTTTCATATAATATAACTTGCTGAACTATGTACCTACTCAGAAACAGCATTATTAGGCCTGTGTTACGCCGTACAAACTTGATACAATTAGAGTACATATATTTTTTGCAATATCAAACAAGCGAATGTATAATGGAGTATTTCAGAGGCTCGTCCTAAGCGTATGGTTTATAGTTAAGTTAAACGGGCCCTAATGAACTCCCGTCGGTTGGATGAGCAGGCAAAACATTCAAGTTTCCGTTTTTGCAGCCCATAAAAAGTTGGTACCTCATAAATTCTCAGTTAGCAGAGCTTTAGCTTTGTAGCGTGCGCGTCCGAAACAGCTATGTCGGGGGTTCACGATCGCATTATGAAAATCTATTTAAATTACCCGCCATTTTCATAACAAGCAACAACACCCACAAGTCGATCTACAGGACGGGCGGCAGGCACATTACCATGGGTATAATTAAATTTGGCTGGTTTTGCGGGATAAATCGCTCCTTGACAGTCAAAACGAATTATGCCGTGTGCGAATTTTGAAATTGCTATATAATGAGAAGCCAAATCCAAAAAGACCCGCGAAAATGTTAAAGATTCTTTTATTTAATCGGCATACACGGATTACCTATATGTAGTTACTAAAGTGATATGCTATTTTTCGTTTAATTTGAACAAGTCTGAAAGTTATTGATTTAGTTTGCATTTTTTTTTCGTCCTTTTTGTAGTCGTCGTGGCCTAAAGGATAAGACGTCCGGTGCATTCATGTGTAGCGATGCACCGGTGTTCGAATCCCGCAGGCGGGTACAAATTTTTCTAATGAAATACGTACTCAACAAATGTTCACTATTCACTTCCACGGTGAAAGAATAACATCGTGTAATAAAAATCAAACCCGCAAAATTATAATGTGCGTAATCACTGGTGGTAGGACCTCTTGGGAGTCCGGACGGGTAGGTACCACCACTCCGCCTATTTCCGCCGTGAAGCAGTAATGCGTTTCGGTTTGAAGGGTTTGGGTTAGCCGTTGTAACTATACTTGAGACCTTAGAACTTATATCTCAAGGTGGGTGGCGCATTTACGTTGTAGATGTCTATGGGCTCCAGTAACCACTTAACACCAGGTGGGCTGTGAGCTCGTCCACACATCTAAGCAATAAAAAAAAAGTCGGCTAAAGAAATCGTAAAATAAATAATCGAACGAAATTCTTGACAAATTCTTCGGTAGTCCCGCGAGAGCCAATACAATTTCAACAAATCGAATTCGTTTCACAAATTACACTTAGCTTCGTGAAAAATTGAGTGCCGACAGCAATTACGAATCGTTAAAGGTCGACCATTTGTAGCGGGAAAGGCCTGAAACAGCACGCTTTTAGTGTCATCGGAGAATTGTTGTACTATACACTGTTTGCACAGTCTGTACAGAAGTATTTTTGAAGTTATACTTCTTTGGGCGCGTTATGAAAAATTGATGAGAGTGAAATTTTACGATGCGCGCGCACCGTGTCACAAAATTAACAGAAATGAAGTTGCCCACTAAATCGCTCGTTACAATACGACTGACGTAACTCGGCGAGTCTGAATATAGCCGCAGGTGAACTTTCCGAACCGTACCGATAATTACCGAATTTATACGATGTCAAGAAAAGGGATGTCCAATATGCGTGTTTGAGGATGTTGTTTAATCGATTTTTTTTTTAAATTGATTAAAATTTAATAAAAAAAAGGAAATAAATTTAATAAAAATAAAGTATAAATTCTTACGCGCGTACATAAGTACACGCACCCTTTTTTATTTTTATTGCTTAAGTGGATGGACTAGCTCACGGCCCACCCGGAGTTAGGTGGTTAACGGAGCCAACAGACTTCAACAACGTAAATACCGCTATCCACTTTGAGACATGAGTACTAAGGTCTCATTTGTCACAGTACAACGGCTGCCCCACTTTTTACGTGGAAGAAATAGGCAGAATGGTGGTACCTATCCGTTTGGACTCACAAGGCGTTCGATCATTAGTAATTAGGAAAATTAAATTTTTTGCTGGTTTCATTTTTATTACACAAATAGAAGACAATCGTGAACATTTGTTAAGTACGTATTTCATTTCAAATATTGGTACCCGCCTGCAGGATTCGTACACAGATACAGTTGCATCGCGTGATACGAATGCATCGGGTTTCTTATCCTTTAAGCTACAACGACTTCGACAACGACGATTAATGATAATATGAGTCGTCTGTTATCAAAGGTGGCAATCTGTGCATTTGGACAAAAAAAAATTATTGATATGTCAATACAGATTGATTTGAATTTATTCGTCTCCTTCAAAGAATACGGTTCAAAACCTGCATTAAATAAAGGTTAATAGTTAACCTGTTATTTATCTAAGATGTCGTTCCGAAGAGTTTTGTGACTGCCAATGGAATACAAAGTCAACAATTCGTTTTTCTGATTTACCAATAATTGTCCAAAAGTCAGATTGCCGGCTTTGATAATAGTCGACTCATATATAAGCAGGTTTTAAAAAGTATTTTTTTTTAAATTACACTACCTATGCTTTTCAAATCATTGTCGTTGAACGTTAAACTATATCAATATTAATATATATGGTAAAAACAGTTAAGTTTATCTGGTTAAAACTTCTTCTTTGTTACATTAATAACGGATATAGTATCCCAGATGAAAATAATCTAGTTCAGCAGATGAGAACATGGCTCATCAGTTGTCAGTGGTTACTGTAGAGTCTAGATCCTTACAAAGTGAGTGTCGTCCCCTACATCGAGACGAACCAGACTACAGTCTGTTTAGTGCGAGTTTTTTAACATTCTCTATAGCGTAAGAGTTAACTCAAATTTGTATGCAGCTGAAACGCGGTAAACGTAGGCAAACGTTCCAACTTCATTGAGTTAACTTTTACGCTATCGAGAACGTTAACTCTTACGCTACGTTATAAAACTCGCACTAGGTACCCACACAGAGCAATAAATAAATACAACCTCTGTCTTCGCTAAGTACCTTGTACGATGGATGTGTGTATTCGTTCGTCGCTGTTTGAGTTTAACAACAGTTTACCTGTAAGTGGGCACAGGCCACGCATGAACGGCACACGGCAGACGGACATCTTGTCCGACACGGACCCGCCTGGAGCGTTGTTCCACAGACACGCGCGGCTTTACGCCTCCTTTTGGTTCTGTCACTATTACGTGACCTGTGAAGCAAAATGGAACATTAAATATAAAGTAGCAGTTTTGTTTCGAAAAAACAAAAAAAGAGAATTTTTTTTTGACCAAGTAAAAAAGCAGCATTTTATAAATGATTGGTTAATTTTTTGTATAGAAGGTTGTTTTGATTTTTGTATAGGTTGTTTTGATAGGTTGCATAGGTTGTTTTGATTTAGTGTCTTTGTAGGCAGAAGAGCATATGGCCCACCTGATGGTAAGTGGTTACCGTCGGTCATGGACGTCAGCAATGCCAGGGGCACAGCCAAATCGCTGCCTACCATAAGACAATTGTAGACATTGGTGCTCATTTAGTAAAAAATATATCAGGAATGGATGTTTTGTTTATGGTTCCGAACACATTTGTTATTTTTGTTTGTTTTTATTGCTGTTGTTAGATTGGCACAACTGTTTTTCATTTTGGCGCTGAGTTTCAGTTAGGTACATCAGTTATTTAGATCAATTAGATTAACTGCAATCGACTTCTTTCTTTTCCTAAACTCAAATTACCATTTCGTGGCAATAGTTTTCAATCGGTATTAAACTAAACGCAATTCTGGACAAATCTGTTTAAAAACGTTTTGATGGTTTAATTGTTCGTTGTTCTAAGTGTATCAATCCTGAAGGAGCATTCTTGGAAAGAGATAAAATAAATTTGAATGAATTTTGTGCGGTATTGATCTTTTCCCACTTATTCTTTCTTGACAGACCATTAGTAAGCCCAATATTGTTTTTTTAATTATATTACAAGTCGCCTACATTTGTTAGCGTGAACATTTCGATGAATTGTGCTTCTCATGTTAGCCATCGCTGGTTTGTGGACCAAATCCATGCCATTTTGTTTTTTTTAGGTACATAAGCTAGAGTTTTCTGAAGTATATACATGGTTTGCGACGGACGGTTAAAGCCACTTGCTCATCTATTTTATAAAAAGCCTTTTGTTATACTATTCTGAGTTATTTTAATCTTTTCTGGAAGATAATCGTAATGAACGGCGCGCCAACGGTTAAGCATAAATATTAGCTACTAGCTGACCCGGCAGACTTCGTAATGCCTCAATCGATAAATAAAAGAGCTAAACTTTTGTATAAAATAAACTTTAATCATACACATCAAGAAAAAACAAAATTGTTTGTTTTTATATAATTCCGAGCATTTTCATATGGACTTCCACGAATAATTCAAGACCAAAATTTGCCAAATCGGTCCAGCCGTTCTCGAGTTTTAGCGAGACTAACGAACAAGCAATTCATTTTTATATATATAGATAAGGTATAGAAATGTACTGAAAACCGAGAACTTACCAAAGTATTGACTGCTGTACGTATTCCCAGTGATCTTGTCCCGAACTCGACATAAAAACCGGTTATGTCGATCGCTGGTACTGACGGCGCTTATGTACAGCGAACCGTCGTCGAGCCGATGATATTTCGACCCTGCAAACATAATTCACGTTAAACATCCTACGTGAATGAAGAATGTGAATTCTGGTAATTATTAAACCTAATTGAGCATGCATAAATGAAAATGTTGATATTATATTTGCTCAGCGAATGTTAGGTGATTATAATGAAAGTCACGAATTGTTTAGAAAACTAATATTACATTAATCGAATCAAGAAATATTTTCCTTCCTATTCGTACACTCTTGACAGAGTGGTCGTGGTCATGCATCAGTCGGATCCTGCGATACCGATGCTCTCGCGATGCGACGCCATGTGGCACGATGTTTCGCAGAGTGAGAGCAAACATTTATGTTGGAGTGAGTAACAGATTTTATGAGGTCGGTCCATCGTGTTGGAGATCGTCCGCGAGATCTTTTGCCCTCGAGAANTTCCTATTCGTACACTCTTGACAGAGTGGTCGTGGTCATGCATCAGTCGGATCCTGCGATACCGATGCTCTCGCGATGCGACGCCATGTGGCACGATGTTTCGCAGAGTGAGAGCAAACATTTATGTTGGAGTGAGTAACAGATTTTATGAGGTCGGTCCATCGTGTTGGAGATCGTCCGCGAGATCTTTTGCCCTCGAGAAATATACTGCCTGTTATTTTCAAGGCATACATATCAACATGTACATACATACGACTACGCACGAACTATGTACATTTTGCTTTGAACTGTGTTAGTAATATTAAATGAGAAAAGCAACCCTATTTATTTTAACAATAAGCTACTGTTTTGTGTAAATGTAATGCGAAAGGTAAGAGCAATTGTACCTAAATAATGAAGTACGTTTATATCGTCGTCGTTAAGCCACTCTGTACTAGAAATGCGGTCGGCGCAGTGTGGTGGGACCACACATCTCAGCACCACCGCGTTACCAGCTATCACGTATTCGTCCGGCACGTGAACCTCCCATGGTGAGCTAAGAGCTGTACAAAAATGAATCTTATCATACATCAAGAAAAAGCACTTTTGTTTGCCGAGTCTTCATATCATTTTTACGTTATAAGATACCGTATTTATCGTATGAATCGAAAAGCAGTAATGCGTTTCGGTTTGAAGGGTGGGGCAGCCGCATACTTGAGACCTTAGAACTTATATCTCAAGGTGGGTAGCGCATTTACGTTGTAGATGTCTATGGGCTTCAGTAACCACTTAACACCAGGTGTGAGGTCGTCCACCCATCTAAGCAATAAAAAAAAGCTTATTGTCAGCATTTTCATTTGGTTAGTAATATTGAAAACAGTAAATTTGGTTGGTTTCAATTTTTTTATAAAAATGATGTGCTACAAAATCGCCTTGTTCTAGAAAAATACAAAATACCAACCGAATTCTGAATTTAAATTATTCACAGTTGACATGAAATCCTAGTGTAATCGCAGAAGTCTTGTAATCATTTAATTTTATTACTGAAGAAGTGCGGTAATCGCTGTATTTTAATACATGTAGTAAATCGTAACCAATTGGATTTGGCATTGTAAGTTACGTACACAAGCAAAGTAATCGTAAACTTAAAGGAGAAATAATATACATTCATAAAACAGAAGTTCACCCTAATGAAATGCGAGTTCATGTAATGTTGGTTCATAGGGCACAGCAATTAAAATACTACGGAGCAGGCATTACGCCATAATCCCTTAAATGCAAGGATAAGTAAGTTCTTTCAGACCCTCACAGAATTTGGGCGACAAATCGTTTTGATCCGTGCTTCATTTACTTAATTCATCTGAAGCTTAGAATGGCTGCACGCCATCTATCGGGGAAACAGTTTTAACAAAAGCTTACTGTCAGATGCACAGATCTTCTGACGAATGATTTTGTATCGAGATATAATTATTGTTTAAAACAAATTTGATCACCATCAAGACTTAATTTCAGAATTATTAATAGGGCAATGACTTTTAAAGAATTGAAGCGATCTCAATTCTATGGAGAGTTTGCGGGTGATTTTATTATTTGGTGTTTCGAAATTAAGCAAGTTAGATACGTAATTAATTACACCAAATAAAGTATTATAAAAACCAATAAAAATAATTTATTTAGTTACAGAATTCATTTATTGTTCGCATTTTGAGTGCTACTTAAATTAGAGATGTTATTAACACGCTAAAATTGCAAATTAAAAACTTTTTTTTATGTATAAGGGAAATGTGAAAAATATAGAACACCTACAGCAATTATCTATATATATATATAAATGAATTGCTGTTCGTTAGTCCCGCTAAAACGCGAGAACGGTTGGACCGATTTAGCTAATTTTGGTCTTGAATTTTTTGTGGGTTTAAAAGATAGATAAATATGAAAATGTTTGGAATTAAATAAAAATAACAGTTTTGTTTTTCGTTTGATGTGTCCCCCGTCGGACGGATTTCTTTTGTTTATTTTAAGTTTATTTTGTACAAAAGCTTAGGTATTTTATTTATCGATTGAGGCACTACGAAGTCTGCCGGGTTAGCTAGTAATATATATTTCTATGAACGTTCTGAATCAATTATAATTGTATTATGGCTATTACTTACCTGCGTGCACATGTATGTTCTTGGACATCGCAATATACCCAGCACTGGACCGCATCCTGCATCTGTAGACGGTCGCATGGACATCGTGCCGATACAGTTCCGCTGTGAAGGGAAGTATCTCCAGGGAGCCGTTTTTCAGGATCTGCCGGAGTCCGGTCAGTGATGCCACTGGTGTATTGTCTGATTGTAACCAGTCCATCTGTATAAAAAAATAACAGATTAGCTTAAATGTAACCATTTAAAATGTTATCGAAAAGCTATCTTTTTTTTTAATTGCTTTGATGGGTGGACGAGCTCACAGCCCACCTAGTGTTATGTGGTTACTGGAGCCAATAGACATCTACAACGTAAATGCACCACCCACCTTGAGATATAAGTTCTAAGGTCACAGTATAGTTACAACGGCTACCCCACCCTTCAAACCGAAACGCATTACTGCTTTACGGCAGAAATAGGCGGGGTGATGGTACCTACTCGTGCGGACTCAAGAGGTCCTACCACCAGTATATATATAATTTTTATCTTAACTACCAATAGTAGAGCATCTAGCAAGCCTTCACTGGTATTGCGTATTTCGAGCATAAACGAATCATATTTTGTTTTAGCTTGGCTAAATGGTATTAATGCAATTCAGTCTCCAATTGTATGACTTAAGGTGAGAAATGGTTTAGCCTTTAAATAGCTCTGCTTGCAAAGAATCGAGCGAGTTGTTATAGTGACAGAAATATTTTTAAAAGTTTGTCCAGAGTATTCTAATTCTAATGGAACTAAAACTGTCGAGAATCCAGTTCTGGACCAAGAAGTCTTATCTTCAAACGCTATCGCAGTATTGATGCCTGCATTATTTAGAGATGAACAGTACAGTGAAATGAAAGAAATGATTTCAAATGTAGAAGTGTCAAGCTATGTTTTTCAGTCCCTAAAAACCCAGATAATAAGAAATACAAAAACCGTGACTAAGTCATACAACTAAAAATGGATGAACGAGAGAAGATCACGGATTCTATTTTGGATACTGCCTACTATATTGAAACGCATTGATTTTTTTTCTGCATAAAACGCTTAAAAAGCGTAGCAGTATTTATCAGCACGCAACGGCTTTTCCTAAGATACAGCTTAGGAAAGGTCTTATACTAATCTACTTTCTGATTTTGTTGCGATGCTAATAAGAACATCCATGTCTGTCTGTCAAGTTTCCCTATTTCATTTCAAAACAGCCGCTTAAATAGAATGAACGATGGGTCAAGTGTTAGCATCTGTCAAGCGGCCGTTTACATAGTCTCTTGTAAAAGATGTATGTGTAGAGTGTCTTTTAGGAGCGCATTGTAACTGTCGAAAAGGGCCGATGGATAGTAATGATTGTAGATCCAGAATTAAACCTAAGGGCTTAGAATTACGTTTTTAAGTCAATAAAATTAACGACACACTGTAAGCAGACAAACGTATGAATTTTCAAACACATTCAAGATAAATTGTAATAACATGTAGCAACTTCGTATAATCAAAGATAAAGTTTTATCTGTATATCTATTGGCACAATCCAAGAACTCTAAGACTTTAGTTTATAAACGTAGTCTAACTTTGTAAACGAAAAGAATGTGGAAAACTTCAAAAAACAATGTTGGTTTTGTGGCGTTTAATACGTTACTCCAAGATATTTATAATACATTTGGGAATTTTCTGGAACGCTATAAGCTCCGAATTTTACTCCCTCGCGTGTCTTTTTAGTGTCTAAAGTTTCCTCGCAAGCTTTTTTTGTTAACATTTACCCTTCCCGGATAAGGCATCAAGCTTTTCTACTGTATTCTGTGTATTTTTTTGACACAAAAAAAATGTAATTGGAGTGTTTCGTAAACAATTGTTGGCTCCGGGTTGCGCAATATCAGCGTTATTGTATTGAATTATTCAATATTAGTAGTATGTCCTCACAAAGCTATGGTTACCGTAAATGTTTTTTTTTATTGCTTTTGGTCACCTAGTACGTGAGTCACAGAATACCATAGACATTAGAACGTGAATGCCACGACCGATCGGGATATGGATCATAATCTAAATTTGGATTATTTAATCTTTTTTTTTTTCGTGGGCCGAACCTCCTACGATGTCCCCTCCTGCTTCAACCTTTAAACCAGAATGAATCAAATAGGCGGATCGGTGGTCATACCGTTGTATAACCACCGTTTGCCAAATTTAGGACTTTTTTTCCTGGATGTAGTCGTATATTTCGATTAGCGAAACACTCATTTTTCAAATTACCCACAAAGCGTGTCTAGGTTGATTTAAATTTTACCTGCCTTAAACAACTTTGAACTGACAAAGCAAACCGACGTTTGTTCACCAGCGAGATAACCTACTTTTACAAATGAAAAAAACAAACGAATTCTCATTTAATTAAAACCAAAGCGTTTTTATTCAAAGCGCGTTTCATTAAGTAAAAGACAAATTCTTCGTAATTAATTAAATAATTTCTCTGGTGGTGGAGCTTATTTTTACGTTTTCGCCCATAATTATGTTTTGTTTGTCCCCACGAGCACGACCCGCCACCCCGGGCTGCCCGAGGCCTGTCTTTGAATATTTTAAAATGCTCAATGCTTTCTAGCTGACACACAAAATCCTAGGGATCCATGTTAAGACAGTAACGTGCTTTTTTTTAAACAATTCTAAAGTATTAAGAAAATTCTAAAATATTTTTTCGTAGAGCACTGCTCAAAAGCAGTTCTCGAATTAGTTGTTGGCCTGCTAGTTTAAAAATGAGAATATTATGATTTTAAATATCTAGAAGTTACTGAAACGTCGCCTGAAAACTTACTTAACCAGATAATTGTTGTAATGTTCAGTAGTGAAAAGAAGCAAACTGTTCGACTTAGGTATTAATTGTTACTTACTAGCTGACCCGGCAGACTTCGTAGTGCCTCAATCGATAAATAAAAGACACATTAAGGTGACACATCAAAGGAAAAACAAAATTGTTTCTTTTTATATAATTCCGAGCTTTTTTATATTTTCTCACATTTTAAATCTTCCCTGGACTTCCACGAATAATTCAAGACCAAAATTAGCCAAATCGGTCCAGCCGTTCTCGAGTTTTAGCGAGACTAACGAACAGCAATTCATTTTTATATATAGAGATTATATTATTACGAGGGGCGTTTTTTTGTTTTTTTTTATTGCCCTTTTAAGCAGACGAGCTTACGGCCCACCTGATGGTGAGTGGTCACCGTCGCCCATGGACTTCAGCAATGCCAGGGGCAGAGCCAAGCCGCTGCCTACCGCTTAATACTCTCCACAAGCCTCGTTTGAAGAAGGATATGTCATATAGCGCGGTGAAAGGCTATTTTGGGTTTCGCTTAATACGCAACGTTGGTTTTTTGTGGTATTAGCATCAACAATACGATGTTTTTAATTAAACTTTAATTAAGTTTACTCTATTCAAATAGCTAAAGAAGTTTTTTGGCATGATATTTTGTCCAAATTTTAAACTCGAAATGGCTCTCCTATAAAATTGCAAAAATGTGGCATACGCCAAATAGCGTTTTACCTCTCGATTTGATTTTTCTAAAGAAGTGCAAATTTTTATATATTATTTATTATACATAGCTTCGAAACCAGACGTTTGAAGGCTTTTGCAAGTTTTCACTATGAAACTAGGTATACGTCGATAGAAAAAAAAAAACGCTAAAGGCTGGCAGACGGCTGCCGGTTGGCGTTTTTGAAAGCCTTTTGTGTGGAGAACATAAAAGGACCACGAAGTCCAATTTTCCGCTATGTTGGGGAAGGTTACATGAAAATATTTTAAATAGTAAAGTCTCTAAGATATTTTGACACATTCAGTAAATTGTCCTTTTGAAAGCGTACCGGTATTGGGACATGTATAGCCCAATTTATATGTCTTAGACGAAAGGCTGCAGGGAATAAGGGGCTCAAAGATCGGTACTCCATTTTATTTAGTTTTTTTTTACTAAAGGCAGGACGTGTTATAAGTAGGTATAATAAGTATAAGTATTATAAGTATTCTGCCTATTTCCGTCGCAAAGCCGATATGCGTTCCAATTTGTAGGATGGCACAGCCCTTGTAGAATGCAATTGAAACTTCATCCTCAAGTCTCAAAATAGATTGCGGCATTAATGTATGATGTCTATGGGTTCTGGTTACGACTTAATACTCAAATTGCTCGTAAAGTAGTTTGTCTATCTGGGGCAATTTTTAATGAGGATAAAGTTTTACATTTTGTCTCTGCGAATTAAAGTCGTGGCCTAACAGATAAGACGCCTATTGTGTAACGATGTGACTGCCTCGGTGTTCGAATCCCGCAGGCAGATACCAATTTTTCTGAAGAAATACGTACTTGACAAATATTCACGATTTACTTCCAATGTGAAGAAGTAATATCGTGTAACAAGAATCAAACCCGAAAAATTACATTTACGTAATTATTGGTGGTAGGGCGTCTTGTGAGCCCACAAAGGTAGTTACTACCACCTTGCATATTTCTACAGTGAGGCAGTAATGCAGTTTCAAAATGAAGGGTTCGGTAGCCGTTGTACTATAGAACTAAACTCACGTTTCTGAGTGTTCATTGATATCTGTGGACTCCATCTACTAAATAGCACGCAGAGCCATAAACCGAGTCACTCGTCGAACCAATAAAAGAAGATTCAGCAAAAAGTCATTAAGCATAATCTATAATTAACTTATAAATGTTATGATCAAACCAAACAAATGCCAAAATCGTCAGTGATAGCAGTATGGCTTGGTAAAGTGAATACTAGGAGAGTTTTACGGATAAATGTCGTAAGCATAATGTATGTAAATACTTTGACGCCCTTGGTAAAAAAATGTTCGTTTTCAATCACTTTCCAAAGTACAACGATTTGAATTCTTAAAAGTCCAAGGTCAATGTCCAAAATGACAATGACAACAACAATGACAATGAACAAAAAGCATAGTTTAATTTAAATATAGTTAGTTACTTTATATTCAGTTCTGATTATTAATCTTCATAAAACTTAACAATAGTTACAATAACAATAATCTTTGAGTTATTTTAGAAATAAGCCGAATGACCGGCGCTTTAATTCATCTTGATTTCATGGGTATTCAATTTCGGGACAACAAAAAGGAAAAATAAAGGGATGATCCCTTTGAAAGTTACAAGTTTTATATTTTTCTTTGTGCCTCCCGTCTTGATGGAAGTTGGC